AGTTACAGCGAGGAACGCGCGTGTAATTCTGAACACATCGGGCGAAACCGTCGATCGATCGCGGCGAGAACGCCGAGAGACAATGTGTCGTTCGTTTGACGCCACTCCAACCTCTCGGGCGCCGTATACTTTTTAATTGTATACTTCTCGCCGAGGGGTGCGCAGCGACTTGAAACAAAGTAAGGGAGCACACCGAGCACCGGTGATCGTCGATTTTTATTCCACATTGTCAGAAAGTACCGCGAACGCTATATGTTCCACGGTGTCCGTCGACGGCCGCGCTACAGGATCGAAACAACCCCCATAGTCAGGGGTGGGGAGATGCGTTTGATCGAATATCTTGGAAACTAACGAAGAACATTCGTTCCACCGGGGATAAATTGTGCATCACTCTTTCTGCTCGAATCGGGAGCACAATGTTAACGCAGACTGCTCTCGTTTTACGATCTCCGTCTATTGCGAATGATAAACAAACGACTGCAAGGTCTGACCAAGCGGTGCCGAGCGTAAAAGTACGTTGATAAACAACAATCGTAAAACGTTACGAGGAACTCCCTCCCGCCCGAACATTTATCACGAATATGGGCCTCGTAATATTTGCTGGCCGACCCTGAACAGACGGTAAGAGACGAGAAACTGGTGGAAATTTCTGCATAGAAAACGTGCGACTGTCCGCGATCGGCTCGATCGTTACAATTTTATAAAAATTAACATCTCAACGCGCGTATATCTTTCTATTCGTCCGTTCGTGCTTGTTACTGCATCGAGAATGAAAACAAAACGTAGGACTCCGTTATCGCAAATATTGGGTTGTCCGGAAAGTTCGTGCCGATTTTCGGTAGGTAGCGTGAGAGACCTGGCCGAATATATCACAACTATTGAAAACAAATGACATGTGTACATATTCTAAAAGAGATAACTTTAGTCACATTTGGAAAAAAGTTTGGTCACGATTCGTTAATTTTTATCAGTTTTGCACGCCTTAGAATATGGTGGCAAATAACACCGGTTATAAAATGTCCTCGAAAATTAGGACTATCGGAGAACTGCATCGTTATCGAGCAATAAAATGGAAAATATCTTATTACCGATGAAACACGAGTGAAAGTACCAAAACTTTTATGAAACGCAGGTAAACGTTCCAAAATTTATGAAACGCGGGTAAAGGTTCCAAAATTTATGAAACGCGGGTAAAATTTCCATAATCTGTGAACGCAAACAAATATTTCTACACTTCCTAAGCCTCACAGAAACATTAATAAGCCCTTCGTAATCCTAAACCCAAAGTATGGTTACGATTCGTTAATTTTCATCAGTTTTGTACGCCCTAGAATTAGGCATTTAATGCTTTTCTTTTTCCGAAAGGGCAAAGATGCCGCACAAGCGGCAAATAAGATACGCGCTGTTTACGGCGAGGATGCTGTAGCCGAAAGAACCGTGCGGAAGCTGGAAATATCGACCTTGAAGATCAAGGACGACAAATTTGTTGCCAAAAAACCTGAGAGGTTCTGGAAGGATGGAATTCTCTCAAGCTGCATGAAAGATGGAGAAAGCTTGTCGAACAGAATGGTACCTATATAATTTAATAAATGTATACCAATATTTAAATGAGCTGCGTTTGAATTTTCCTAAGAAATCGGCACGAACTTTCCGGACAACCCGATACATACGTACGTACCGCACTCCGCTCCAAATAATGGTGTTCCTAATTGCGATCGTTGCCAGAACCAACATCGTCGATTGTTTCGAGCGGAGCGCGCGCTAAAGAGTTTACAACGGATATATCGTGTGACTGGGCAGCCGAGTTGTTTTGGAAAGCAGCCGCGAAATTCTGTGCTCGATTCTGGCGCGCATTTTCTCGCGACGCGAGGGGCGCGCGATAAAGCGAGACAGAGTCGATAGAACAACAGTGGAGCGAGGAGAGGTTCGATCGCTTGATGACCGGGTATCGAGAGCACGGCGTTTCTCGATTTCTCGATTTCGCGGCGACGACAGCGACGGCATCCCAGTGTCGACGCTCCCGCTCCGAAAATACAAATAGTCGGACACAGTGTGGCCGACGGCTCTCGATCGGGCCGTGTATGCACGCGTACAGGTACCCGTTTCACGTACACGCGACGTCGTCAACAACGACGACGACGACGAAAACGAAAACGCGCGCTGCTCTCGTCTCCGTCAGACACTGCTTCGTGAAAGCTCGAAAAAATAATCGACTTACCGAGTCAACGTAGCCTGGCACACAGTCTCCGTCGAAGGATGCTCCCGTTCTGGACGTCGAGACGCAGATGCGATCGAGAGTCGATCGATAACCGTGGCGGAGAATTCGGTCGTCGGCGTCGAGACGGAACAACAACAACAACAACAACAACAACAACAACAGCACACACTTGTTCCTTGTATACAAACACGCGTGATCACAGTACTCCGGGCACGCACACGCGCGTAACTAGCACATGTACATCAGTGTGTATATATACCGCGCAGCAGACAGATGCATATACATATGTACATATATATGTATATGTATATATTTTAATATTCAGAGAGAAACACACATGCACACGCACGTGGAAGAAAGTGATAGAGGAAAGTGGTAGAGAGAGAGAGAGAAGGCCGCACAGAGAGGAGAGAAATAGACAGGGCTGGGTAAGAGCACACACGAGGTGGTCCACGCACTACGGTGCTAGAGTTCGACACCAGAGCACGATGAACTTTCTGTCTCTCTGTGTGTGACCGCGCGCTCCCGATGAATATATTCCGCGACACGTCGTCCGGGCCGCGTCGTCACGGTTACAGGGGGCCAGTTAGTCTCTCCGGCGAACTATCCGTACCTGTGCACGGCACGATTCATTCTGAGCGGCGGTATCGCGCCTCGTTCGTTAAGAAAAATCACGATCACTCCGGGGACGCAGATTCCCCGCACGGGTCGCGCACAACTTGTTTACTAGAACGCGCACCACGCCATGCCCCGTGAATGCGCGTCCGCCTCCGTGCGCCCCTCGTCCCGCCGCGAGCAAAACAAGACTCTGCGCAGTAGCCCCGCGCGCACCTTCCGGGCCATGTTCGCACGAGCCGATGTGTGCGCCGTTCAGCGCCGTTTGTCGTTGCCTCGTGCTCCACCAAGGCGCCTTTCCCCCGTCCCCGTCGCAAACACTCGCCCCTCCCTTGCCCCGCCGCTGCCTCTCGCCCAGCCACCGTTCACCCTCTTCCTTTCTCCCGCGCTCTCTCTCCCTCTCTCTCAACTACTCCCTCTCAATGAGTTTTTCTCCGCGCTCTTCCTTCCCACACCGGCCACCTACTCGGTCGGCGCGTCTCTCGCTCTCGACTCTCCTTCTCTCTCCCGTTCTCTGTCTAGTCGTACCTCGTGCTCCCTCTGTCTCCTGCGTTCCGCGAGCGACTCTCTCGATTCGGCCCGACTCGGCTCGGTTCGCTTCGGCATCGCTCGACTTTGCTCGGCTCGGCTCGATCCGCTGCGTTCCGTTTCCCATCCCCTTCTGCTCGTGCGAACCCGGCTCGTGTCTCTATCACGTTGCCTCTCCATACGATAGCCGGGCTATATCGTCCGGCGAGGCATAACAGCCGACGCCGCAATGCGTACGATTCAACGTTCAACGGATCTCGTCTTACGCCTTCTACGACGCAACCGCGACCAGCCACGTAACAAGTAAATCGAGCGGGTCATCGTACCCTCGCGCCGCCACACGTCGCCACGTTTCTCGGAAAATTCCGTGTGCCGCTCGTCGACGACCATGCCGCGACATCTCCGAGCGTCACGGCGTTTATCGACGCGCGGGTGCGCCGCGATACCGACCGATGGCAAGCGACGCTCGCGCGAAATATTTGAACCACGGTCTCTCTTCTGCACGGAACTTCTCGATCGAAAACTGCAGGCGTACGCGGTCTTTTTGTTTGTGGTTAATTTTTAACACTGCTTCGGCGAAGTTCTCTTTTGCGTTGACCGCGAGAACAGCTCGTTGCTGTAAAGACCCTTAACCTTTTAGGCACGACGCGCCACTATAGTGGCTTTCGCGGATGTCATCTCTCTGGACGACGCGCCACTATAGTGGCTTGCTCTAGTAACTCACTTGCTCATCGTTTGAATCAAATAATCGTCTTGATATGCATTGTTTCACACTTCTTTTGTCTTCGCATCGGTTTATAACAGTCTGCAGGGTGTCCCAGAAATGTCTCGCAATCCGGAAATGGCGGGTTCCTCGGATCATTTGAAGCAACTTCTTCCTTTACAAAAATGTTCTCCGAGGCACCGTTAACGAGTTATTAACGAAAAACAGTGACCAGTAAGAATCGAGTACGGCTGACGCGAGGCGGCCCAGCCAACCAGCGCGCGAAGCCCAGTTCCGCTCATTGGTTCGATCGCCTCGTGCCAGCTGAGCTCGCCTCTCATTGGTCACTGTTTTTCGTTAATAACTCGTTAACGGTGCCTCGGAGAACATTTTTGTAAAGAAAAAAGTTGCTTCAAATGGCCCGAGGAACCCGCCACTTTCGGATTGCGAGACATTTTTGGGACACTCTGTGTATACAATATCAGACTCTGCCGTCCAGAGAAATAGCCTCGCGCAGAATTCAGCCGTACCTAAAAGGTTAATATTGTTTGCTGTGACGGGGTTGGCGACTTTCACCCCGCGGCAATCCTTGATTTGTACGTTGACCTTTTGCACTCTATTTATTTGATTTATGTCGGAGCGAAGGAGACCAATGGAAGAAATCGATGAACAGTGGGACCTCGATTAACCGGCTTCGACAGGGCCGGTAAATCAAGACCTGAAGGAAAGAAACTGGAAATGTGATTTATCAAACGGCGGCTGAAAGTTGTGTTGTGACAGTTTCGCCCGGTTAATCGAGATTTCACTGTAACTTAAAAAGTCACTGACAAGATCGATTTCGTTTTCGCAGGATAAAATCTCCGGTTCTCGAGATCCTCGCTGGGAACTGACGAGAGACTGCTCGAGGCTTGACACGTCTCTGTCGCGGTTAAAGGGTTTTAATTTTCCTGAAAAAGTTTTATTATCTCACTCGACGACGAAGCGGTAAACAAATACAAAAAATACGAGTTACTTAATGGGTCAACGGTTACAGGGCGATAACGATAGGATCCTCGAGATATGCTTATGTTAAACACCGCGACACAGAGAGCAACGTGACGAGACCCAGGGACATGGAAACGGCGCAGACCAGCGACAAGGAGTCTCTGTTGTAATTCGGGCACAATTCCGGTTGCGTGCATCTCCTGAAAAAGAGGCGAAATCAAAAAATAAAACTTCGTTATGAACGATCAATTCTTGGAAACTTCGAACGGAAAGGATCATCGTCGTCCGCACCATTTCTCGATGAAGATGACGACCAATCCCGTGACGACTTTGTCGAGAAAAGTCACGACGGAATAAACGACGGCGCTTCGTTCGGTTCGCGGGCCAATTATCTCCGCGGTGACGCTCAACGCCGTGACCATTGTGATCGAGCTTCCGGCACCGATGAGAATCGCGACCACGTAAATAATCGCCGCGCTGCTGCCGCCGAACTGCGTGATCAGCGCGGAGAACAGTCCGATGAGAGATCCCAAGAAGTAGCACATCTGAAAAGCAATGTCCAGGGTCTTCGTAAGACAACAGGGACGCTCGCGTCTCATCTTTTAGGAACATTGAGATACAGACAGACAGATAGACAAAGAGAGAGAGAGAGATAAAGACACACACACACACACACACACACACACACAGAGAGAGAGAGAGAGAGAGAGAGAGAGGAAGATAGAAAGAGAGAGAGAGAGAGAGGGAGAGGAAGATAGAGAGAGAGAGAGAGAGAGAGAAAAGGATAGAGAGAGAGAGAGAAAGGGAGAGAGAGAGAGAGAAAAGGAGAGAGAGAGAGAGAGAGAGAGAGAGAGAGAGAGAGAGAGAGAGAGAGAGAGAGAGAGAGAGAGAGAGAGAGAGAGAGAGAGAGAGAGAGAGAGAGAGAGAGAGAGAGAGAGAGAGAGAGAGAGAGAGAGAGAGAGAGAGAGAGAGAGAGAGAGAGAGAGAGAGAGAGAGAGAGAGAGAGAGAGAGAGAGAGAGAGAGAGAGAGAGAGAGAGAGAGAGAGAGAGAGAGAGAGAGAGAGAGAGAGAGAGAGAGAGAGAGAGAGAGAGAGAGAGAGAGAGAGAGAGAGAGAGAGAGAGAGAGAGAGAGAGAGAGAGAGAGAGAGAGAGAGAGAGAGAGAGAGAGAGAGAGAGAGAGAGAGAGAGAGAGAAAAGGAGAGAGAGAGAGAGAGAGAGAGAGAGAGAGAGACGGACCTTTGTGCCGCAGGATTTGTTCAAGTATTTCAGCGTCAGTGCCGCGACAAAGGAGGACACATAGGAGACCAATGGGACGGTGGCCAAAGCCTCTTTCCCGTCGATGTCCGCTTCTTCTATGTACAGCGGCAGGTACACGGTGGCCAAAGTAACGAAGAGTCTGCTTGCCACGTACAGCATCGCCACCCTCAGCAAAACCGTCGTATTGAACCACGAGCTTCTCTGCGGAGAATTGTCGATCAACCGTTGGGATTCCTCTGCTGCTTTCTGCCGTTGGGGATTCTCTAAAAGGTGTCCTTTCAGGAACACGTGGAAGAGCACGCTGGTGATCAGCCCGATGAGAGTCAACATCAACACGATGTTCTGGAAAGGCAAGCATCGCCGAGCTAATCGGGGACCGTCTAAATAGACAGAGCTGTTTCGAAAATTCTCTTTACGCACCCTAAACCTGTAACTGTCCTCTTGGGTGAGCCGGACCACGACTTCCTCGTTCGTCGGCAGAACTATCCACGTGACGACGAACGCTATCACAGCCGCCCCCACTTGAGCCGAGTACCTGAGCCATCGTAAATTCCGCCTTTTAAAATTCTTAACAATTTTTAACGATTTAACGATTTTTAACAATTTCGGCGGCGTTTAACCCTCGCCGCGCCGTGCCCGGGTCTTTTCGGGCCCGGAATTCAAGGCGCTATTTGCCGTTTGTTTATGTTAGAGCGACAACGATTTTTTTATAATCTTGTATTGTTCAATTATAACGGACATTAAAAAATAGCGGAAATTGAAAAATAGAAATTGAAAATAGATTCCTTAGAAATTGAAAAATAATGGTAATAATAGTAGTAATAATAACGATGATGATGATAATGTTTGTATACAATTCAAATGCGCGTATATACAAGGCCATGGGTCCTTATGGACCCAATCATGGGACTTGGCTTGTACGTTGAACCGGTACTGCGAGGGTTAAAGGGTTTTCGACAGAGGTTTTTATACCTTATCGCAGTCAAGTCAGCTCGTGCCAGCTGCGAGTTGGTCAGCGCGGGGATCATGGACAGGTGGGAAATTTGAACGGCGGCCCATCCAGTTTGGAAGAGGGTGATGCTGGTCACGTAAACGACCATGACAGCGGTGCTGGCCGGTTCGACGAACCCGCCGAATATCACGGGAAACGTGAGGATGACCAGGACGGAGCCGACGACGTGCCAGGTCTTCTTCTTCCAGTATCGATCGACCAGAATCCCGAAGATCGGCGTCATCAAGGCGTCCACGATTTGACCTTGAATAATAGATCTCGCGTACAGATCACGAATTTATCCCGCGGGAATTCGATTTACCCAACAGCAGAAGTGCGCCGGCCGCGATCGGCTCGAGCAGCGCGACCCTCTGGAAATAGATGAGGGTGTAGGAGAACCACATGGCAGCCGTGAGGTCGTTGTAGATGTGCCCCAGAGCGTAAGCGAGCTTGGTAGAGGTGCGCAGCTTCCTCTCCAAAAGCGGCGACCTCTCCGCGTCGTCCTCCATTTCGAAAACGTCGACGGACGACCGTGGCCCGTTGTTCGACGATGTTTGAAGCAGCCTCTGCTTCAGGCGGACTCTTTGCGGTTGTGCGAGGATCTCTTCATCTTCGTTGTTCTGCGAAGTAGAACGCCGGTATGACGTCATTCCCGTGACGTTCCGCTGGCTAAACCGATGCCCGACGAAGCGGCGATGTATCGGCGGCACTGAGGTATTAATAGTTGCCGCTTGATTCGCTAATGGGCCGTTAATTAATACAATGGTACGCGTGAACGTGAAGCGCGGAAACAACGGACGAGGCGCTTCCCATCCGAATCGGATTCTTTAGGACGCCAGCCGCGAATTAAGTGGCACCGCGAACCGCGGAATGTTCCCACACGCCTCTCCGTTAGTTACTGTCATTACACTCGGGACGTTATTGTTTAAAACCGCGCGATTTATGTACCAACGGGACACGTACGATAATTATTTTACACGTAACACTTGCGAACACGTCGCCGGGACGTGTGCTCGCGATGCGTGTAAACACATTACGTGACTTTTCGTGTGTGCTGCGTTGTGTCTCGCGTTCCGTATCCGGTTTGCGGAACGCGAAGAAAGCGTTTTCGAGCTTCCACGATCACGCGCGGACAATTTGGCGCGCGCGCGCGCGTCGTGCGCGACGCGCATCGAACAGATAACGAGACGACAACCGGTAAAAAATGAGCCGACACTTACACAACTTCGACGCTTCCGCGGACCGAAATGATTCCACGCGAAGTTTACCTTTGCGCGACCGAGGACTCGTCCGTTAACTGCGTCGCGTGGAAGCGCGACCGATTCCGGAACGATCAGCGAAATTCAACGATCCGAACGGAAAGAAAGATTTCGACGCGCGCGTCAGATCGAACGGCGCCGAGCGTGGCCGTCGACGAATTTCAGGGCGCGTTCGTGTCTCTTTCACTCACCGTCCACACTGTTCATCCGGTCGGCCATGGGGAACGGCACGAGCACAGGTAGCCAAGGATTGCGAAGGGACGATGCTCGCCGATCCGCGGGCCTGTCTTTCGAGAAAATCGTCGCGCGCAGCTTTCCTTTCACCCGCCGGCAGATTTCCGCGTATAAGGCTTTCCGGCGTGTTGCGGCCGGTCAACCGCGCGACAGTCCGGAAAGCTGATTAGGCCCGACGCGACTGCCGATCGATCGGACGCCGGCTAGAACGCGACTACTCATCGGAAACGTTGCGCCCCGCGGCGTCCGTGTTTATCGAATTCGACACCTTTCCCGCGAACGGAGTGTTTGTTTCTGCTAATCGCTGCCACTTCCGGCTGTGCCGTCGCTATCGATCGGTTCGATCGCCGCGGAAAAATCGCGGGGATCGCGAAAAATTCCCAAGGACCACGAGCCGCCTGGAGATCGGCTCGACCTCCGAGACGCTGCCGGCGGAAGTCACGAGCCACACTTACGCGGCCTGCCTCCGCGAGAATCGAACGGTCCGAGATCTTTCGCTGCGATCGCGTGCGTTCAAGGTGCATCCCGTTTGCGGGCGTGCCGAGCTCCGGTCGCCGGCCCTGCACCTGGAAGACTGAGCCGACCGAACTTTCAAACCGACTGCGTTTCCCGCTTCGCCGGCCGAACGCCGCCGGCGGTCGGCGGTACGATTAGAATGGGAAAGAGATAACCGCAATCTTATCTAGACCGCTCGTGGAAAATCTCCTGTCCGAAGGAACCGTAATCGGACCGTGATCGAACCTCGTCTCCTTCGTCGCCGATCATGCTTGTCTATTGGCCGCGCTATCGCGATGCAAACAAACGGCGGATCGCGACTGTCTACCAGATCACGGTCTCGAAACTATTGCATTACGAATCGGTGCTTTTCGACGCTTCGAACTGCTGTTCGAAAGCGAGTCGGTTAGGCCGGGTCTGCTCGTCGCTAATTAAGCGGATCGATCAAACTTTCACTCTTTCCGAGCACGGAGCAGAGTTACGTTTCAACGGAGACCCGAATTGTTGATCTGCTTCCGCAATTCTGTAGTTCCTTTTTTAGATGGAAAGTACAATCTTTACCTTTTTTCGACCAAGAGTCTCCATATAGTTAATCTAAAATCTTGTTAGAGAAATTAATGCTAAATTAAAGGCGAAGGTGGAAAGTCTAAATTCTGTAGTCCCTTTGTCGATGGAAAGTACAATCTTCACCTTTTTTCGACCAAGAGTCCACAAAGTTGATCTAAAATCTTGTTAGAGAAATTAATGCTAAATTAAAGGCGAAGGTGGAAAGTCTAAATTCTGTAGTCCCTTTGTCGATGGAAAGTACAATCTTCACCTTTTTTCGACCAAGAGTCCATATAGTTAATCTAAAATCTTGTTAGAGAAATTAATGCTAAATTAAAAGCGAAGGTGGAAAGTCTAAGTAAATCAACCCTTTGCGAATTTTTTTAAGGTATCAAGAACATTTTTCTCAAAGAGTTGAATAATACGAAATCTGAACACTATGCCCTGATGTGTTGTTGTTGCATAAAGAATGAGATGATATATTTGCAACTTTTGCAGCAAGATACGCGATCCTGTTGTTGTCACTATGCCGACATTCGTCCTCGAAGGATTAGAATGAATGAGGCCAATCCTCCGAACGTTTCGAAATTTTTGCGGTGATAGACGGAAGCGCGAGCGAACCTTTGTTAGACAGTCCGCATTTGCACAGAGTTGGCCGCAAGCGCAGGAATCAGTTTTAGCAGCGAGCAGAAGTGTCTGCGGTCCGGTGCACAGCTGTGATTAATACGCGTGTGGCGTGTCCATGTGTGGACGGTAAAGGTATCCCCTAGGTAGACAGGAAAGACTCTGTAACCTGAGACCGCGGAGAGAGAAACGCGAATAGTGTACGGAGAGAAATCGATACCGAGCAAGTTCTTGTACGGTCTCTCAGTTAGGCGGTTCTTGCGAACAGTAGACTTCCTCGCGAGTTCGTTCACCGGTACAGCCACGGGCGAAGCCAGTATTTCATCGACTCGACGTATTCGATTCACTTCGATCCGGATTGTAATTGCGAATCGTCGCCGTTCTCAGGTATTAATCGTGAAACTGGATGCCGAAACTTAATCTACGAATGAACGAGGATCATTTCTTACAAATGTTTATTTCGATTCGGTATATACAAGTCGGTTTAAGAAAACAGATGTACCGTTGACATTGATCGAATACGTACTAGGTGCCGCCAATGTTATTCGCATACGCGCGGTTCGCAATCGAATTGCGCGGACGTATGGTCCGACCCTAATTTTCTACCTCGAGTGAACACATTCGTCCGAGACTGCTACGGTGGTCACCAACGCCGTTGATTCACCGTGGTGTTCAGGATTGATCTTCGAATGAAAGCGCCTTTGACAAACGTTCCCTTACAAAAATATGACCGTACGAAATTTGATCGAACGTCGCGGTAAAAATGGAACGCGCGTCTCGCGAGGTTAATTGCTTTATACATGGAATACTTCGGGTAAGTATCGTACGGGCGACGATGGTTATATTGCCGGAACCGATTCCGGACTGCTATCGCAATCATTGTCTAACAACGACCGTCGACGACCAGAGAAAAGTCAGGTTCACCGTGCAGGAATGGAGACACTCTTGCTCCACAGAGTTGCTCTGCTATATTTTCTTCTTTTCGGAGGCGGCGTATTCCGTGCCCTCGAACTGTCTCAGATGGATCTGCGCATTTATAATGTCTCGATTACGTGATCGATGCGCGAAGATAATAATTGATTAGACGGGCTCACCTGTAAATGCAAATTGACTTCCGCCGAGCGACTCAAATACGGAAAATTCCCGCCGCTCTTCAGGTGCGCCAGTTTCGCGTTCGGATAGCACTTGTACACCTCTTCCCTCACGGAGTTCGACAACGCGTACTCGTCGAAAACGTCTATGATCGTGATAGGCAGATTGCATACCTTCTGCGGTTGCACGTAGCAGTTTGTGCAATTCATCGTCAGCCGAGATGCCAGCTCGGACTGCGTTAAACTCTCCAACTGCATACAAAGAAGTGTTGTCTCAAGTGCTTTGGTAAACGCAACAGAAATGCATGCAAAATACGTTACGGATTTTTATACGTAGCAATTTCATTTTTAGCATATCAACCCTCTATGACACCGTGCAATTTTGTATTGTTCAAGACCCGTTTCATGTTATTTGTAGCAATGTCAGATAACAAATACCCTTTCCACCATGAAGTCTATGGCCTCCACCATTTCGCCGTCAACCCTGTCTGTCACAAAGTTCCCCATCAGCATTTTCTTCAGCACCAACGACGGCAAGATCCAGAACCTATGATTCAAATCGATTATGCGTACCAGAGAGCAGAGCATTCGAGCAGATAACGTATCGCGTTCTGTTATTAGTTCACTTATCGCGAATCCGGTGATGAAACAACGAATTCTCCGATCTCTAATTACATGGGAAACCGACATCTATACTTACACCGCCGCGGAATCGTTGTAATTGAACACCGTCGTATCGGTAAATGTGTTACAAAGTATCAACGAGGCTACTCTAGGACAATGAGCATTAAACTCGGTGAACTTCTGTGCGAGAAAACCACCTGCAACGCAAAATTCGTAAGCTTTAAACAACGCGATATTTTTTTTTAATTTTTTAACATGTGCAGTCTGATTCTCAAAACATAGTGATTCATCGAGAACATCCTGACCTAACGAAGCGCCGAACAGGTGCACCTTGTCCAATTCCATGTAGTCTAAAAGCTTTCTGAAACCGTCGCACCATTCCTTCACGTTCCAGTAAACCGGTGGCTCTGCCTAAAATTAAATTTTCACAAATAAATATCGACGTTTTACCGAAATAAAATACATTCCAACCATTTAAATTGCTTGCCGATATGATGCGATATCCTCTGGCCGCCAAACCCAATATTTGTTTAAAAAATACGTCCGCGGTTCCGCTGACCGGTGGAAGACATACCAACGGACATTTTATTGTCTTCGGGCTGGAGTCGTACACCTTCCAACCCTGCAAAAAAAACAAAAAACAAAACAATTAAATAATTGCATTGCCAAGAGTGCATTGACTTCCTTTCAAATCGTGTGCCGGATGGTATCGATTGCGCTGTTCCTGTTCCGGGTCACGAACCGGAACGCGGGAGAGTACGAAACACGATTCAATAAAAGCGCATTATACTCTTTAACCAATGTTTTCTTCGACACGATTATTTCATTATTAATCTTCGCATCGCGGCAGGCACGCGTAATCCAAAACATCTGCGGCACTTCGCTATGGATTTAATCACAACCTCGACAAAGAGATTCATTTGCATCTGATCGCAATTCGAATCGATTATTTCCCCTCCAGTTAACTCTACGCCGTGTTTATTATGTTACCCGGTCTCGTAAATATTTTATCTTTCGAAATATTTCAATTGCATTCGATCAATGCGTTATCGATAGTATTGATGTTATTAACGGTGGCTGCGAGTTTCGATTCTCGACGGACGATCCCGCCGCCGAGACGATCGACGATCTTTCAAATTTCAAGAGCATCAACGGACGAAATCGTTTGAAATCGGAGAGCTATGTTACCTTGGTGCCGTCGGAATCGACGACGATTTTCCTCAGCGGGACGGAGCTGCGGAAGCTGAGGTATTCCTGCGATCGAGACAGCTCGCTCGAACACGACATTTTTCCGCTTTCTGCTGACTGTTGATCACGCTGCTTATTTATCGTCACTGAACTACCGCGATTCAGTGTTACCGATATCTGGAATCGCAGACAACGGTGGAGAGAGAGAGAGAAAGAGAGAGAGCAATGGAGGCCACAGATAACAAGAGTTCGAAATCAAGATTATCGTAGGTAAATGCACGAAATAAATATAGTGACAACAGCTTGTGAGCTCGATAAGCCAGTTCTTTGTTCGCAAATTGGCTTAATAGCGAGCCAGTTGCCTGATCAGTATGAAAATATAGCTACCTCTCAAGACCAGGTTATACTCTGGACGTTGTTGTCTGTACTGACGCGCGGGACGATCATTTCCGTTGCTCTCAGGATGTTTTTTGTTCGACGAACAACCGAGTCTTTCGTTGACAATTCGAAAGGTCACATCACGTTAACAACACCGCTCCGTGTGAAAGAATACCGACGCAGCGTCAAGTAGTTTACACCCCCTTTCGAACATCCTCATAGTTGCCAGCCATCTTTCTGTCTCTTTCTCGCGCACGACCAACTCGGTTGCATCGTGCTCGACGATGATACTGCGTCTGCGCAAATGTTCCACAGACTTAGGGGATCCGTGGACGAATCACGATGACACTGGACTCGTCACAATGCTAACACCGCTTTGTTGCTTGTACCACAGGTACAACGTTCGAACTACTGCCATCCAAAAGTTTGGTTAGTGATTCACATGTACACGATACGGAATCGCCTGAAACATTAATTTTGGCAAAATCGGAGCCTAAAAAGCCAAATAGAATGCACAGAACTGTTCGAAAGAATCTGTTGCATCGATGTCACGTAAGGAAACCAAGGGACAACAACGCAAAATATAATTGGTTAACATAAAAATTAAGGAAACTTCGAAGAGCAATTTATTATGTCACGCATTGTTGTTATTCGTTTTTGTATACAATAATGACACAGTAGATTCTCCTGAACAATTCCGTATGCTTAATTTAGTTTGTCATGGCTTAATTTTGCTGAAATTAATGTTTTTAGGGGAATTTGCATTATGCAGATGAGTGTGACTGTGACGCCTCTTGGGGAAAAAAAGTAAAGCTCAGTTCGATGTCCGTACAGCGCCAATTCGGGTAGTGGCAAAACGCTCAATCTGTTAGCTACATTATTGACTGTAGATTTGAGCTAACAGTTCGATGGTCTTGCTGCTACACTAATTGGCGCTGTATGGACATCGAACGGTGATTAATTTTTTATCCACCAGAGGTGCTGCAATCGCCCGCAATATAAACAATGCGGGATAACCTAGAAACATTGATTAGGTTAAGATAAGGGTATACAAAACGAAACCAAGGGCACAAAACTCTTCAGGAGAATCTTCATATTTTTCTTCAACCTCCCGCAACTAGGCTCCGCTTTTTAGGCCCGTGCTTTTAACAAATTCATTCCATCCTTCCGACTGAAAATTTGACGGTCCTGGAATCTGCACACCTTCGGGCCTCGGCTTGTTCCGTTAGCGAGGGTCGGTATAGAAATTTTCTTTGCTCTGAATGGCTGACTATTCACTGCCGAGGCAGGATCCACTGTGGATTGGATGCGCAGTAAAATGGCGGGAATGTTCGCGCCAGCTTATGGAGTAAAAAAAGCGTGCAGGAATAGGTCTAATTACTGTATCATCCGACCCTACATCAAAGTTGTGCCATATTGTTGAAAGATAAAGGGATTAATATAGAGAAGAATAAATCACAATGGAGGGAAACTTAGTGTTGATCCTCGACGATAATCGTATCGAAGCGAACAAAGAGAAACTTGCGACTAAAAGTCGTTATTTCGCTTCTCTTTTTTCGGGTAATTTTAATGATTCCAACAGCAAGGAGCACACAATAAATTACGATATCACCCTGTTTACTTTGCAGGTTGTCTTTACTGTTCTCGAGTTAATAAAATAAGTATATCTGGTCCTTGTGTGGTAAAGATAATTTTTTGAAATTTTAGAGTTTCATCGAATGGATTCACGACGATGATGAATGTGAAGATTTTCATTGCCATTCCATAAAGCAATCCATGACAAAGTTTATGGGAGATAACTTCACGGATTTAATATATTTGTTACAACTGAGCGTACTATTTACGGTTGATGAATTGAAAAACGATATTATAGATATTATAATTTTGTTCTGGCTGGTTCCAGAGAAAGTAGTTGATATTTGGTTATTGACACAAGAGTTGTGTATAAAAGAATTACAAGATATCTGTCTGTCTGTATGTTTAGAACGTTTCGAAGAACTTCCTCCGATTTCTCTTGTTGATCTACCTAAAGATAGCTTTATGAATCTGTTGCAAAATGTTAACATAACAGCATCCACCGAATATCTGAAATTGATCAGACAAGAATGGCTATGGCGTCATGAGGTAATTAGCATTCTGCTGAAATCTTGTGTCCGTAGCAAACTTTAAACTCTTAATTTTAGCATATTCCACATGTGGCAGAGGAGAGACATCCTAGATTCACTCAAGCCACAGTTGGATACGTTCAGAGTAGCACGTCAAAAGTTGTTAGCACAGATGCATGTTTATACACTTGGGATGGTACCAATTTCTCTAAATTTATGCAATTAAGAAACGATCTACTTTCAGAGAGATGGATGAGTGGAATGCAAGTAACTGGTAGAGGTATAGATCTCCTTATTCCACATTTCAGTTATTCCTTTGCGTAATGAAGACAGTACTGGTTGAAAACATTTTCTTAGGTTTCAGTATATACACTGTGGGTGGCGAGATGGGTATAGGTACTGGAAAATTTAATAATTACATTTGGAGGTACTGTCTAATATCCAAGAAGTGGTACTATTATGCAAAATTGCCAGTGCCAAGAAGACATATGATCGTTGCATTTATGGACTATAAATTGGTAATCGTAGGTGGAGTAGGGAGACACAGATTGAAGTTGTTTACCGTGGATATTTTAGATACTCATAGAGGTGAAGAACGGTCAAATAGAATTTTAAAAGATCCACAATCACTTCAATCATATAATCTTTCAGGCACGTGGAGCAGTGGAGCAAGAATTCCCGAGGATTTCATACAGGTTCCTTATTACTGCGTTATGGATGGAAAATTGTTTGTAATAAAGTCGGAACTCTACATTTATTATCCGGAAGAAGACTATTGGGCGACTATTTCAATTAATCAAAAACCTTGTCTAGTTAAAAACGGCGCTTGTCTCGCTTACGACGCGTTGATGTTTCTCGACAGTCGACCAGTCGGTTCAGCCGAGACTGTTCTATTGAAAATCGACGTCCTGAGAGACGAAGACTGCGAAACAGATTCCGACGATTCTCTAACGGATTCAGAATTAACTGATACAGATATAACGGATACAGAAATAACGGACGCAGAAATATCGGACATACTATCGGATACAGATATAATGGAAACAGAAATCCTATACGAGGATGACGATTATCAATTCAGATACGCCGAGGTAGCTGGTATCGGTGTGGTGATAGTTAGCAATCGTTGCAACAAAGGTTATCGGTATCTGCGTGTACATACAGAATTGAGACGAGACTTAGAATCCACAATACTTCCACGAATACAGTGTTTCAACTTCATTGATCCGGACACTTTGTACAACACAGTGTAATTCTATTGTTTCGTATTTGCATATAAACTGAAATTTTCTACAAATTTCTATGTCATTTGTACACCTTGAAAGGGAATGGGGGAGGGACACACACACACACACGATCAAGATGGTATATTTGAATCATATTTTATTTATCGTAAATTTTGTAACGGAAGCAGTCTTCAAACAAGTATAACACGACAGTGCGTATGATTACATGGAATAAGAACGTACATATTTCAACAGTACTAATTGCATCGTGCTTGACAATCTCGGCAAGACAAGATGCGATGTGATGTTCTGCTGGATGTCGAGGATGCTGGCTGGCTATCCTGCCGAGATTCACAGCGACGATTCATCGTTTCAACTCCGTTACTGTCGTTATGCCTTATCATCGTGTACTTAAAATATGCTAATTCGTGTATGCAGCAAAGCTCGTAATTAACGTATAGTTTGCGCGTGCTATCCGTGTACTTGCTCGATTATCATTCAGATTCTTCTTCGTTCTTCTCCCACCTTTCGCCGTGCAACGCGACACGAGTTGTGTTCCATTTGTTGCGAGTATGATAAGCACACAAAAAGAAAATACAGCGTTCCATGAAAATTTACATATAGAATAAGTGTGTGTATGCGTGTTTGCGTGTGTGTAGGTGTGAGTTTGTGGTTTCCTTTTTTCTTTTGCGGATATAATGGTTCTCTCTAATTTCTCTTTTATACACGAACCTTATAAATACCACCTATCGAGAGCGACAGCTCGCAAGTCGCAAATTTTTTACAGTCCGTTTATACATGTTTTTCTCTGATCGTTATTCTCTCGTTTAAACATTGTAGAAGCTGAAAACAGACGAATTAGAACCACGTGTAGACGCGGGTAGAGGCACATACATAAGACAACAGCATAGAAATCGGTATAGAAAAGACAGATCGGACCAGTCGATCGAAACTGATCGGATGTTAACCCAAACCTTGTCAGTATTTAGCGATCCCTCAACGTGTTGTAATCACTGTTCGCTGGCGCTGGTCACGTTCAAGGCGAACGCCGCGTTCGTTTCGCCCTTCTTGCCGATCGCACGGGCCACGTATTGGCCGACGTCGCTGGCCGTGCACGATTTGATACGCAATTCGAACGATTTATCGCCGTCCGAACTGAAGAGGTACCTGCTACTAGATTCTGGGATCGCTTTTCCGTCTTTCAACCACGTTACTGCGCAACACAAATTCAAAACGACCATCAATCGAACCGCAAATACACGTTCATTACCGATCTACGCTCTCGACTGCCGATCTCCATACATTCCTGTCTAATACAATATGCGGAGTGAACATGCATATGAGAGTAAGAATTTTTCCACAGAGATCTGCAGTCTAATTATCACCAGAGAGAAATCGGTACGCGTGCAGAGTTTCTCACTGAAATCGTTCCAGCGAATGTCAAATTCAGAAATGAAATTTGCATCGCCGACAGTTTTTTTTTAAAACGCTTCAAAGTGTCGATTTCAACGAGACATACCTGCAAGAATTTGACTCAAGGACGCCGTGGAATACTGACCTTTCAAAGGCGCGGTTTCAGTCTTGCATGTGAACGTAACCGATTCGCCTTCGCTCACCGTTGCAGATTGCGGGAATGTCGTGAAGACTGGGCTCTTCGGTTCCTCGTTTGGAACTGCGTATAAACAAGAGACTCGAAATTAGTATCTAATAATCTCGGACGGTTAATAACGTGTATATCGGGATGAATCGCGTACCAAGTACGTTTAATGTGCACGACGAGAAACTCTCTCCCGCGTCGTTAAACGCCTCGCAGGTGTAGGTACCGGAGTCCTCGGGGAAGATCTCGGCAATGTTCAGCTTGTAGATGTTCGCCTCGTTGCTGTACTGGAAGTCTTTGCCCGGCTTGATCTCCTTGTTGTTGTGGAGCCACACCACGTCGAACTTCTTCGCGCCGATTATTCGACAGCTAAGGAGCACGGTTTCTCCGTCCTTCACGAACATGCTGGTCAGGTGGTCCACGATCTGCGGGGGCTTGTCGTCGGTCTTCTTCTTCGCGGCCGCGTCCGCGTTCGCTGGACGAGAAATAAAGATTACAGAGGGTGTCCCAAAATTATGGCGCTTCCGGGAAATAAGGGTTTGCTCGGATCATTTGAAGTTACTTTGTCCGCAAACGCAATCCGCGGCTTTGTTTACGAGCGGACAATCACCTTTCACGGTCAACTTGCAGGAGGTGTTCGCGGTGCCCATACTGTTGGTCGCCTGGCAAGTGTACTCGCCCTCGTCTTCAGGGAAGACTTCGTTGATCACGAGGGTGGCCACACCGGCCCTGTACTTCAGGTCCATGATGCCGGACGAGCTGAGCGTCTTGCCGTTCTTGGTCCAGGTGACCTGTGGCTCCGGATCGCCGTCGACCTTCGCGGTCAGCTCGAGCTGCTCCCCGTCGTTGATGGTCAGGTCGCTCAGCTTTTTCGTGAACGATGGCGCTCTCATCGAGTCGTCCGGTGGATCTACGAAAGCGTCAACGTGCAGAATCGGTCGATTATACCATCCTACGGTTTTCTGGATCGAATTAGCAACGCGTTCTCTTACAGATCAGTTCTTTCGTGCTGGTCCTGGAACGAGATGGACTGCCGGTGCTGTCGAGGCCGTACTTCTTCACGCTTCGTCTATCCGAGCTGGACTCTGTGGCCTGCAGCGACAAAAGATACGATTCGATTGCTTGTTCCCTTAATTCGCGAATGTTATCGAGATACGAAACCGTGTCAAATTATTCCTGACAAGATAGTTATGCTACGTCCTTGATCTATCGGTTACAGAAAATGTCCGGGAATCGTTTGACACATCGTGTACCGCTTGTATTGATCGGAGTAATTACTTTGTAGGACGAGGATGATGTGGAATTCTGCTTAGTGGTGGAACTACTATAATTCGAACTGCTAGAGTAACCCTGCTGGGTGGTGGAACTGTAGCCGCTGTATCCGCCGGATTTGTGGATCGTTATGATCGGCGGTGGCGCCGGTTTGATCGGTTGCTCGATGAATCTTCGATCTATGAAAGAAGCGGCATTATTTTCAGGTATAGTCGACCCGAGAGTCGTCTCCGGACTCCGAAAAAACATGCTCGAGCCATTGCACGTCGGGGCGTATGAAAATTTTCTTCGTCTCCGTTGCTACGGAACAAGGGTCGTACAAGGGGTTCAGAGTTTCATAAAGGTTTTCGTGCACTCTTCGCACGTCTGCCTGTTACATTGTTTAGCCTCGACTACGCGGGATATTTATCATCGTCGATTTCATCGGTAGGTTGCAATTTTTATTTACAGCAAGCGTCGGGGGTTCGAGTCGCGGCGACAAGCAACAAATTCGGAAATCCGCAGCGTCGGGCAGGCAAAATAGGTACGCGAGGTTCATTCTTGCTCTTTGGTTTCTACTGTTTTTTTTCTTTTTTTTTTGGTTTTACTGACATTTTTCGGGGAAAGCATCAACGAACTTTTTCTTCAAGCACATGTGTATTAAGGCGTGCGGGGATGGGAGCACGGGGGGCGATAGAAACAGCGTTATATTTTACGTCGAAATTTCTCTCTTATGATATTTGTCACATGTTCGCGTAACAATGAAGCTTTGTTTCATGCCTGGACGGGGCCATCGTTGCATCTTTAAAGCGACTACGATTGTTATTTCGCAGGAGTGAAACGGGAATATCCAAAGCGGAAGAGGTCGGCGTGCCCGTTCGTTTCGCGCGGTTTTTCGGAGGCTTTAACGTTCGGTATCCTGCGGATTGCTCGGGCTGGGGGTGGGCTAAAGCCGGGCGGGGCGGGGGCGGGGGCACGCTGCTCATTTTCCAAGGTACACCGGGTCTGCAAGTTCGAAACAAGATCAGTGATCGCGCGCCGAATCGTCGGGGGTTCGACGTGGAATGGCTCGCGTTCGCTTTCTAGCTGGTTCGTCGATGGGAAACTCCAACCATGCGGCTACTCGGCATGCGCCTAATCCGGACAGGGGCACAGAGTTATTGGCAAAACGAGGCGAACCGCTGCGGAAAATTAGTTGGTCCCCGGAACGAACGAAACGCACATTCGTCTATGAAGATTTTACGTGCACCATCAACCCAAAGGTTTACAACGAAACGCACAAGAGGAGATTGCGGACCGCGATTCTGCAAACTGTTCTCTGCAATTTACGACGTGACGTGCCAGCAATCGCGACAGATTAATCCTCGTCGTCGTGGTTCTTCCGGACCCGGAGTTCGAGGCCTGATTCGACCGTTCGACAGTCGAGGCCGTCTGCCGTTTGTTTATCAAAAAGTGCGGTAAGATAACGGCAATAACAATACTAATAATAACAATGATGACAATAACAGCAAAATTTTAGCTCGAAACGTTCGTACACATAAGGGCCCAATCACGGGGCTTCGCGGGAAGGCCCAACCTTTCCAAGGTACTACGAGGGCGAATCGCGAACGACAGAAAAAACCGAAAAATCGGCTGCGATAGATTGCTAAGACGTCACACCGTGTAACCATCAAAACATCATGGGGGATTGCATAGCAGGTGAGAGGGGTAGAACTCTACCTCCGGAATGTAGGAGGTCGTGCGCTAATTTAACTTGCTCCTCAGTTTCTCCAGTGCCTACAAATAAATGTTGGATGAGTTTCGTCGTGACCACACGGATTACACGTACACCCGCTACTTCCATAGCTCGGCGCTATACCGCATACGATAGGTGTCGTGGACGCATGTACCTTCGACGATGACGACGCAGGTGGTCTCGTCCTTTCCGTGCTTGTTGGTCGCAACGCAACGGTACTTTCCGCTGTCCTCGGGCTTGCAGTCGATGATCTCCATCGTGACGACACCGTCCGCGTGCGTCATCGCGTAATGATGCTTCGAGAGCTCGTCCCTGTCCTTGTACCACTTCACGGTCGGCGGCGGGTTGCCGCTCAAGCAGCAGAGCAGCTTGCAGGTTTGCCTGACCTGGATGACGCGCGGTCGTAGCAAGAACGTGAAGCTCGGCGCCGACTCGATCGTCTCCAACCAGACGTTGTAGCCGAGCGGTTCTCTCCTTCGCACCGGGTGCAGTTCCGGCCTGTACTTCGGAATCTCTCTAGGCAGCGCTGCGGGGAAAAACGGCGACCTTTTCGTGATTGGTTCTCGAACAGGCGTACAAGGAAGCTAAGGCGGGGACGAGGAACTTACGCTGCACGTTCAGGAAGACGACTTCTTCTCTGTAACCGTAATGATTCTCCGCCCTGATCACGTACTCTCCTCTGTCCTCGAGCTTCACTCTGTTGATGATGAAGGTGTAGTCCTCGCCGTGGTAGCGTTTCATGAACTTGACCGACTGCCGCAGCTCCTGGTTGTTGTGGAACCACGTGAGAGTCGGGTCGGCGATCGCGATCACGCGGCAAGTGAACTTCACGCTCTGGCCTTCGTACGCGAACGCGCTCGTCGGCTTGATGACGAACCTCGGCGCAGCCTGTCGTCGGTCTGTAAAGCGTTTTCACGGACATTAGCTCAGTAATAACTCATAACATAACTCTTAAACGAAGTTTAACGTTTCGTCCCTTACCGAAGCAAGAATCGTAAATCTTGTACTTCTCGACCAGCAGCTTCCTCAGGGAAGAGTACTCCGCCAGACGGCCAATCGGGAGCACGTACTTGTCCCAGTTCTCGTATTTGGCACGCAGCCTGTCCCTGAACTTCATGTATCGGCTACTCGAAATGGCTTTGGTTCTGTCGCTGTGGTCGCCGGTCAACCATGCATGCAACAGGCACTCGTGGGCGGTCATACGTTTCCTGAAAATCGACGGAGTGTTAGGAACATCGTTCGATCCTGTTCTCGATCCGATTAACGTACTCCTTGTTCTTGATGAGCAGCCGTCTGATGAAGTCCTTGCCCTCTTCCGAGACGTCGCGGAACGCTTCTTCGTCGAAGTCCCAGTCGCAAGCCTTGACGTTCTTCAGGGTCTCGATGTCGTTGTCACCGGCGAACGGTGAGAGGCCGCTCAGTCTGCAATCACGTTTAATTAGCTTCGCTTATACTCTCTGAGAGAAGCTGGGTCTCCCTAGTTCGACGTCCTTGTAAAACAATCTCTCGATATTTTTTCAAGAAAAATTATTAGGTATTATAGTCGCAAAGTTGATAGCTTTATTAACAGGCATTTCGGGAAGGTACCGAAATTTGTTGAAATAATGTCGATCGCCAAACCGCGGGTTTTTATGCAAAATAAAAAGTGTCTGCATGAAATGCAAGAAATAGAAACTGAAGATAAAGATTCCTCTTTTTTAAATCGTTTCAGCAGATCATTAATAATACAGTGACGCTTCTAAATTCTTTTAATTCTTCTACCGTGTTAAATTGCAACTGCTCAGTTTTGCCATAAATGCATACAAATTTGCAGTCTTTCTTCGCAGTTACAGATAGCGAGAGATTCGATTCGACAACGCGTCGAGCTAGAAGGAGACCTCTCGAAGACGCTGAAGAGAAGACGAGCTTACAGAACGTATGCCAATACACCGCAGGCCCACATGTCCGTGTAGAAGCCGACCGGCTCGCGCTCGACAATTTCAGGAGCAGCGAACTCGGCTGTGCCGGTGCTGATCTTGACCACTTCGTTGGGATCGAGTTTCGTGGCCAGGCCGAAGTCGATCAGCTTCACGTTCGTGCTGTTGCGCATCTGGCACATGATGTTCTCGGGCTTGATGTCTGCGGAGAGAATGCAACGATTAGACAACGTGACTAACGAGATAGTTGCAGCGAGTGTCACGCGGAGGAGACTTCTTACCCAAATGTATGATGTTCTTCTCGTGCATGTGTTTAACGCCCTCGCAGATCTGCCTCATGTAGTTGATCACCTCGGCCTCGGACATGGTGTATCCCTCCGCCGTGATCCTCTCGAAGAGTTCACCGCCGGACAAGCTGAACAAACAGAAGGCCGAGATTACGGATAAAGCGAGAGTCTATAGGATCCGTCGAATCGAAGTTCCGTTTTAATACTCGGACTGCGGGGCCCGGGTCCATTCGGACCCGCAGCAGAAATATTGTACAGTAATGTCTCCCATACTGACGCTCAGATTGTCCACTAAAATGGACAATTTGGGAGGAGGAGATACGATTATTCGAGCCTTGCGGCTCGTTTTTATAATTGTGGACAATTTATGACTATAACAATAAACCGCAAGGATCGTATAATCGTATCTTCTCTTCCCAAATTGTCCATTTTTGTGAACAATCTTAGCGCCAATTAGAGAGACATTACTGTATTTAGTTTCAATCGATTTCAATTTTCACGCGTCTCAAGCGAACTTTATACGAAGACCAACGAGTCTTAATAAAGATAAATAAATATTAATATATATATATATATATATATATATATATATATATATATATATAAATTAATAAGTAACAAGAAGTACATTAATATAATAAAACGATCAAACAGACGAGGTGCCGAGAACGTTGCCGTGGTTCGGTCTAGGTACTCACAACTCGAATATCAGGACCATCTCGTCGTCGTCCTCGAATGCGTCGTGCAGGTTGATCAGTTTCGGGTGGTGGAGCTGGTTCATGATGTCGATCTCCTTCCTGATCAGCTCCTTCTCCATCGCGTGCGACACGGGTATGAACTTGGCGGCGAATATGTTGCCGGTGGCTCTCTCGCGGCACCGATGTACCACGCCGAACGCGCCGGTGCCGATCTCCTCGAGGATGTCGTATCTGTCGTAGACGGAGAAGTGCTTGACCTCAACCGGCTGGGGCACGTATTTGCTGTAGACGTCGAAGACGAACTGATCGTAGTCGGACGGTTTCTCGTCGCTTCGTCCGCGGATCTTCTTGCCGGCCGCGTCCACCTTGTACTCCTTCTGCTTGAACTCCCTCTTGACGATGCCCTTGGTCGTGATCAGCGGCGTGACCTCGCTGGGATCGGACCTGCCGTAGATGTTCTCCGCGCACACCCTGAAGTCGTACTGGTGGCCGGCGCTCAGCCCTGTCACCGCCATCGTGCAGAACCTGGTGTTCCCGACGCGGATCCAGCTGGTCATTGGATGCTCCCGTTTCTCGACGAGGTAGTTCGTGATGTTGCTGCCGCCGTCCCAGACCGGCGGCTTCCAGGTGAGCGCGAGCGAGTCGTGGCCGACGTTGTCTATCTGCGGGAACCGCGGCGGGTCCGGTCGGTCGCTGATCTGGATCTTGATGATCGCGGTGTCCTGTCCGAGGTCGTTCTCCGCGGTGATGCGGTACGGGCCGGAGTCGATTCGGCTGCCGTCTATGATCGTCAGCACGGCGTGCCTCTCCTTGACGTCGACGGTGTAGTGACCGCCGGACTCGATCGTCTCCCCTTCTCTGACCCAGCTGATCTTCGGCTTCGGGTAGCCGGTGAACGGGATCTTGATCACCACGTTCACGCCCTTGTCGAAGAACGCGGTGTCCCTGAACCTCGGCGGCACGTTCAGCTTCGGCGGCGTCTTGATGAACAGCTCGCCCTTCGTCGACTTCACGCCGCACTTGTTCACAGCGCGGCAGAAATACTCGTCCGCGTCCTCGCCGAACACGTCGTGGATGACGAGATTGTGAACCTCGCCCTCCGAGTAGATCTGGTAACGGGATCCGCTGACGAGCTCGCGGGCGCCCTTGAACCAGGTGATCGTGGGCCTCGGGGTGCCGATGATCTTGCACGTGAACGTCGCGTTGTGGTTCTGCACGCAGTTCACCTTGTGCAGCGGCTGGATGATCTCGGGCGGCTTGGCCGCCTGCGGGTCGGTGATCTTCACCGAGGTCGAGGCCTTGGACTCCGGGCCGAGGCCAGCGGCGTTCTGCGCGAACACGCGGAACTCGTACTGTCTGCCCTCGATCAGGTTCGAGATGTTGATCTGCGTGGGCAGGCAGATGGCCACGTTCACGCGCACCCAAGTCTGGCTGCCCGCCTCGCGTTTGTCGATCCAGTAGCCCTGGATCTTCGATCCGCCGTCGGACTCCGGCCTCTCCCACGAGAGGTTCACGAAGTCGCCGCCGACCTCGGTCACCTTCGGCGTTCCCGGTGGTCCCGGCGGATCGAACGGCGCCTTGGCCTTGATGGGGCTCGTGCCCTCCAACGGCGGGCCCATTCCGTTGTCGTTCACCGCCATCACGCGGAACATGTACTCCTGGCCCTCCGTCAGTCCTTGCACCATGAACGAGCAGTCCTTGCAGAACGAGGAAACGATGATCCAGTGCGTGTGGCTGACGTCGCGACGCTCCACCATGTAATGGGTCACGCGGAGACCGCCGTCCACCTTCGGCGGATGCCAATACAGCGTGCAGGTGTGCTTGTTGATGTCCGTGATGTCCAGAGGTCCGGTCGGAGGTCCCGGCAGCCCGGTGATGTACACGTTGAACGATCCGCTGACGCTGCCGCTGTCGTTCGAGATCGAGAGGTCGTAGACGCCCGCGTCGTCTTTCTCGATATCCTTGATGAAGATGATCAGATACTCGTCGAACACGGTGTACTTGACGTGCGACGTCTCCACCACCTTGCGGTTGTCCTTCTTCAGGGTGATGTCCATCGGCTGGTCGCCGCTGTAGTAGATCTTGATCTTCGTGTTGTCGCCCTCGGCGAGGTACAGGTCGTCCGGCATGCGCTCGATGCGTGGCGGCGTGCCGATCTTCAGCCGGCACGTGGTCGTCGCGATGCCCAGCGGATTCGCCACCTGGCAGCTGAAGTCGCCGGCGTCCGCGTCCATCACGTCCGATATCACCAATCTGTAGATGCCGTCGAACGCCTCCGTCCTGAAGCGGCCGCCCAACGTGATCTCTCTGCCGTTTCTCAGCCACCTGGAAAACAACGGTGTTAGAGTGTCCGAAGATGTCGAGATGTCTGATACTTCGGTCGCCCGAAATGATCTATCCACGGATACTAAAAGAAAAAGGGAACAGCAAACGACACGAACTCATCGGACGACCTGATACGAAGCGAATACCGACCTGGCGGTGGGCAAAGGCTTCCCGGTGGCCTCGCACTCGAAGACCAGGGTCTTTCCGAGGGGTATGTTCTGGGTGACGGGCAACGTCCTGACGAACTCCGGCTTCTCGCCACCCTCGACCTCGCAGATCTTGACGGGCGTGGTGCAGGAGCTCGGCTGGGACCTGCCGGCAGCGTTCACCGCGAAGATGCGGAACTCGTAGTCGCCGCGCTCGATCAGATGCATCACGGTGTAATCGGTATCGGTGACGTTGTACTCGTTGCACTTTGCCCAGAGAGCGCTGCCGACTTCTCGTTTCTCGATCACGTAGCCGGTGATGCGGCTGCCGCCGTCCGACACAGGTGCCTCCCACTTCAGGTCCACGTAGTTCTTGCCGACCTTGACCACCTGCGGTGTGCCAGGCGGCGACGGCACGTTGAACTTGCTCTTCAGCTTGAACGGCGCGGACGGTGGGCTCGGCCTGCTGAATCCTGCCGCGTTCTTCGCGCGGATTCGGAACTCGTACTCGTGCCCGCTCAGCAGATTGTAGCAGATATAAGTGGTGTCCTTGACGAGGTAGTCGTTCGCCACGCGCCAAGTGGTGTCGTCCGCGACGTCGCGGAATTCGATCTTGTAACCCTGAAGAAGAAGCGGATACCGTGATGCTCTTTGAAATCGAGACTCTGTCTTATTGATTTATTTACTGTATCCAACCTCCATCTTTTTCTGTCTTTTATTTTTCTTTTTATTTGGCAATCTTTTTATATTTTATATATATAAAATATATATATAAATATATAAATAATATATATAAATAATATATGTATATATAATAATATATAATAAAATAATAATAATAAAATAATAAATATATAAAATATAGGGGAAGTTACTCATTAGTTATAAAATATTGCCAAATAAAAATAAAGATAAAAGACAGAAAAAGATACAGAGGTTGGATATAATGAGATGGCCGCCTTAAATTCTGTTTGAAAGAGTGTAGTAGGCGATTGAGAAAATCGATAGAAGAGTGAACAGTGTTTACAATAAAGAACGCACGATTGAACCCAGTATTATGTCCATTAGTTCCAAGTTTTTGAATATGAAGAAGTTCTCTGAACTTGAGATGAAATATTGGAGTATTCAAGTGAATACTCCATAATGAATATTCCATTATCCAATAATGCTCTCGCGAATCAAGAGTCCCTTAAGGACCCTATACGCAAAGTTGATATCATGTCTCTTCCTTCTCTGCTGAAGCGTGATTAAACTTAAAAAGGTGAGCACAGGGTTGCAGTCCAACCGGATTGGACATTCTACGCACCTGTACTCGGGAACCGCCGTCCGAGATCGGTCGGGTCCAGACCACGGTCGCGTTCGAGGTGTCCCAATCGATGACACGAGGCTGTCCAGGCGCATCCGGCACCGTGAACGGGAACTTCGCGGTGATGGGCTCATCCGCCTGGAGCGGTTCCGAAACTCCGTACTGGTTCTCGGCGCGTATGCGGAAGTTGTACTGGCGATTCGGTTCCAGACCGATCACGTCGTAGTGGGTGTTTCTGACGAAGCTGCTCAGCTTCACCCAGTACTGAAATCACGTCACCCGGTCAGCACCGTTAACATGACCAAAGTCAAAGGTGAACTTACGCCAGCTGGATCGAACTTCTCGACGACGTAGTTCGTGACGGGCGAGCCACCGTCGTCGAACGGCGGTTTCCAGGACAGCGTGCAGGTCTCCGGTGTGATGTCCGAAATATCCAACGGCGCCTGAGGCGGGGACGGTTTGTCTGCGAAGCAAAACCAAGTGAAATCGATCGTGATTTTTATGGAATTTTTGGAAGATCGCGTGCTCTTTTCAAACAACACTCACCGACAACGAGGACCTTGCAAGAAGCAGAGTCTGTGCCGACTGTGTTCGTCAGATAGATGGTGTAGTTTCCTGTGTCGGATCGTTTCGCCTTCTTGTTGATGAACTGCGAGGCGACGTCCGTCGTGTCGAACTTGATTCTGTCCCCGGTGAGAACCTCTTCGCCGTTGATCGACCAGCTTGGTCTCGGCTTCGGGTTCGCCGTGTACGGAACCGTGATCGTGAACGGTTCTCCGGCGATCACTGTCATGTCGCGGATGCTGAGGTCGGACGTGATCCTCGGCGGGACTGCAAATAGTCGGATAGTTAACGTGGGTTCTTTCGACCTCTCGGACAAAGAGCATACAGGGTGTCCCAAAATTACGTTACTTCCAGGAAATAAGGGGCTCCTGAGGTCGTTTGAAGTAACTTTTTCCTCGGCAAAAATGCAATCCTCAACAGTGACCAATGAGAGGAGAGCTCGGCTGGCGCTGGGCGGCCGAGCCAACGAGCAGAACTGGGCGGAGCCGAGCTCGTCTCTAATTGGTCAGTTTTAATTTAACCTTAACAACTCGTAAACGAAACTGTGAATTACATTTTCGCCAAGGGAAAAGTTACTTCGAATAAACTCAGGAATCCCTAATTTCCCGGGAGAAACGTAACTTTGGCACACCCTTTACAAATTAAGCCCTAAATAATAATAATTAAGACCTACATGGTGGCGCGCTGGCTCTGATCACTTCGGAGTTCGAGCTGTACGGTCCGCGGCCGGCAGCATTTTCTGCTGCCACGCGGAACTCGTAGTCGTGGTTCTCGATCAGCCCGGTCACCCTGTAGGTGGTCTCGTGAACGAGGGACGGCGTGGCCTTCGTCCACTTGTCCTCGCTCAACAATCGCTTCTCTATCACGTAGCCAAGGATCGGGGAGCCTCCGTCGTGACGAGGCTTGGTCCAGGTGATCGTGATGCTGTCCTCCGAAGTCTCGACGCCTCTCGGCGCGCCAGGCGCGCCAGGCGGATCGAACGGATGCCTGGCCTTGATCGGGTCCATCGTGGTCACTGGATCCGAGGTGCCGTACTGGTTCTCGGCCATCACGCGGAACTCGTAGGTGCTTCCGACCGTCAGGTTCCTGACTCGGACGAACGGTGTTGTGATGTAGCTGCTCACCTATCGATGAAGGAACCGTGAAAAAAACGATTCGACAACTACAATAGTATCGCGACTTCGAGACGCCGGATGTAGCTCTGACGAACCTTCGACCACGTGCCCTTCGGCTCGCGTTTCTCGAGGACGTAGTTGGTGATGTCCGCGCCGCCGTTGTCCTTCGGCGGGTTCCAGAACAAGGTCAGAGCGTCTCCTCCGAACTCGTCGGCGTGGAGGTTCTCCGGCGGATTCGGTCTGTCGAGCACCTTGACGTTCAAGGTGGCCGTGTCGAAGCCCGAAGAGTTGCGCAGTTGGAGTCTGTACACTCCTCCGTCGGATCGCTTCGAGTTCTTCACCACCAAACTGCAAACGAGAAATGAATTAGATCCCGAACGTCGACGCGTTCCCGTATAACCTTGATAATATCTCGATTACCTGGCGTAATCGTCGGCCAGCTGTTGGTGCACGCGATGGTCGGTCTCGTCCTTGACGACGTCGTTGGCGTACCATGTGGCAGTGGGTTTCGGGAAGCCGATGTAGGGCACGTGAATGGAGAAGTCTTCGCCGGCGCGTACGGTGATGTCGCGAACTCCTCCCAGATCCATCACCGGCTTGTTCGGCTGTTCCTCGATGACAATAGGGTTGCTCGCCTTGCTCGGGTCGCTGTTGCCGACGTCGTTCACGGCGATCACTCTGAACAGATACTCCTCGCCCTCCTTCAGCTTCGGCACCGTGTAGACGTTCGTCGGTATCAGGGCACCGTTCACTTCGTCCCACTCGTCCTGTCCTCTCTGCTTGATCTGGACAATGTATCCTCTGATCTTGGAGCCGCCGTCGCTGCGCGGAGGACGCCAGCTCAGGGTCACCGAGTCCTTGGTGATCCTGTCGGGCTTCGGTGCATCGGGAGGATCGGGACGCACTGGCAAAGAACACACTCGGTTACTCTATTTCCTTCATCGATGGGACATCGCTGTCTTACTAGTGTGGGGACCAGGACCCCCTAAGAACAAGAGCGCGATTGGAAATTGGGAAAGCAGAAGGATCCCGTGCGAGGAAATTGATCTGCTATGAAGCGAGAGGTCCGGGTTCGAACTCGTGTGCCTTCCCTCTTCTTTCCCAAGATCCTACGCTAGTTTCTAACACTTACAACGCTGGTGTCCAGCGGTGATCGGCTCGGTAGGCTTGCTGGGTTTGCCTGCGCCGGCCTCGTTCACCGCGATAACCCTGAACTCGTACTTGGATCCCTCGTGGAGATCCTGTACCGTGAACGTGGTGTTCGGAGTCGGGTAATTGTTGACCTTCAGCCATTCTCCGCCACGCTCGCGCCTCTCCACGTAGTAACCTAACGAATCACGGACGGTTAGAACATCAAACGATCCCCTCGAGGGTGAAAATCGAACACTATGAGCGGAAAATAGATGGTTCCCGACCTGTGATAGGTTTGCCACCGGTGTTCAGCGGTGGATTCCAGAAGAGGCTGCAGCTGTTCGGAGTGTATCCGAGGATCTCCGGCTGGCTGGGCGCGTCCGGAGGATCGTACGGGCTCTTCGCGACCACCGGCTTGCCTTCCAGCGGCTCCGACACGCCGTACATGTTCTCGGCACGGACCCTGAAGATGTACTTCTTGCCCTCGGTGAGTCCCTTGGCAGTGTAGCTGGTCCTGGGACAGTATCCAGGCGTCTGTCTCCAGTTGTCGACACCGTAGTCCGACACCTCGACGATGTAGTTCGTGATGTCGGAACCGCCGTCGTCCAGAGGCTTGTTCCACGACAGGGACACGGACTCCTGGGTGGTGCCGGTGTACTGCAGCGGGCCCTGAGGTGGTCCGGGCCTGTCCACAACGATCACTTCGATGTCCGCCGAGTCCCGGCCGTACTCGTTCGTCGCCGAAACAGTGTAGTTGCCGCCGTCGTCGCGGACCGATTTCTCGATCGACAGGCTGGTGCGGTCGCTCTTCGTCTCGGTCTGAAAATGTAAGTTCATCGTGTACAAATGTGCGCTTGAAACGTGTTAGCTATGAACTGAGAGAAAACTAGAATGCGTAGTTTTTCTACTCAGGCGAATAATGTGAAAAATAAAATAATGAAAAATAATGTAAACAAATAAATGATAACGACATTATAAAACGCTCTAATCGCAGGGATAAATTTGTTAGATCGAGTCATAGATAATAACTTCCGCTTTTTTATCAGACATTTATCTTGTTTCCTTTTTTATTATATTCATTTCGAACCCTAATCTATTCAATGAAAGCAGAAACTCGTTTGTCCCGATGACTCATAGCGGATAGATAAGAACAATTAGGTTCTACCTAGCTGCGTCGGAAGTTACTTATGACTCGACCTAATATTTAGCCTTGGATTTGGAGCGTTCGGTCGTACCGAGATTCGCAGAGTCTCGAGAATCGGCCTGGCGTTCCTGGTCCATTCGATCGTGGGCGTCGGAGCTCCGCTCAGCGGTATGTTAATGTTGATCGGTTCTCCGGCTCGGACCTTGATCTTGCGTCCGATCAGCGCGTCGAGGTTCAGCTTCGGCTTCTCCTTCATCGGCTTAGCGATGAACACCGAGGAGGTGTCGCTCGGTTTACCGGATCCGGCGGCGTTGATCGCGGTCACGCGGTACTCGTACGCGTGGCCCTCGGTCACATGATCGTCGTAGAACTCTGCGTATCTGACGGGCTCCTTGTTCATCTTCAGCCAGCGGCCGGTCGCTCTGTCGCGGCGCTCGACGTCGTAGCCGATGATCTTCGAACCGCCGTTGCTGATCGGCGCGGTCCATTTGATCTTGATGTGATCTTTGTCGGCGTCGACCAGTTCCGGCTTGCCGGGCTGTCCGGGCGCGACTGTACAAAAATTGATCACTTTAGAATCAGAGATCTTCGCGCCGGAAGTTCACAGAATCGAGAACTTTAGAGAACAAAGCGCATTACCGAATTGGTTCTTGGCGACGATCGAGCGATCCGTGGTCAGTGGATCGGAGCGTCCCTGGAGGTTCTCCGCGGACACTCTAAACTCGTAGGTGGTGCCTTCGAGCAGCCTTGGGACGGTGGCGTGGTTGAACTTCGGATTGACGTGGGTCACCGCTGGTACCCAACCGCCACCGTGGGTCAGGTCGCGTTTTTCGATCACGTACCCGCTGAAAAAGGTAGCGTTTTGTTAAGGATGCGATCGGAATATCGGAAGACTATATATAGACTCTTCTGATATATATAAGATTATATAATAGACTATATAAGACTATATAAGGCTATATAAGACTATATAAACTATATAAACTATATAGACTATATAAGACTATATAAGACTATATAAGACTATATGTATAAACTATATAGACTATATAAGACTATATAAGATTATATAAGACTATATAAACTATATAGACTATATAAGACTATATAAGACTATATAAACTATATAAGACTATATAAGACTATATAAACTATATAGACTATATAAGACTATATAAGACTATATAATATAATAATATATATCAGAATATCGTTGTACTAAAGCGATCTCAAATATTTGAGACAGAGAGGAGAAGGAACGGAGAGCAGATAATGTTGATTAGAATGAAATACGCTTCCGCGGAAAATGCTGATAAGTTCCAGACAAAAGACTGACGTCTGCTTCTAAGCCAAAAGACTGAAATAAAGACTTCATTCATCAATTCATACTAACGTGATCTCGCTGCCACCGTTGTCCTTCGGCGGCTTCCAGGATAGCGTGACCGACTGGCTCGTGATCTCCTCGTACTCGAGAGGCGCCTCCGGCGGTCCCGGTCTGTCGAGGACGATCACCTGGAAGCTACCTTCGTCTATGCCACTGCTGTTCTTCAGCAACAAGTGATACTGCCCGGAGTCGGATCTCTTGGCGTTCACCGTGTGCACGATGGTGTGGTAGCCGATCGAGGTGACGGTCGTTCTGTCGGTGGTCTGCAAGTCCTTGGCGCCGACCGTCCAAGAGACTTCCGGCGTTGGCTCGCCGACGAAGTCGATGTCGACGTGGAAGATCAGTCCGGCCTTGATGCGGATGTCCTGCAGAGGTGTCTTGATCTTCGGGGCAACTGAAACATTTCGAGGAAAGTATCCCATTAGCGGCTGCTTCCATAGAGAATTCGGTGTTTTTTTTTAAAGTAGAGGTCGTTTGTTTTTTTAGTAGAACACTCACGGTGACGCGGTTTGGCGGTGACAAGGTCGCTCGGCTCGGACGGCTCCGACTGTCCGGCAGCGTTCGTCGCGATCACACGGAATTCGTACTCTTGTCCCTCCGTTAGATCAGGCACGGTGGTATTGGTCTGCTTCGGAGGAACGTGGACAGCGTTCACCCAGTNCTATATAAACTATATAAGACTATATAAGACTATATAAACTATATAGACTATATAAGACTATATAAGACTATATAATATAATAATATATATCAGAATATCGTTGTACTAAAGCGATCTCAAATATTTGAGACAGAGAGGAGAAGGAACGGAGAGCAGATAATGTTGATTAGAATGAAATACGCTTCCGCGGAAAATGCTGATAAGTTCCAGACAAAAGACTGACGTCTGCTTCTAAGCCAAAAGACTGAAATAAAGACTTCATTCATCAATTCATACTAACGTGATCTCGCTGCCACCGTTGTCCTTCGGCGGCTTCCAGGATAGCGTGACCGACTGGCTCGTGATCTCCTCGTACTCGAGAGGCGCCTCCGGCGGTCCCGGTCTGTCGAGGACGATCACCTGGAAGCTACCTTCGTCTATGCCACTGCTGTTCTTCAGCAACAAGTGATACTGCCCGGAGTCGGATCTCTTGGCGTTCACCGTGTGCACGATGGTGTGGTAGCCGATCGAGGTGACGGTCGTTCTGTCGGTGGTCTGCAAGTCCTTGGCGCCGACCGTCCAAGAGACTTCCGGCGTTGGCTCGCCGACGAAGTCGATGTCGACGTGGAAGATCAGTCCGGCCTTGATGCGGATGTCCTGCAGAGGTGTCTTGATCTTCGGGGCAACTGAAACATTTCGAGGAAAGTATCCCATTAGCGGCTGCTTCCATAGAGAATTCGGTGTTTTTTTTTAAAGTAGAGGTCGTTTGTTTTTTTAGTAGAACACTCACGGTGACGCGGTTTGGCGGTGACAAGGTCGCTCGGCTCGGACGGCTCCGACTGTCCGGCAGCGTTCGTCGCGATCACACGGAATTCGTACTCTTGTCCCTCCGTTAGATCAGGCACGGTGGTATTGGTCTGCTTCGGAGGAACGTGGACAGCGTTCACCCAGTACGGCGAACCCTTCTCCTTCTTCTGAATGATGTATCCGGTCAGCGGCGATCCACCGTCGTTGCTAGGCGCCGGCCATTGCAGATCGACGTGGTCTCTGTCCCAATCGGTAATCAGCGGTCTTCCAGGAGCGTCCGGTTCATCTAAACATATCGAACGTTCTTAGAGATCTAAACGCGAGTGGCGGTCTACATCGGGAGCCGAAAAGTTGTCAACCGGGAGGTCGTGGACAACGAGTGGGAATCTTTACAGTTGGCAATGAAATTAGCGCGACGATACTCGACCTCGATGGTCCTACTATAAACGAAAGTCGATCCCGGTCAACTGACATCCTCTCAGCTCCCGATAGATACGGTTAAGACTCTATCAACTAACCAAACTCGTTCTTAGCCACGATGCTTCTCGGCGCCTCGAGCGGATCGGACTCGCCGATGGTGTTGACGGCCTTCACGCGGAACAGATACTCCTTGCGATGCGTCAGTCTAGCGACTTCGTGGCTCAGGACCATGCTCATACCGGCATCGGACCAGGTGCCACGGGACAAGTCCATTTTCTCGATGATATAGTGGAGGATGGGGCTGCCTCCGTCGTCCAGAGGATGACCCCAAGCCAGGTGGCAACCTTCCTTGGTGATGTTGCTGATCTCGAGCGGCTTCTGCGGCGGCGACGGTCTGTCCAGGACCGTGACCCTTGCGCTGGAGCTGCACTTTCCATGATCGTTGACCAGGGTCAACGCGTAACGACCGGTGTCCGAGCGAACGGAGAACGGAATCTCGAAGGTGGTCTCCGTGTTGGTGGTGTACATCTCGTGGCGGGTGTCCGCCATGATCACGGATCCCTCCAGGGTCCAGCTGGCCATGGGTTTCGGAGAGGCTTGGATGGGAATGACGTAGCTGATCTTTTGTCCGGCTCGGACCACCAGGTCGCTTAGAGCGTGCGGGTCGAACGTTGGGGCGACTGTCGTGAAAAATGTTCCGGTTAGTTGCTATGGTCTTTCTATTAGGACGAATCGTAAGTAATTTCCGTTTATTTATTTTTAACCCTTATCTATTTTCAGTGAAAGCAAATACACCTAGCTGCGTCGGAAATTATTTATGACTCGATCTAATCTAATACTTCACGCATCATCGGTCGCTATACTCACGGAAGCGCGGTTTGGCGATGATCGGCGACGAGGCGTCGGAAGGCTCGCTAAGGCCGCCCTTGTTGACGGCGATCACCCTGAACTCGTACTCCGTTCCTTCGACTAGATCAGGAACCGTGCCGCTGTTCTTGCTGCCGTCGAGCTCCACGGCCTTCTCCCAGGAGCCGAATCGCGGCTTCTTCTCGATGATGTACCCGGTGATGGGCGATCCGCCGTCCTTCTTAGGCGGCGGCCATTCCAAGTCGACGTGGTCCTTGTCCCAGTCGGTGGCGACCGGCGCGCCAGGTCTGTCGGGCCTGTCGTAAGGGTCTTTGGCAGTGATGGTGTCCATGCCGGTGAGCGGCATGGATTCTCCTTGCTTGTTCACGGCGCGGACTCGGAACTGATAGTCGTGTCCCTCGATCAGGTGGTCGACGTGGGCGGAAGTGGTGTTCGCCTCCGCCACCGGCACCCATCGCATGTTCTCCGTGTCCATCTTCTCGACCTGGTAGTACTGGATCTCCGAGCCACCGTCGTCTCTCGGCGGTCGCCACTTCAGGTTGCATCCGTTCTTGGTCACGTTCTCGATCTTCAGAGGACCTTCCGGCGGCGCTGGCACGTCCAGCACGTTCACGTTCAGCGTGGCAGCGTCCCGGCCGTTCACGTTCTTCGCCTCCAGCGTGTACACGCCGGAGTCGGACCGCCTGGCCTCGATCACTCGGACCTTCGTGTTGTAGTCCTCGTTCACGATCTTGATGCGGTCGTCGCCGATCACCGGCGTGCCCTTCAGCGTCCACGTCTTCGTTGGAGGCGGCTCGCCGATCACCGGCACGTCGAAGTCGTAGAAACCGCCGGCCTTCACTTTCACGTCCAACATGTACTTCCTGTCGATCCTCGGAGCAACTGCGAACGGATTATATCGCGCGATTAATTCGTGTGCGTGGATTTCAGGGAAATGGGTGGAGGAGGATGACGGTACTTACGATTCTTGGGACGGGCCAGGTGCGATTTGGAGGCGTCCGATGGTTCGCCAGGCCCGGCTTTGTTGACCGCCCTCACGCGGAACTCGTAGTGAGTACCCTCGATCAGATCGTTCACCTTTCCGCGATTCACGTCGCCTTCTACTTCGGCGCATTTCTCCCAAGTCGGGCTGTACTTGTCGCGTTTCTCTATGATGTAGCCGGTGATAGGAGAACCACCGTCCTCGTGCGGCCGGTCCCACTGAAGTTCCACGAAGTCCGAGTCGTAGTCGCTGACTGTCGGCACTCCGGGCTTTCCTGGCTCGTCTGCAAGTAGGAAACTATCATGAGTATCCCGATGACAATAGCCAAGCGTGATCGAAACTAGGGATCTCTATTTCACGCGTGTACAGTGTAATTAATACATTATTACGAATATATTGTATTCGTGTAATTTTTAACCGTTCGAGTCCCAAGCAGCGCGATCGCGCTGTTCAGATCTTGTGTCGCGATCAAACTTTAGTGACGCACATACATCTGTCTCTTATACACATCTAGATGTGTATAAGAGACAGATGTATGTGCGTCACTAAAGTTTGATCGCGACACAAGATCTGAACAGCGCGATCGCGCTGTTCAGATCTTGTGTCGCGATCAAACTTTAGTGACGCACATACATCGCATAGCTTTTCACATTTTTTTTCTTTTTGCTGTGTTTGACAATGTTGACGAGCGCTATCGCACCGCTTTGTTCTCTTCGTAATAAATTAAGATAAGCGCTATTACGCAGTTCGCCACTTTTCGACCGTGTTTTCTGAATAACCCTTGGGACTCAAACGGTTAATACATGCGCACACATGTATACAAATTTGTGTACTAGAAATTGCACAGATCTAAGCACGTGTATGTTAAAAATACGCGTACACAGGTACACATGTATGTACAATACACGTTCAAAACTAATGTTTCCCTAAGTAATGTCTCCCTAAATGACGCTCAGATTGTGCACAAAAAATAAACAATTTAGGAATTTGAGATATGATTCTTCGAGCCTTGCAGCTCGTTTTTATAGTTGTTGGCAATCGATAACCATAAAAAACGAGCCACAAGGCTCGAACAATCGTCCAAGGACAACAATCGTTCCTCTTCCAAAATTGCCCATTTTTGTGGACAATCCGAGCGTCAATTGGAGAGACATTACTGTACAATGCGCGTCCGCTCACCGAATGGATTCTTCGCCTCGACGGTCTGCATGCAGGCCAGCGGTTCCGACTTTCCATGCTTGTTGACCGCCCGGACTCTGAACTTGTACTTGTGTCCAGGCGTGAGTCCTTCGACTTGAAGGGACGTCTCGGGCCCGTCGGTTTCCCCGGCAGGTACCCATCGGCCGGTAGCCTCGTCCATCTTCTCGACGACGTACTTCTCCACCGGTTGCCCGCCGTCGTCCTCCGGCGGTTTCCAATTCAGCTTGCATCCTTCCGCGTGAACGTCGGATACTCTGAGCGGTCCCTGAGGCGGGCTCGGCCTGTCCAGGACCGTCACCTTCACGACAGCCTCGTCCTCGCCGTTTATGTTCTCGGCGGTGATGACGTATTTGCCGGAATCCTCTCTGACGGCCATCCGGACGCTCAGGCTGGTGTTGTAGTCCTGGTGCTTGACCTTGATGCGATCGGTCGGCCTGACCTCCCGGCCGTTCAACTTCCACCTGGTGGTCGGCGGCGGTTCGCCGGTCACCTTGACGTCGAAGCTGAAGTTCTGACCTGCCTTGATCTTAACCTCGATCAGATTCGTGCGGTCGATCCTCGGCGCCAGGTTTCGCGGTTTCGCAATGATCGTTGGCGTCGGATCGGATGGCTCGCCAGGGCCGGCTTTGTTTACGGCGCGCACGCGGAACTCGTACGGCTGGCCTTCGATCAGGTCGGGAACGGTGGCGGACGTCTCATCCGCAGGCACTTCCACCGCCTTCTCCCATTCGCCGTATTTGTCTTTCTTCTCGATGACGTAGCCGGTGATGGGCGATCCGCCGTCGTTCGTTGGCGGTGTCCACGCGAGATCCACGTGATCCTTGTCCCAGTCGGTTGCCCGGAGATCGCCTGGCTTGCCCGGCTCGTCTGAAGGTTCGAAACGCAACGAATCAACCCTGACACTTTTTACTTCATTTCGTTGATACTCAAAGATTCGTGATCGACAGACTTACCGAACGGATTCTTGGCCAAAATGGCTTGCTCCGCCTCCAGAGGCTTGGACTCTCCCTCGGCGTTCACCGCGCTGACCCGGAACAAGTATTCTTTGCCCGGTGTCAGACCACTCACCTCCAAGTCTAAAGGACATACCGTCGAATTAATTTCATTCTATCGCTTAAACACTGCTTTTTTTTAGAGAGAGGGTCTTACTTGGCTCGGTGGATCTGCCGCAAGGCACCCAGCACCCGGTCTCCGGGTCCATTTTGTCCACCTGGTAATACTCGATCGGAGTGCCGCCGTCGTCCTTCGGCCTCTTCCATTTCAGCTTGCAGCCCTCCTTGTGGACATCCGAGATCTGAAGCGGTCCCTCCGGCGGCATCGGCTTGTCCGTGACGGTGACCTGCACCGTGACCGAGTCTCTGCCCGAGGTGTTATGAGCCGTGACCGTGTAATCGCCGCTGTCGTCTCGCGACACCGGCCGTATGCTGAACTTGGTGCTGTACTCCGAGTTGTCGATTTGTACTTTTCTGTCCGAGTGCAACGGGATCGCTCCGTATCGCCACTCGATGTGTGGCGGCGGTTCTCCGATCACGTTCGCGTCGAACCTCAACAGAGAGCCGGCGGACAGAGTGACGTCCCTTAGATTGCGTCGATCGATCTTGGGTGCCACTGAAACAATGAGAATTTATAGGTGAGCTTGATCGACCGATAGGTGCCAATATTATTTATAAAATGTTTGTTACGCTATTGTCGGAACCAACAGCCCGCTAACTATTCCTAATGTATTCGTGTCAGGGATAATGGACAGGGTGAAATGAGAAACGTTTGGACCCTTGCCACGAGCAACGAGAATGAAACTATTTGTTTCTCCATACATTATGTACGCGTGTGCTTCTAGGGACGATTGATTCTTCGTTTCCGGATACTTACGGAAGCGTGGTTTCGCCGTGAACGTCTTGCTGGAGTCTCCAGGCTCCGATTGGCCAGCCTTGTTCACAGCGATCACGCGGAACAGGTAATCGTTGCCCTCGATCAGACCATGGACCATGGCTCTTGTGGACGGTATCTCGATCTCCACAGCTTTCTCCCACATCGTGCTGTATTTGTCTTTCTTTTCGACGATGTACCCGGTGATGGGCGATCCTCCGTCGCTGACCGGCTCCTTCCAGGTCAGCTCCACCTGGTTCGCGGTCCAGTCGACCGGCTCCGGTGCTCCCGGAGGACTTGGGACAGCTGAAAGAGTCGTTCGATCAAACACACCATTTACGAAGGGTTCGGGAGGTCTTCTTAGTCCGACGATTTAATTATTATGACTAGACCGCGGATTTTATGCATTTATGACAAAAATGAGTAGATCTTTGAAACAATAAACGAAATAAAAGAATTAAAGAGTACCGTTACATTATTTTCAAGTTACTGAAATTGTTAAAGAAAGAACTTTCTATCTGACAACCGGTTGTTGCAATTCACAAATACAATTTTCATTTTGCATCAAGATCCGTAATCTGATGATGACTTTGAGAATTTTTTACAAGATAGATATTAGGTATTATTGTTGTACAGTATATAGTGTATAGTATATGTATAGCATTATATAGTAGTCTATTATATATTAATCTAGTAATAGTAATAGTAGTCTATAATAGTAATCTAGTAGTAGTAGTCTATTATCTATTATATAGTAGTCTATAGTCTGCTAGTATAGTAGTATATAGTATTGTATAGTATAATATATATATAGTACAGGGAAACGTAGCCACATTTTTTTCAGCTGCAAATCATCGAATTCCGCGAAATTAAAAAGACCTCCTGACCACGCGTTCGCTTCTTTCGCGACAGATACGTACTGAACGGATCTTTGGCGACGATCGAGCCGAAAGTCTCCAACGGCTCCGACTCTCCTTCCTTGTTTAGCGCTTTCACCCTGAACTTGTACTCGTGTCCAGGCGTCAGTCCTTCTACCTTCATCTCGGGACCCATTGTCTTGCCGACAGGCAACCAGACACCGGTGTCCGGATCGAACTTCTCCACGAGGTATCCCTCGATCGGTTCGCCGCCGTCGTCTTTCGGCTTCTTCCACTTGAGCGTGCATCCCTCCTTGTGGATGTCGGACACCTCCAGCGGTCCCTCCGGTTTGCCAGGTTTCGCTGAAAATAATTGTTTAGAACGTTGAATAGAAAACGTGTGCGATTCGTCGTCGAAGAGTCGTTCAAACTGGAAACGAAGACTGCCACTCACAGACAACGGTGACCTCGACGTCGGCCGTGTCCGAACCGTGTTGGTTCACCGCGGTGATCTTGTAGATGCCGCTGTCTTTGCGCTCGGGCTTGTCGTTGAAGAACTTGCTGTTGTACGGGACGTTCTGTATGCGACGGAACGTCGTCACTTGGATGCTCTTGTTGTTCAGGACCCAGGTGACGTCCGGCGGCGGTTCACCGATGATCTTAACGTCGAAGTGGAACCCTTCGTTCTCGCGAACCGTGATGTCGCGCAAGTTCTTCCGGTCGATTCTCGGCGCGACTGCAAACGGAACGACGGATGGAACGTTAGTCGTGATCGTCGCTTTGTGGAAGAAGTTATGTTAACCCTCGCGCACCGTTCAGGTCGACAGGACAGCGGATCTTCTACCAACGCGCTAATCTAAATTGCGCTACTATACCCTATGTTAGTTACAGATAGGTTCCCTTAACCCTTTCGGTACGAGCGCCGGATATATCCGGCATCCATCTAGTCACCTGTGTGGCCGAGCGCCGGATATATCCGGCATCCATCTGATGACCAATATGGACGAGTGCCGAATATATCTGGCATCCGCGTAAGCCATATTTCTGTAGGCCCTTTACAGAATGTTTACAGGAAACATTTAAAGGAAGATTTAGAAACGGATTAAGCACAGTCATTACTTAACGCTTAAGAAAATCTTCGTACAAAAGTGGACTGACCCTGCGTTATGTGCGCATTTTCGGCGCGGCACCCCGTACAGTGGGAGTGTCACGGCGGACAACGCGCTCGTACCGAAAGGGTTAATGCTAAAGCGGTACAATTCGCAGAATGTTTCACGATTTTCTGAACGGTGCGTGGAGCAGAAGACGCAACGCGGCAGGTCCTTACGTCGTCGGCTCTTGGCTGTGATCGGTTTGCTGGTGTCCGACGGCTCGCCGGGGCCAGCTGCGTTGATGGCCCTCACGCGGAATTCGTATTCGACGCCTTCGTCGAGGTTGTCGACGCGTCCCTTGCAGTCGGGTCCGGTCTCGAGAGCCTTTATCCATCGCGGACTGTCCTTCTCGCGCTTCTCCACAATGTAACCGGTGATTGGAGATCCACCATCCTTCAATGGTGGAGTCCATCTTAGGTCAATGTGATCCTTGTCCCAATCGGTAGCCTCTGGGCGACCAGGTGGTCCTGGTTCGTCTGCAAAAGAAAACCGCAGCAATTAACAGTCGTCGATCCTGCGGAGATATTTTGACCTGCCGCAGAACAAGAAATCAGGCACAAACCGAATGGATTCTTCGCCACGACGCCGTACTCCGTTTCCAATGGTTCCGATTCACCTTCCGCGTTTACAGCAGCGACTCGGAACTTGTACTCCTGTCCGGGTACCAGATTCTCGACGACCATGTTGGGATCCTTGGTGCGTCCCACGGGGATCCATCTACCCGTTTCCGTGTCCATTTTCTCGACGACGTAATGGTCGAGCGGCGTGCCGCCGTCGTCCAACGGCGGATTCCATTTCAGCGTGCATCCTTCCTTGTGCACGTCGGACACCTTCAGAGGACCCTCCGGTTTGCTCGGTTTGTCCAGCACCAGGATCTCGATCGACGCCTCGTCCTTGCCGGAGCTGTTCTCCGCCTTCAGGGTCAGCGTGCCGCAGTGAGCCCTGCTCGCCGACATTATGATGTACTTGGTTCTATAGTCCTCCAGCTCGATCGACAGGATACCGCCGGTCTCCTGTTTGGCCTTGTTCAGGAACCAGGTCTTGGTTGGAGGCGGTTCACCGGACACTTTCGCGTCTATGCGAATGTGATTGCCTGCCTTGACCGTGAGATCCTTCATGTTCGTGCGGTCGATCTTCGGCGCAGCGTATCGGTCCTTCGCGATCAAGCTGTCGCTGGCTTCGCTGGGCTTGCTCGGGCCACCCTTGTTCACCGCCTTCACGCGGAATTGATACTTCTGCCCTTCGATCAGGTCTTCGACCCGTCCTTCGGTCTTGTTTCCAGGCACCTCGGCAGCCTTCTGCCACTTGCCGAACTGATCCTTCTTCTCGATGATGTACTTCTCGATCGGCGCGCCGCCGTCCTTCTTCGGAGCCTTCCACTTCAGGTCAACGTGCTGCTTGGACCAGTCCTTCAGGTCTGGCTTGCCGGGCGCGTCCGGCTCGGCTGTAATGTCGAAGAGCTTGTTAGAAACGTCTGAAACGAAATAAAGGATACCGATCGAATCGATCTCGATTATACGTACTGTAGGGATTCTTCGCCGTGGTCGGGATCGCCGTCTCCAAAGGCTCGGACTCGCCCTCGGAGTTCACAGCCTTCACGCGGAACATGTAGTCCTTGCCCTCGTTCAAGCCGGTGACGTCGGCCTCGGGTGTTTTGCTCGTGGCGCAAGGTACCCATCTTCCAGTATCCACGTCCATCCTTTCGATGACGTAGTGATCGACTGGCTCGCCGCCGTCGTCGTCGGGTTTGTCCCATTTCAGCTTGCAGCCCTCCGCCGTGACGTCGGACACCTCCAGAGGTCCCTTCGGCTTGCCGGGCTTGCTCATCACCTGGAGCTCGACCTCCACTTGATCGGTACCGCTGTCGTTCTTCGCGATCACCGTGTAGGTGCCGGTGTCGATCCTCTGCAGTTTCGTGATGATGAACGTGGTGTGGTAGTCCTCGTTCTCGATCTTGAGGCGATCCATGCTCTTCAGCACGGCCTCCTTGAACATCCACGTGACGATTGGCGGAGGCTCGCCTTGGATGGCCGCCTCGAGGCGCAGCATCTGTCCCACTCGCATCACCTTCTTCTGGAGGTTCTTGCGGTCGATGCGTGGCGCCACTTTAAGAAGGATAAATCGTTGTTAGAAATAAATAAATAAATCATTGTTAGTCTTAAAATGGAAGAAGCAGCGAAACGCTTTTAATCACTTACAGAACCGCGGTTTAGCCACGACGCTCTTCGAGGTGTCGCTGGGCTCGCCCGGTCCGGCTCTGTTCACAGCCACTATCCTGAACTCGTACTCGTGACCCTCCTCGATTCCATCGGTGACCTTGGCCGCGGTGCGGTCGCCCGACACCTTCGCGACGTCTATCCACTGTCTTCCTTCCTTGTCCCGCATCTGTACGATGTACTTCTCGATGGGAGCGCCGCCGTCGTCTCTCGGCGGCGTCCATTCGAGGTCCACGAAGTCCTTGTCCCAGTTCTTGATGTCTGGACGACCGGGTTTGCCAGGCTCGTCTGAAACGAATTAGCGTTATCGCGTCGCCCTGATCGAACTAGAAATTCCTACAACTGTAGAGAAAATTGTGGAGGATCGTTACCGAATGGATTCTTGGCAATGATGGACTTATCCGCCTCTAGATCGTCGGACTCGCCCTCTCGGTTCACCGCTTTCACGCGGAACTTGTACGGTTTGCCCTCCTGGAGACCGGTGATCGTGCATTCCGGCTCCGTGGACTTCGCGCAAGGGATCCATTGGCCGGTGAGAGGATCCAGTTTCTCGATCTCGTAGTACTCGACCGGAGCGCCGCCGTCGTCTTCCGGCTTGTCCCATTTCAACTTGCAGCCGTGCTTGTTCACGTCGGACACTTCCAAAGGACCCTGACGATAGAAACGATCACGCGTTAGTACCTTGAAGAGAAACGACAAATCCTCCGGTGGCTTCGAAATGACCTACCTTCGGCTTGCCGGGTTTACCCAGGACAGCGATCTCGACCTCGGCGGTGTCCTCGCCCACCTCGTTCTTCGCGTTGATCACGTACTTGCCGGTGTGAGCTCTCTTGGTCTTCAGGATGAAGAACTTTGTGTTGTAGTCGATGTTATCGATACGGATCGTGTCGTCCGACTTCAGCTCTTTCCCTTCGAACGACCAGGTCACGGTTGGCGGGGGCTCGCCGATTATGTTCACGTCCAAGGTCACCGTCAGACCAACCTTCACGGTGATGGGTTGCAGGTTCGTGCGGTCGATGAACGGTTTCACTGTAAGGATTTTGTACGATAAGAGAGGTCCATACGTTCATTAGGTCAAATCATGAGGAATTTCTGATCGCGGGGTATATATATTATATATATATAAATATAATATATATATAATATTATATATAATACTATACTACTATATAATACTATAATATATATATACTTATATATAAGTATATATATATTATACTATACAATACTATATACCTGTCTCTTATACACATCTCTTATATATAAGTATATATATATTATACTATACAATACTATATACCTGTCTCTTATACACATCTCTTATATATAAGTATATATATATTATACTATACAATACTATATACCTGTCTCTTATACACATCTCTTATATATAAGTATATATATATTATACTATACAATACTATATACCTGTCTCTTATACACATCTCTTATATATAAGTATATATATATTATACTATACAATACTATATACCTGTCTCTTATACACATCTCTTATATATAAGTATATATATATTATACTATACAATACTATATACCTGTCTCTTATACACATCTCTTATATATAAGTATATATATATTATACTATACAATACTATATACCTGTCTCTTATACACATCTCTTATATATAAGTATATATATATTATACTATACAATACTATATACCTGTCTCTTATACACATCTCTTATATATAAGTATATATATATTATACTATACAATACTATATACCTGTCTCTTATACACATCTCTTATATATAAGTATATATATATTATACTATACAATACTATATACCTGTCTCTTATACACATCTCTTATATATAAGTATATATATATTATACTATACAATACTATATACCTGTCTCTTATACACATCTCTTATATATAAGTATATATATATTATACTATACAATACTATATACCTGTCTCTTATACACATCTCTTATATATAAGTATATATATATTATACTATACAATACTATATACCTGTCTCTTATACACATCTCTTATATATAAGTATATATATATTATACTATACAATACTATATACCTGTCTCTTATACACATCTCTTATATATAAGTATATATATATTATACTATACAATACTATATACCTGTCTCTTATACACATCTCTTATATATAAGTATATATATATTATACTATACAATACTATATACCTGTCTCTTATACACATCTCTTATATATAAGTATATATATATTATACTATACAATACTATATACCTGTCTCTTATACACATCTCTTATATATAAGTATATATATATTATACTATACAATACTATATACCTGTCTCTTATACACATCTCTTATATATAAGTATATATATATTATACTATACAATACTATATACCTGTCTCTTATACACATCTCTTATATATAAGTATATATATATTATACTATACAATACTATATACCTGTCTCTTATACACATCTCTTATATATAAGTATATATATATTATACTATACAATACTATATACCTGTCTCTTATACACATCTCTTATATATAAGTATATATATATTATACTATACAATACTATATACCTGTCTCTTATACACATCTCTTATATATAAGTATATATATATTATACTATACAATACTATATACCTGTCTCTTATACACATCTCTTATATATAAGTATATATATATTATACTATACAATACTATATACCTGTCTCTTATACACATCTAGATGTGTATAAGAGACAGATATAATATATATATACTTATATATAAGTATATATATATTATAGTATTATATTACTATTATATATTATATTATATATATTATAGTATTATATAGTATTATATATAATATTATATATATATTATATTTGGTATTTTATATATATATAATACTAAATATATATATATATATATATACCTAGTATATAGGTAAGTATATATACTTACGCCAACGAGCCTTAGCCGTGTGCGGATTGGTAGCTTCGCTGGGTTCGCCAGGACCGGCTTTGTTCACGGCTCGAACTCGGAACAGGTATTGGTTTCCTTCCTCCAGCCTGGTCACTGTTCCCGTGCAGGCAGGGCCCTGGGTCTCGGCAGCCTTGACAAACTGAGTGCCGAACTTGTCCTTCATTTCGATGATGTAGCCGGTAATCTTCGCGCCGCCATCCCGTATGGGCGGCTCCCACTTTAGTTTCACCATGTTCTCCGACCAGTCGATGATTTCTGGCAGGCCAGGTGCTCCAGGCACATCTGAAAGCAGATTCGACGCGTTAGAACATCAAGATCACGCTAATTTCCTGCGAAAAGACTTCTCCCTGTCTGCATACCATAGGGGTTCTTGGCAACGATCGCAGCGTCCGTTTGCAGCGGCTCCGACTCTCCCTCTTCGTTCACAGCTTTGACACGGAACTCGTACTTGTGACCAGGCTCCAGGCCGGTGATCGCGTGCTCAGTTTTGTCAGGATCGACGATGCCAGCGGGCACCCATCGTCCCGTGGTCGCGTCCATTTTCTCGATCACGTAGCTGGACAGCGGCAGACCGCCGTCGTCTTTCGGCTTGCTCCACTTCAGCTTGCATCCCTCCTTGTGGACGTCCGTCACCTCCAGAGGCCCCTCCGGCTTTCCGGGCTTGTCGAGGATGATGATGTCGACGTCGGCCTCGTCCTGGCCCGAGTCGTTCACCGCCTTGATCGTGTATTTGCCGCTCAGCTTGCGACTGGTGTCCGTCAAGTGAATCTTCGTCAGATAATCCTCGTTGTCGATCTTGACATTGGCGCCGGTCTGCAGGACCGCGCCGCCGAAGTTCCAGGTCACCGTTGGAGGCGGTTCGCCTTCCACGTCGACTTCCAGCTTCACCATTTGACCGGCTCTGACCTTGATTTGTTGCAGCTTGTCGCGGTTGATGTGTGGTTTCACTGAAACGAGAAGGTACATTAGAGTCGCCTCGCTGACATTTTGCGAACTTGCCGTTGACTAGAGGACACTTACGGTAACGAGCCTTAGCGGTGTGCGGCTTCGTTGGGTCGCTAGGCTCCGATGGTCCAGCCTTGTTCACCGCACGGACTCGGAACTGGTAGACCGAACCCTTCTTCAGCCCAGTGACACGGCCCTTCGGCTGCGGTGAATCCGTCACCGTGGCTTCCTGCCACTGGGTCGACGGCTTCTCTTTCATTTCAATGATGTAACCGGTGATGGCCGCGCCTCCGGTGTTCTTCGGCGCCTCCCACTTCAGGTCCACGCGGTCAACGTCCCAGTCCTCGAATTCTGGCACACCAGGCTTGCCGGCCACGTCTGGAAGAAACGTTGCTCGGTTATCAGAACTCTCGACTCTTCAGTTTCGTCGTTCTACCGCGGGCTTTCTATATTTATCATTAACAATAACGATGCATGAAAGTCTGCAGTCGGAGCAAGCAAGTTACCGTAGGGATTCTTGGCGAGAGTGGTGCTATCGGTGACCAGAGGTTCCGACTCGCCCTCCTCGTTGATGGCCTTCACCCGGAACTCGTACTCGTGACCTTCCTGGAGCCCTTTGATGTCCATCTCGGTGTCGTTGGTGCGTCCAACCGGTACCCACCTTCCGGTAGCCTTGTCCAGCTTCTCGACCTGGTAGCCGGTAACGGGTTTACCACCGTCGTCCTCTGGCTTGCCCCATTTCAACTTGCATCCGCTCTTCGTGACGTCGGACACTTTCAGAGGACCCTTCGGTTTGCCAGGAGCCGCTGTAAAATCGCAGACACCGTTAGCTCATCTCTTCTATGATACCGTTACCGCTGCCGTACATTCCGAACTTACAGAGAATGGTAATCTCGACTTCGGCCTCGTCTTCGCCGTGCGGGTTCACCGCCTTGATCTTCCAGACACCGGTGTTCTTGCGCAGGCAGTCGCTAATGTTGAGCTTCGTGTTGTAGTCGACATTGATGATCTCGATGTTTTCTCCCGTCTTCATCGCCAAGTTCGCGTGGTACCACGTGATCTCCGGCGGCGGTTCACCGCGAACGTCCACGTCGTACTTGATGGCCTTGCCAGCTCTGACAGTGATCGGTTTCAGGTTCGTGCGATCGATCCTCGGTTTCACTGCGGCAGACAACAAACGATAGATAAATCGAAGAAATAGAAGGACGTTGTAGTGGACAGAGAACAGGAACACTCACGAGATTTGTGCTTGCAGATCTGCATCTTCGACGCGTCCGACGGCGGAGACACTCCAGCTTTGTTCACGGCGATCACCCGGAACTGATACTCCCCTCGTTCCTTGAGATCGGCCACCTTAGCCTCCACCTGGCTGCCGGGCACCTCCATCGCTTTCTCCCAGTCCGGCTTGTAGCGATCCTTCTTCTCGATGATGTACTTCTCGATCGGCGCCCCGCCATCGAAGTCGGGCGGCGTCCACTTCAAGCTGACCGACTCGTTGTCGTAATCGGTGATCTCCGGCGTTCCGGGTTTGTGAGGTTCATCTGCGAGAGAACGGTTTAATTTAGAATCGGTCCAGCGCGACGAAGATGAACGATTCGTGCTCGATCAGCTCACCGTATGGATTCTTGGCGATGATCGGCCTCTCGCTCTCGAGAGGCTCGGAGTCGCCCTCGTCGTTGACAGCGGTCACGCGGAACTTGTACTCGCTGCCAGGATTCAGACCAGTCACCTCGAACTCCGTCAGCGGCGAGGTGCCAGGGACCTTGCCCACTCTGACCCACTTGCCGGTCTTCGTGTCCAGCTTCTCGATCTCGTACTCCTTGATCGGCACGCCGCCGTCGTCCTCCGGCTTCTCCCACTTGACCTTGGCCGATGTGGCGGTCACGTCGGTCACCTCCAGCGGACCCTTCGGAGCGCCCGGCTTTCCTGAATAACAGTAGCTCGATAAACAGGGGTTCCTCGAGTTTCCGTTTCAAGGTAGTCGAAAGTTTAAGACGCGACTTACCGAGGACGGTGAGTTCCACGGTCTCCTCGTCTTTGCCGTTCACGTTCTCCGCGACGAGAGTGTACTTGCCGGTGTCCTTGCGCTGCGCGTTCACGATCGAGAAGTCGGTATGATAGTCGACGTTCTCGATCTTGATGCGCTCCGTGTTCGTCAGAGGAATATTGTCCCGCCAGATCCATTTTGTCTCCGGCGGCGGCTCGCCGATTATGTCCACGGACCACTTGTGCGTGCGACCGGCCTTGATGATAATCGATTTGAAATTGGTCCTGTCGATCCTTGGCTTCACTGGAATACGATACGATCGGGTAATGGAAGTTCCTGCTATACTTCGACGGAATCGTAATGGATCGAATCGGTTCGAGTACACTTACGGTTTCTGTGCTTGCACACGTGGTTGTCGGTAGGCTCGCTAGGCTGGCCAGGTCCTGCCTTGTTGTGCGCCCGCACACGGAATTGATAAACCATTTTCTCCTTCAATCCCTCCACCTTGCACTCCGGGTTGGCGTCCTCCGTCTTAGTGACCTCGACCCAATCCACCGCGAACTTGTCCTTCATCTCGATGGTATAGTGCGTGATCGGCCTGCCGCCGTCTTCGTCCGGCTTCTTCCACTTCAAGGACACGCTCACGTTGTCGTAGTCGAATATCTCCGGCTTGCTGGGCTTGCCAGGCTCGTCTAGTAATGGGGAAAGAGGATGTGATCAAGCGTTGCGATCGCATAGTTTTATATCCGAACGCGCATCATGCTCGAAGAATCTGCCTTCCAAAGGAAGACCCCGAATCGACGATACTCACCGTAGGGGTTCTTGGCGAGGATGGACTCGTCGACTTCCAGAGGCTCGGACTCGCCCTCCTTGTTGACGGCCTTCACGCGGAACTTGTACTTCTTCTTCGGCGTGAGACCGCTGAAGGTGAAGGTGTCCTCGTTGGGACCGACTTCGCCGGCGGGGACCCACCGTCCCGTGTCCATGTCCATTTTCTCGAGGACGTATCCGGTGATGTCTGTGCCGCCGTTGTCCGGTGGTCGCTGCCATTTGACTTTTACGTGGTCGGCGCGTACCTCTTCCACCTTCAACGGACCCTTCGGTGGCGCAGGTTTGTCTGACAAAGAGAAACGGTTCACAATTAATATCCGGTACAACGATTCGAACAGCAAGATTGCTTGATAGAACAAGGAAACGGTAATGTACCAAGGACGACAACGTCGGCGATGCTCTCGCAGGTTCCCGAGCTGTTGGTCAGGACCAGTTTGTACTTCCCTGAGTCTGGTCTGGTCGTTTTCCTGACGGTGAGCACCGTGTTCCTCTCGTATTTGTCGATCGTGATCCTCTCGGCCGCATCCTGGACCAACTCTTTCTCCCCGAGGAACCAGTGCACTTCCGGTTCCGGCTCGCCGGCATACTTGATGTCGTATTTGATCACCTGTCCCTTCTTGACGATCAGGTTCGTCAGGCCGTCGCCAACGATGTACGGCTTGACGAATCGGCACTTGGCGATGATGGGCTTGGTGGCGTCCGAAGGCTCGCCAGGACCAGCCTTGTTCACCGCCCTGATCCTGAACTCGTACTGCGTGCCCTCTTTCAAACCGTCGATCGTCGCTTGCGTCACGTCGCCCTCGATCTCTTTGCCCTTCACCCATTCTTTGCCGAACTTCTCTTTGTACTCGATTACGTAGCCCGTGATAGGCGCGCCGCCATCGTTCTCCGGCTTCGTCCATTTCAGGTCCGCGTGGTCCTTGTCCCAGTCGGTCACGTCCACGTTTGTGGGCTTGCCCGGCTCGTCTGCAGCGAACAATGGAGATTATAGTTATCGTTCCGCGTTAAATAAAATCCTGATGTTCTTGTTCATCGGATAACTTGATGACTATAATAAAATACGATATAATATATAACTTGAACAAGCCTATCACGATGGTCAACCTTGATCGGTTTCACATTCTTTATTTTAAGATCGTCGACGTCACAAAGACTTTTGTTCATAGGAAATGATTCCCCAATTCAATATATCAAATGTTGTCATTCTTATAAAACGCAAGTCGATCAGTTTTAATGCTAAAAATGCAATAATATATTATTGCATTATATATATATTATTATATAATATATTTCTAATTACGTACCCCACGGATCCTTGGCAAGAACCGGCTTGGCGAACATCGCCGGTTCGCTGGAGCCGAGTTTGTTCACCGCCCTGATGCGGAACTTGTACTCCTTCTTCGCGATCAAGTCCTGCACCTTGTAGACGCACTTCTCGCCCGGCTGCACCTCGCCGACGCTGTCCCATTGCGCTTTCAGGCTGAGATCCAGCCGCTCGATCACGTACTTCGTGATCGGCGATCCACCGTCGTCCTTCGACGGCTTGAACGACACCACGCACGAGTTCTGGAAGATCTCGTTCACGTCGACGTCAGTGGGCGGTTGTGGCACGTCTGGACAAAGTTTCCGCCATCGGTTATAGCTATAGGATCAGGTCAAGAGAAACGTTCGAGCGCTCGGGACACGATACCTTGCATGACGATGTTCACGTCCTTGACCTCCTCTCCCTGATTGTTGCCGATCTTCACTTGATACATGCCGGACTGATCGCGAGAGGGTTTCTTGACCTTGAACGTGATCTTGTCCTCGCCGACGACCACCTCGACCTCCTTCAGAGGCAGAGGTTTGCCGTCCTTCATCAGCTTGGCCTCCACCTGACTCTGTTTCGTGCCCTCGACTGCAACAACGAGCGTCGTTCAAGCGCCGTTCATCGACGAACAGTCTGTCATCGACGAGGAGACGTCTACTCACTCTTGTATGGAACCACGAACACGATCGGCGCGCTGCAGGGTCCTTCGACCTTGTCCGGAACCTCGCAGATCGGTTTGCTCTCGCCCTTCCTCACCGTGAGCTTGCAGCTGCTGCTTAGCTGGCCGCTCTCGCAGGTGATCTCACCGTCGTCGGACATCTCCGTGCTGTTGAACACCAATTGATGCTTGCCGCCGCCCAGGTTCTTGATCTCTATCCTGTCGTTCGGCGTGATCGGCTGGCCGTTGAACTTCCATTCGGCCGGCGCAGTTTGGTCCTGCAGCTCCACGTCGAGCACCAACTTCTCTCTCTCCACCGCCACCGTGTCCTTCAGCTTCTTGTTGAAGCGGTTCGCGTCTGAGGAACACAAGATCGTTAGACGGTCGATCGAGCCGAACGCGGAAGATTCGACAGGAATTGAGACTCACAGTTCACGACTATTTCGGCTTCGGTCTTGTCGGCGTTGCTCACGCAGGAGTACAGACCCGCGTCCGTCACCTTCACGTCCTTGATCGTGAGCTTCCTCTTCCTGCCCTCCTCCTTGATTTGTACCCTACGCGAAAATTACTCAATTCGTACACTCTGCTTCTCCATTCGCGTTAACCATCGCGAGCCAGATCCTTCGACAAATTCTCTTTTACGTATCTTTCAGGCTACTTGCTCGAGACCAGAGTTGGGCAAGACGTTTATCTAAGTAAAAAGGTCGTACAACGAATAAAAGATAGAAAGAATGTTATCCGTTATTCGAAGAATAATAAATATGAATATAAGATAGATATAAAAAAAGTATCTTCGTTCGGTGGATAAATTCTTGTCGAATGAATTTACTTATTCGATACTCGTCGAATAAAGATACTTCTTTTTATTCGAACGTTCGAATGAAGATGAGAAGCATCTTTCTTGTATAATTTCGTACGAATAATTTCGCATTTCGTTTGAACAATTTTGTATCCAAATAATGCCCAACTCTGTTCGCGACTAACATTTAGTCGAACGTAAAGAGTTAATTATTTGAATCGGCTGCCGCCTCGATGAATTTTCGTTCGATGAATTTTCTCTGTCACCTCTTGTCAGGCAGGATCTCTTGGTCGCCCTTGAACCATTTCACTTCGCCGCCAGCGTCGTCCAGCTCGCAGAGCAGAGTCAGAGTCTCCTTCTCGACGAGCTGCTGGTGCTTCAGCACCTTGACGAACTTGTACGGATACTCTGCGGAGACAAACGTATCGCGTTGAAGCATCTCGAGAACATGGAAGACCGTCGGAGAACTCGTCGAATACAACAACAACAACAGGCTTACCAACTACAGTGAGAACCGTTTCAGTCTTATCCGTTTGTTTGCTGATCTTACAGATGTACTCGCCGCTGTCCTCCAGCGTTGCACTCTTTATGGTCAGTCGGCAAACGCCGCTCATGTCCTTCGACATACTGTACATGTCACCTTCCTGAAAGCCGGAGAACGTCGATTAGGTAAAACCGCGACAGAGTCGAACCGTGGTACAATCGGTTAAAACGGGACAACAGTCACCTCGAGCTTCGTCTTTCCTTTGTACCATGAAACTTGAGCGAGATTCGAGCTGACGGTACATTCCATTTGCACTTCGTGTTTCGTGAAGCCGCTCGATTTCTTCGAGAGCGGTTTGGTGAACGTGTAGGTCGGATCCGGTTCTGCAAAACGGAAACGATCGGTTTAGCTTGCGGCGCGACCATGAGCGGAGAGAAGATAGAACAGGGCGGCCAAACTTTTGATCGCTATGGGTGACCTATTTTTTCTTTTAAATTATAGGCGACGGTCTAAATGATCATTAAAAAAGTAGTAATTTAACCCTTATCACTCCAACCGGCAGCAATACTGCCAAGTAAAATATGAATAAAATTTTTTTACGCTCTTTCTTGTGTTTACTCAATATTTATAAATATTATTACTAATAAAAAAACTTATAAAACGTATGGAACGTTTTTTTTAATCACTTCGAAATTAATAAAAATTGTTTGGAGTTGCCTACAAATCACTCTGGAAAGTTTTTGGAGTGATAAGGGTTAAAAGCAACAATAAGTTTAAATTTAAAATGAACATAGATAATATCAGACAAGCAGGCGACTAGAAATACAACAATTTCTCCCTAATTCGCGCTGAGATTGCGAACAAAAATGGACAATTTTGGAAGAGGAAATGCGATCATTCGAGCCTCGCGACTCGTTTTTTAACCTCGACAATCGGTAACTATAAAAACGGTTCGAATAATCGTATCTTCTCTTCCCAAATTGTCCCTTTTGTGCGCAATCTGAGCGCGAATTAGGGAGAAATTGCTATGCTAAGATCGGTCGACCGCGGTCGAAGTTTTGGCCACCCCTGAGCCAGAGTCAAACGCGGACTCGCGAAACTGACCCTCGACGTTGAGGAATCCAGTGCTCGAAATGTTCGATATTTCGATAGTGTATTTGCCGGTGTCCTCGACCTTCGGGTTCAAGATGATCAGCTGGTAGCAATCCTCTTCGTTCTTGAACTTGTACTTCGACGACGGGAACAGTTCCTGAAAATAGATCGCGAGCGTTATATTTGCCGATTCGCTCGGATACGATCTGTAAACATGGACTCACGTCTTTTCGGAAGAACCATTTCGGCTTGCAGTTCGGTTTCGAGAAGTTTGCCTCGAACACGACCTTCTTGTCTTTGCCCTCCTTGGCGTATTGGTCGACCAGCGGTTTCAGGAAGCTTTCTTGTTTCTGCGAATAAGAGACGGCCGTTAATCGAGCAAGAGCTATCGGCGACGATCGTGTACACCAGATACATCGAGCAGCACCGTCAGCAAACGACAGCGTCGCTATGCGTACAAAAGGAAGAAGAAGAGTTAGAAGATAATCGAAAAATCGAAGGCGACCGTGGTCAAAAGAATCAGCTTCGAAGATTCTCGCTGCGGCGAGGAGGCGGGGCAAAAATCGTCTGTACAAAATCGTGAAAAAAGTAGGGTAAGCAAAATTATATAATCATTATATACATATCGTAAAGTGACAAGTGCGGCCCCGACGAGAAGGCGGGCTCGTCGACGATCGCGCGGCGGCAGCCTCGTCGACGACGACGACGGCGTCGTCAAAAACGCCGGGTTTCTACCAAAAAATGTAAAAAAGGGGGACGCCGAAAACTGTACACAAAAAATCTGATCCGTCCTCGTCCGAAAAAATCCAGTCGAAAACAAGACGGACGCCGAGGAAGACGGTGGCTCGCCGTGATTAAATGCAAAAACAGAGTGAGAGAGAGAGAGAGAGAGAAAAAGAGAGTGAGAGTGAGAAAGAGAGAGAGAGAGAGAGAGAGAGAGAACATCGTGGAAGGTTTGAAGCGTGTTTTTAGTTCGAGAGGACCGTGCGTGAACACGGTCTTCTAGAGAAAAGTGTTTTCAGAGAAGATAATAGGGGCCAGTAGAAGAAGTATAGTGCGAGCAAAGTTGTGCAAGATCCGCGGAATGGCGACTGGTCGCCGGAAGCTACATTAATTAGATCCATCAAAGGGCAACGTGTCTATGTATGCACAGAGAGAAAGAATAAAGGAGAGCAGAGAGATCGTTCAAAGTTGAATTTAGTCGACAGATTGAGAAAAATGAATAGAAGTAGATATATATTTTTTATATAGAGAGAGTGAGATGCAGTGATAGAGAAGTGTAGATCGAGAGAAAGTGGCAGAAATATGTATCACGAGACTCTATCGCAGGGCGTCGAGGAGTACGAGATCCAACCTCCGTCTTGGTGAAATGGTGCAGGATCGGCCAGTCGGGAATTAATTCGGCCAGGGAGGGTCTACGAGATCCACTACTCTATAAAACAACAAAATTCGTCTGCGGTCACAGGTCTGATCGAGCGTAAATCGTATCGACTAAGTTTCTTCGTTACGCGAGTCCGGTTCCCAAGCAATACTAAATGGAAGCTCTTACAAAGAAAAATAAAAAATACACACGCACCACGGATCGTCTGTGCTTCGGTGGGACGCACACTGGGGGTGCCATGCGACACGTGGGACCCGCGTCTACGACGAACCGTGCAATTTTTTTTCTTCAAACCGTGCGAACAACTTTCGGCGACAAGAGCATCGACGTTTAAATTCTTCCAGAATTTAGAGAGATTCTTCCAATAATAATTGAACAATTTTCTATTATATTTTCTACTATATTTTATTATATTTTCTATTATGTTTTCAATTTCGATCGAATTCACCAACGATTCGTTATTATTAGACTGCGGATTATTTTACGCATTTGTGACAAAAACTAATAACGATCTTGATAAAATTAATAAATAATCTTGACGAAAGCTCGTAGATCGAATGTCAAATGGTGAAAGTATTGGAACACTTTGATAATATTATTGTATAATCGTCGATCGATTAAAATGATTAAAATGCTAAACCTATCGAGCACTAGAAAAACATCTAAAATCTGTTGCTTCGTAAAAATAATAGAATCGAATTCATTTAGACTTCTCGTTATTTTTATCGCAACTTAATGCTCGAATTAAAAAGTTTTTTCAATCACCTACTACGAAGGAGACTTCGTCGATGTAACAAATTTAATGAGAAAAAAATCTGAAAACGGTCAGAATGACCGCCATAACAGATCGAGCCTTGAAAACGGAAATAAATGTCTATACTAATAATAACCGCAGTCTCTTTTGATCGTTTCCAATGAAGAAGCCGTCCGCACAATTTACACAGCACTTTCAGATTCGTCTTCGAGGCGGACCCCGCGCGTCACGTGGTGCCCCATATGTTCGGCGGAAAATGTACAGCGCGGTCGTAAAGTGCATATACGGTAACGCAATCTGTGCATCTATTTCGAACAGTGAGCAAAAAAAAGAGCTTCGCGCGCGCTTTACGACCACGCGGCACCGTTTTCACTGCGAACAGGTGTCGCACAGCTGATCGTCGAAGCGAACATGATCCTCCTCGAAAAGAAAGGAGAAGCGCAGGCGAAAAAGCGGGTCCCAGCGGGCCAAGTGATCGCGAGAGCTCCCTCGCAGGCACAGCAACCGTTAAACAAAGAAGCTGGAAGCGCAACCGTAAGCCTCTCTCGCGATCGTCCGTACGGTTTTCGGAGCGGATCGGATCCCAGCTTGGATCGATGCGATCGAAACCGATCCCCCGGTTTCGGTTCGTGACGCGTGCGAAGAGTTCGGTTCGGAACGAGCTCCTCCGCAGATCGATTAGTAGCATGGTGTTTTTTTATCGGCTGGTCCAGTTAGTCTGAAGTTAGATACTGATAGAGTAGTATTCTCGCGTGTTCGAGGTCTGTACGTTTCTTTTTTTTTTTTGGAGAGGAGATGTGTGTACTATTTCAGTTTCGAACGTTTCGAGCTTACAGCGCGATCCATCGAGAACAAACCGAATCGAAATATCTCCTTCAACGGCGACGTTGCGAGAACTATTTCACACGGAATTTAGCTGGCGCCAAGAGACGAATACGATGCAGAAAGTAGTTCTTTCTTCGAGGTGCTATCGAAACGAAATATGCAAATCGAACACACAGGTGCAAATTACGCGCGAATCAACGTCGACGATCTCGAGAACTCCGGAATAAACGACCTCGAGAAAACGCATCCTTTTCGCATGCTATTCGTCTCGCGATACCGGTCGAATTCCATACGAAATATTTTTAGCGACGTTACCGTCGACGGAGACGTTCAGCAGGGCTGATTCAGCTGGACCACCCTGTGTACACGCCGCGCGCGTACGCGTCGCGAACGTACGCGCTGAACCGCGAGTCCTCGCGCAAATATGATCGAGCCCTCGGATGATCGGACACGCGTGTCGAACGTTGTCCGTGAGATGCGCGAGGATCCGCGATCGAGGCGGTTCTACGGAAGCGTTGCGGGACTTGAAGCTCATCGACATCGACATCGGCATCGGCATCGGCATCGTTCAGGTCTGGGTTCAGTGGATACGAGCGCTTGGAACAAAGAACAAGTTGCTTAAGATTTGTCGCGAACCTTCTCTTTGACCGTTGTCGCTAGTATCGGCCAGTCGGCGATTAGCTCCTGCAAACTTGGCCTGCGATGAATGTCGAAGACGTCCTGCATGCCCGGCACACACACACGTCCACGTTAGTGCCATTGTTATTATACGATCAGCGATATCGATTCCCGGACGGCCCCGATCCGACCGCGATTACATTCGTTTCCCTCGAACAGAACCGATTTATTCGGACCGAAGAACGCGGTATACAAAATCGCAGCATTTACCGTACGGCCGGCCGGCCGATTTTCACGCGCGAATCGTTTTATCTTCTCTTGCTTTTTTTTTCGTTTCTTTTTTTCGCATCGGGCAAGCTCGAATCGTGAACCGAAATTCGCGCCGGGTTTCGGATGAAAGGGATCGACGATCACCGATCGAGGCGGTCCGGCCGAAAAAACATTGAACATTTAGAGATAATGCTTGCTGCTAGACAGTCCGTGCGGGGTTATACACAACTTTACTGACGCACAGCCGAGCTCTAATGCAAGTATTAATTCGTGAATGAAATCATTCTCGTTTCGCGCGAACGGCGGCGGCCTTTTGCTCGACGCGATTCCCCCATGCACTGTTAACGACCGCGCGACAATGATACCGTTAATCTCTGGTTAATGAACTTAAAAGTCTGGTTAAGGATGATCAACGACCACATGTGAACAATGATTCGACGATGGTACGGCTCGGTGCGCAGCATTAGCTCTAAACTAAACTCTCTACTACATGGTGTGAAACAAATCGTTGTGTGTTTTACGTGTGTGCCTGTTTCCCGTGCGTCGGGGCCGAGAGATCGTCGGGTCCGGTCGTCGAGATCATTCCGTCGAGTGTCTCGGTCTGACTACTGAACTGCGCCTGTGTTGTTCGTGTGCGTGTGATTAATTAGAACCGCGTCCTTTCTGCAACTTTTCTCACCGGTCCCGATCGGACTGCGGGGCGAAAATAGGTTCGCCCCGTTTCACGGCGCGACGAAGCGACTCTCTGCGAGAGAAGAACGCTTTTCGTGATCGAATTTGCGGTAGAACCTCGATTATCCGAACCTCCGAATTCTTTATTAGTTGATTCTTTACGTTAAATGTACCGCTGATCTGCTGATTCTCGGTATTAACCCTTTGTACTCGAAACCATTTTAACTTTCAATTCGAAAATAGTTCGTCCAATCTGTGTTATTTCTATTTTAAAAGAAGCAGTGCATTTTAATCGTACGAAATTGAGCGCAACAGTTGCGCTTTCAACGGTTTTACGAGTATAAACAAATTGGATAATCTAACAATTATTTTCGAACGCGATGGAACAATTTTTTGCGGTGCCTCGGAGTCATCACTCGAGTGCAAAGCGTCAAAATATTTATATATATATAATAAACATATATATTATAATTAATAAATAATATATTTATAATATTTATATTTTGCTCTTTACTGTAGAAATCGGTATTTAGCCACGTATATAAATAAATTGAATCAAATAAATTAGATGTAACGATAGCGTGCAGATCAGGGCAGGTATAATCCAGCAATTTTAATTAAGTAACTGTTCCGTTATCCGAACACTCGTGTTTCTCTCATTAGATCTAATAATCGAGGTTCTACTGTATATTATTTGGAGGTAATTTATTTAAAGAAAAAAAAATACAAAATTTCGCCCGTAACGCGTGAACAAAATTGATAAATTCTACATCGAATTAAAAAAACGGTAGAAGAAGCTGTCCGAGACCTAATTCAGGATCGCGCCTAATTGATTCTACCGTAAACGCATCAAATTCTCCGAGACGAGGTGCGCATTCCAGCGCATCGAATTCACCGTTTCTAATCGCAAGCTTCGCAAAGTCAACGTTTTTATTCGCCGCGAATCCAGGGAATACTGGACTACTGGACGTTCGAATCGCTTTCCGGGACACGGCGAGCGCAAAAAATTCCAGAAAGTGCATCGGGGTGCGTTAGTGCGTCCGTAGGTGCGTGGCGTCGATTTGTCAGATCGGGAGCAATCTACAGGGGGATGATGCCTGAAAACCTTGAGCCAGCTCCAGTTAGTTTCACCCTTCTTGTCTAGAGAAATTCGAAGGACCTCCTCACCCTCCTCCAAGATCACTATTTCCTCCCCGTCTTGATACCAGCTCCTCCCATGCAGCACGCTGTCGTGCAGCGACTACGAAGACAAACGTACAGAGAAGAAACAGGTGCGAGAAACAAGTGTCTAAAGGCGACCGGGCTGCGGGGATCGATCCCGCTTTCTTCGATCGATTACCATTGAACACAGCGGGACCACCGATTACGTTGCCGTCGACTTCATTAAAAAAAAAAATCGTGCGATTCTCTTACCTGTACTTACCGAACGCGTTCGCCACGGTATATCGTTTTCGAGCCGAGAGAATCGAACGATTGCAGCAAATTCTACCCCGATTGTCCCTCAGCTTCGAAACGAAAATGAACAATTTAGGGGGAGGAGACACGATTGTTCCAATCTCGCGGCTCATTTTTATAGTTGTCGACAATCGATAACTACGAAAACGAGCCACGAGGCTCGAACAATCGTATCACCTCTTCCCGAATTGTCCATTTTCGTGTACGATCCGACGGTCAATTAGGGAGAATTTACTGTGTATCGTTTCGTGCCCGACGTAGACCGGTTCGTTTTCAAGCGGCAACGACACATTCTTTACACCAAATACGCTGCTAATGGTAATGCTTGTAATAGGCGGTATCGAGCTGTTACACGACGACGACGATCGGCAACTGACAACGAGCTCCACACGAACGCGACGAACCACGTGCAACAGCTTCACGATTAATCGACATGCGTTTATCAGTTATAATTAACCATCGATCGATTATAATGGTCATGGAACAATTATAATGGTCATGGATCAATTAAGATAATCATGGAACGATTATGATGGTCATGGATCAATTGTAATAGTCATGGATCAATTAAGATAATCATGGATTAATTGAGATAATCATGGAACGATTATGATGATCATGGATCAATTATAATGGTCATGGATCAATTATAATGGTCATGGATCAATTATAATGGTCATGGATCAATTATAATACTCATGGATCAATTATAATGGCCATGGATCAATTATAATAGTCATGGATCGGCTAAGATAATCATGGAACGATCATGATGATTATGGAACAATTATAATGCTCATGAATCAATTATAATAGTCATGGATCAATTGAGATAATCATGGAACGATTATGATGATCATGGATCAATTATAATGGTCATGGATCAATTATAATACTCATGGATCAATTATAATACTCATGGATCAATTATAGTAGTCACGGATCAATTATAATAGTCATGGATCAATTGAGATAATCATGGAACGATTATGATGATCATGGATCAATTATAATAATCATGGATCAATTATAATAGTCATGGAACAATTGAGATAATCATGGAACGATTATGATGACCATGAATCGATTATAATGATCATGGCTCGATCGTAGTAATCAGCTCCCTTCGAGATCGTATGAACGGAGGAACCTGTTCGTAAGAAGATTATACCGTTACGGACGTTCAAACAGAGGACACGCACCTTCTCCACTTTCTTCAAAGCTGGCATCGGCTTCTCGACTTCCTTCAAGTCTACCTTCTCCTGCTCCTGTTCCTCTCGCGCCCATTTCTGGTACTTCCTCTTCTTCAGCATAGCACGGAAGTCCATACCACTGGCGTCTACACGGGGAGTTCGTCGATTTATTCATCTCGAACGCGATGAACACCACGATGCTTTCGAGAGCAAAACCGTTTCCAACAATTCGTTCAACGATACTCACCGGAAACGTAAAGCTGCATCTCGGCGGAGTCCTCGCCATGGATGTTGCTCACGACGATCTTGTAAGTGCCCTCGTCGTTGGGCTTCGTCTTCCTCATGCAGAGGGTGATCGTATTGGTCTCCGTGTCCGTAAGGAACTTGAATCGGCCACCTTCGATGATTTCGGTGATCCCTTTGTAGAACTTGAAGGTGGGCGCGGGCGTACCCTCCACCCCGACCGTGAGATACGCCGTCGAATCTGAACGATAATAATAATAATAACAATAACAATTTTATTTGTCGAGACGGGACACATCTTTTGTTGCAGTGAGAGAAAGTAATATACTTGAAATTAGATGAGAGAAGAGGAAAAGAGGAAACTCGGGAGAAAGAAATGAAATATACGGCGTGTTCTGAAATTATGGTATTTCTGGAAAATGATGGGTTCCTGAGGTCATTTGAAGTAACTTTCTCCTTAGCGAAAATGCAATCCGCGGCTTCGTTTTCGAGTTATTAACGAAAAACGGTGACCAATGAGAGGCGAGCCCCGCTGGCGCGAGACGGCCGAGCCAATGAGCGCAACTGGGCTCCGCGCACCCGTTGGCTCGCGCCGCCTCGCACCGTCTCGCGCCAGCCGAGCTCGCCTCTGATTGGTCACTGTTTTTCGTGAATAACTCGTGAACGATGCCTCGGAGGAAATTTTTGTAAAGGAAAAAGTTATTTTAAATGACCTCAGGAACCTCCCAGTTCCCGGAAGTACCATAGTTTTGGGATACTCTGTACATGAAATATACATTCGAACGTATTAATATAATATAATTAATATAATAAAAACAGGCTGGTAAAATTTGCCTCGGTCTTTTTATTATATTCAGTGAATTTAGGATTATCTGTACATTGTCAATAACTCGCTCAAAGGATTAAATAAAGAAAAATAGCGATCGGCGTACCTTCGACGGCGGAATATGACTCCTGCACATCGACGATTTGAGGTGGTCCCGATGGTCCAACATCTCGGAGAGGTGTGCTCGGTTGATTGATCTTATTCTCGAGGTCCGCCACGCTGGGTCTTCTGACGTCCGTGCTCGGACGACGACGCTGCGCCAATCAATCATCGATATTAACAACAATTCCATCCCGGAATGATACACGGTTTCATTTTTCTGATCAAGCTTTCTCAGGCATTCAGAACAAAGCGGGCAGGCGTCAACGACGGACGCAAGACTTTCGTCCACTTACCTGTCGCCTTCGACTTTCCTCGGACAATGATCTAAAGATCATGTCTAAAGATCCCCATAGCTTCTCAACCTTCTCGATTAATTATCAAAATACACCGACGTCTTGCCGAGAAGCTACAGCCACTGGACGATCAGAGGATCGTCGATGAAACCTCGAGGACGAAAGTCTTGGCCGAGGTTTGTTCGGTGCACGGTGCTGACGTGCTGCGTTCGCGCAGTGCGACTGATTAAATGCGCGTTAATCACGCGGTTAATTAAACGCCGGTTAGTGACGAAGCGTTCAAACGAGATCTAATTACATGTTAGCCACGAGATTTTCGGTGAGTCGAAGCGGTTAGGCGAGGCCAGCTGTGTCGTCTTTCTTGGCGTGCCTCCGTTAGCGAGACAAGATCGACGCGCGGTCAACGCGCTGTCGATCGCGTACGGGTCCGTGGGGTTCGTCTTGGGATCTATCCGCCGCGATTTCGAGGGCTCCCGGATCTAGCGCGATCGTTCCGATCTACGAAACGCGTACCAGAGAATTTTCGTGAACGATCGGGTGCCCTCGAAGCGGCGCGGCCGAAGGGAAGCGGTAAACTGTACGGGACGAGATTCCTAAAAACTGCTTATTTATCGTCGACTGAATAGAAAAATATTTATGACAAAAGTCCTGTGATATCATGTTTGTTACATAATGTAATAATTCATTTTTTTATCGAGATGTAACTGTGGATGCAATATTTTCCCCCGAATTTTGCAAGAGTATCGGTATTTAATCTCATGTCAAAATTAGTTTTGTGTGCTCTGTTTCGACTCAATCGGATTCCAAACCAAATTCTATTTAAATAGATCTAAAATTTTTATTTTATATTATAATATATTATATAATATAATAATATATATATTATAATATTATATAATATATAATAAATATAATAATATAAATATATATTATATATTATTATATTATTATATTATTATATATACATATAACTTATATATATAATTCAATTTATTTTAATTAATTTAAATTTTATATTTTATTTCAATGGCAAATTATGAAGAAACACGTTCCATTGGTTGGTAGCCGATCTGAGAAAATTCTGCGAGTGCAAAGGGTCAAATATGACCCGTCTTCGTATTAACCTGAAGCCTGTAATTAATTTCAAGCTCCATTTTACGATTCCCTATAGCAATTTAGGAGAAGATATCGCACATCCGGACATATTTTCGATAAAAATAAAGAATAATCGTGTAACAGTTGATAGCCTCTAACTTTTGTCCAAAATATCTGTCGACGGTTCAAAAGACTCGGCCGGTACAGGTCCACCACCCTGATAGCAAGTGTCTAGGTGGTCCATAGGTATGACACATAAACGAGAGAGGGTTGCACATGGGACACATGTAAACAATAGGTTCTCTAGTTACGGGGGGAAAGGATGTTCTGCCTCGAACCGTCGAGGATTCGGCGCGCTGTTCTCGGCAGCTGATATCAGTCACAAGATTAAACCTACTGCTACTAGATTAATTTAATTCCTCCAGGTTCCACCGGATTTCATCGGATTCCCGGGGAAACCCTGAAGGCAGCGCGACGTCGTCAACGTCCACTGTTCGTCGCGACGATCGACGGGCCATTCGCTTTGCCTGCGAGTGCGGAATTTTATGCGTCAATTATCATTACTGCTGCAATTAGGCTGCGGATCTTTGCTTTTACGGCTTACACGGATTTTGAGAGAGTATGCTACAATATAAAGTTCTATTTTTATATACAAAGGATGACAATATGTTCATATAGAATATAATATTATATAATAATTATCATATAATAATTATAATAATATATATATAATATATATATATATATATTATTTATTATTATATAATTTATTAATATTATATATATTTAATATTATAATTATTATATAATAATTATAATATTAAATATATATAATATTAATAAATAAACCTCTTAACTGCGTCGAGCAATTTCGCATCTGTTAACTAATCAGCTGTTTTCGACAAGTATGCTCGTTATAACGCAAAATATTTCTTCGTGACGAGTGTACTCGTCGAAAACAATGTTAACAGCTAATATTCTGTATTAAATTATATATTTAAATAGTTTTAATTATGTCAAATTATATATTTCAATGATTATATATGTATATTTAAATTAAAATATGAAGAAAATCAAACACAGAGTGCATAAATAAATCCTCTCTTAATTATTCGAAAATCTGTGAAATTTACGAACAGTAATTTTAATGAGAATCGTGGAAAGAGTATGTTCGTCGCAACATGCAAAACTGCCACTTCTTTGCGACGAGTATACTCGTCGTACGCAGCTCAGAGGTTTTGCGAAATTGCAAGATCGTCCGCAGTCTAACTGACAAGAAAATGTCGTCGATCGAATGAAAATTAAAGTAAAAGATCCAGCATGAAGTTCCGCCGTTTCTGTGGATCGTCGACGAATGATTTGGCAAACACATTTGGCCGACGTCGATCGACGCGGCTCGCTAAATTAGAGTATTACAATACAATGAGTACGGTGCAAATAAAAACTAAGCCGGTCTCGTAGATGTTTTCACGGGTGCTCGTTAACCACAAAATTTATTATTATCATTATTATTATTATTATTATTATTATTATTGATTTGCGTCTCGCTTCTCTGTTAACGGGTCGCCGACGAGCGTGTGTTGGACATCCGTGACGGTTTCCGGAACTCCTCGATTTCTCGTCACGCCGTCGCTGTTAGATACAATTGTTAACACAAGTATTCATCGCGTGTCGTTTAGATACAATTGTGAGAACAATCAGTGGGCTCGGGAGAACAGATAAAGATAGACAAAGAGAGAGATAGAGAGAGAGAGACAGATAGAAAGAGACAGAGAGACACACAGTTGACAATTTTCGAGGAACGATCCGATGGGAGACTGGGGAACAGGTGCTCCGGATGGGTGTCCAAAAAACGATTAGTGTTACCACCGACGGATGACTTAGGTCATCGTTCTCGTTTTTCTCGGTCACCGCGGCGAGTCTCTACAAACTATGAACATGAACCGATTAGGATTATTCACAGGAACACGATCCGAATTAAGAACAAAACATAGAAGAAAACTCTGTCCGCGAGTACAACGGCCAGCACGAAATATTTACAGGAAACATGTGCGAATGTCCACGGATACAGATCGAGCATACATGAATGACTTTTAATCGACACGTCGGACGCTGGACGGGTCGCAGCAGCCATTCTCGGAAGCAATTTTAATCGCTGCGATCGCGTTCAGTTCGAATTTCAGAAAATCTTTCGAAGATATTTCGAGTCGACGAGAATTTAACCTTGAGCTTCTTGACCCCTTGACGTAGCATTTTCTTCGCAGATGATGCGATAAGAAAATTTTCGAGTGCAATAATTTCTTAGACGGGAGAGAAAATTCGTTTGTAGAAAATTGTAGAAAATTGTATAAAATTGTATAAAATTGTATAAAATTGTATAAAATTGTATAAAATTGTATAAAATTGTATAAAATTGTATAAAATTGTAAAAAATTGTATAAAATTGTATAAAATTGTATAAAATTGTATAAAATTGTATAAANCTTAGGTCATCGTTCTCGTTTTTCTCGGTCACCGCGGCGAGTCTCTACAAACTATGAACATGAACCGATTAGGATTATTCACAGGAACACGATCCGAATTAAGAACAAAACATAGAAGAAAACTCTGTCCGCGAGTACAACGGCCAGCACGAAATATTTACAGGAAACATGTGCGAATGTCCACGGATACAGATCGAGCATACATGAATGACTTTTAATCGACACGTCGGACGCTGGACGGGTCGCAGCAGCCATTCTCGGAAGCAATTTTAATCGCTGCGATCGCGTTCAGTTCGAATTTCAGAAAATCTTTCGAAGATATTTCGAGTCGACGAGAATTTAACCTTGAGCTTCTTGACCCCTTGACGTAGCATTTTCTTCGCAGATGATGCGATAAGAAAATTTTCGAGTGCAATAATTTCTTAGACGGGAGAGAAAATTCGTTTGTAGAAAATTGTAGAAAATTGTATAAAATTGTATAAAATTGTATAAAATTGTATAAAATTGTATAAATTGTGTAAAATTGTAGAAAATTGTAGAAAATTGTAGAAAATTGTATACAATTGTATACAATTGTATAAAATTGTATAAAATTGTATTATGTGCCTGAATTTACTTGAATGCTTGAAAAAAAATGATTAGAATTTTATTCCAATTTTAAAGGGCAAAATAAGTTATTAATAGTCGACAAGTTACTAATAGAAATTTTCACGACGAGTCAGATTCGTCGAAGCACGTCAAGGGGTTAATTTTCGCGTTGCGAAAGCCAAAGATTTTGAGAACAATTTCATAGAATCGTCAACATCGTTGAATAACCTCGAACAATTTATCAACAAGCATTCTCAGAGAAAAAGAAAATCCAGCGGGCGAAGCGTTGACAATGAAATATCGGTAAGAAGTCGGCGAACGTCCGACCATAGCGCGGCTGTACTACTGCGGCCCGTCCTTGCCGAACAATCTCAAACTACTGATGCACGACCCGTGGTTAGCGACGACAAATAGAAAAGAAAAATCGAAAAAGAAAAACAGAAACAGATACAGAAACTGGCAAGTATGCAAGAGTGGTACAACGGACAAAGTAAATTCTTACCACCATGTCTAATCTCTACTCGTCGAATACGCGCCGTATTCGCTCGAATCAAGCAAACGTTTAAACGCGCGGCTTGTCTCTTGTGGACTGCGAACGCGGCGGAGCCTCGGCGTGCTCGGTCAACGAGAGAGAAAAAACGCGAATATCCGCGATGAAATCGGACGAGAAAGTACAATCGACGAACGGATGAGAAACGAAATTGTATCATATATGTAGATCGCGCGGACCGGACCGAGCAGATCACGCGCGAGCACTCCGCTCCGCCTCGCCTTGGAAACAGCCGCGCACCTTTTTTGCCAAATATTTACAGACATATCGCATTGCGAACAATACCGAGCTTGTTGGCGCATCTAAACGGAACAATGTTCTAGACTAATAACCGCGAGCTAGCACGCGCGTAACAATAACGGCATAAACGAGCGAGACAGAAGTGTGCAGCTTCGTCTGCTTGTTTCGCTAACCTCTTTCCCCTGTAGCTCGCCGGGTCGGCCAGACTTACTCTGTACGTGGCGCGTTCGAGATGAAAAAGAAAGAACAGACAGGTGAAGACAAGGTGAAGAAGAGAACAGGCTGTTTGCGGGGCTGGGCGTGTTTTAAGGGCGGGATTCTTATCGAGTATGATTGTCAGCGTGCTCTCTGCGACGCGCGGAATCGGCCCCTGTCTTGCGATTTCCTGTTCGAACGTCGCGAATTTTGGCGACCCGGATGCCAGAATTCTGTCAAATGATGACAGAGATACGAGGGAACCTCGTTTAACAGGGAGGAACTATTTTTTTAACTGAGTTCGCTGAGTTTTAACTGAATTCGCGACGCGAATGTGTTGGATCTTTGCGCGAAATAAAAGTTTCCCGATTCGATTACGGAAAACAGGAGGTAAATAAAAATGTTCTCCTTTTTATTAATAATTTTGATGAATTAGGGAAAATTTGAGGACATCCTGCGATTCTTCCGGTGTCTTCGTTGTTTGATATTTCACGCGGACAATATTAACATAAATGAAATTTAGTGCACGCAGTGCAATCATTTTCATAGGATTACAATGCCAGATTTCATTTTTATCGATGTGCACAGTAAATGGGTTGCCTTAAATTGTTGTAAATTTATTTGAAAAGAAGAAATGTGTCTGACATTGAAAGGCTGGATAACCGAGGTTCTATTGTATTGCAATTTACCTGGCAATTTACCTTTACCTGATGGGAAAGTTATGCGAATTTCACGCAGTTTGGACAAAAGTGAATAGGTAAACCACAAAATTCAAGAAAGGATATTATTATTTCTGTTTAACTTCGGTTTCAATTTCAGTCCGCAGATTGGTTCTGGAATATTTGCAACTAATTTTTATGCAAAATAAAAGTTCCCTACTCGAATCGCAGCAAAATGAAGTAAAAAAAGAGACGGCCTTAATAAACTCGATTGTATCCAGATCCATCTAATGGTTTATCGTCTTCTATTTTATTTTGCCATCTAGTCATTTTTGTCGCAGGTGCGTCAAATTCGCCGTTCATTTATGAGAAAAACAGAACTATGCGTCTAGCGAAGTAAAAATTCGAACGCTGTTTTGCAACTCGAAGTCGACGTTTACGTTGCGCGTGAAAATAAACCGTCCAAAATAATCGATATTAATCACAGTATTTTTCCGTATCGCATCACTGTATTTTTCACTATATTTTAAGACCTTTTAGAGTGTACTAGCGCCTTTCCATTTCCGTTTCTTTCGAGTTGAACCGGATATCGCGACACAGGGGTTGACACCGCGTGGATAGAGATCGATAGCGGGGATGGTAGCGTCAGCCCGGTTAAAATCATCGAAAAATAAATGATATAAGTGACGTGTTCGCAGGATTAATAATTATCGGCGATCCTGCGGCGGCGGTATACTTTGCGTCACCGCAAAGGGCCGCGGGTTCGGGTGCACTCTGCAATTGGTTTTAGTTCTCTCGCTGTCAAACTGTGCATTTGTCACACACCGTGGCATCGACATGCCACACGCGTGGTGCGGTGATGCATATTGCCATAAAGAGATGTAACAAAAATAAATGAGGTATCGATATCGGTGAAGTAGTAATTGGTAGACACAGGGGTCGTGTGGCAAAAATGAAAAAGAGAGAAAAAAAGGAAAAAAAGAGAAACGTGGGACGGTCGGGGCGTGGTTCTGGTAAATACGGACGGCGATGGGCGGGGTGAGAAACATAGATAGAAACATGTCGCATGATATACTCGGGCGGGTAAGCTTTGTGTTATAGCGAACACAAATCTCACCTTGGCGTCTAACACCTCGCCGGGCCGTAACCTTCCCAACTGCAAAAAATTACACAGGCGAGAGTCAGATCTGTCTGGGAGATGTTTCCGGTTCGTCGCGCGAACCCATCCAAAAATATCGCTGGTTCTTTCTCCCATTGCTTTTCGTTCGGATTGCTTTTTCTTTCGGGAGGATCGGGCGAACAGGGAGGACAAAACTGTGCTAATTGCTATTCAAAAAAAAAAACGGGACAACTTTGCAACCCCTCAACGACTTCGTGCGCGTGCGCACTGCTCCGTTTTCAATCCAGTTTAAAAACTACCCCAACTGGTTCTTCGTTTTGCGAATGGTTATCGAGCACACGGTGTCCCGGCAGGGTTGGGAAACGTAATTGCTTCTTGTGTGAAAAGATTCGTTGGAAACGTGCAAACGTTCTTTCGGTGCATCGTCCGATCAACGCTGGTTCATTCTACTTGGAGAAATTACGAATTATTAGATTCTTTCACCTTTTACAGTTTTTTCAAGTCATAGTATAAAGCAGAAATATGGAAGGAATTAAGATTTCTAGTCCTATTTTTTATATTATATTAAGTTTTATTATTTATTATTTGTATTATTTATTATTATTATTTGTATTTATTATTTGTATTATTATTTATACTATTATATTAAGTTTTCTAGTCCTATTTCCTAGTCAAAGTCTAGGTTCTTGGGCGCATTGTCCGACCAACATTGACTGATTCTACTTATCGGAAATAAATGTCTAGATCTTCCTATTTGTTACAGTTTGTAAGCTACGATATAAAGTAAAAATAAATAAAGTAAACGAATAATTAAAATAAAGTGAGAAAAGTAGGTAAAAAATAAAGTAAAGGGAAAAAGCGAAGTTACTCTTGGAAACTTGCTATGTATCCCCAAAAACTGTGTACTGTCTGATGAATGCTCGTCAATACTACTTACGAAATTTCGCGAGATTTACGTCGGAGGAAAACCTTGCAGATTATCAAAAAATTATGAAACTTCTGTAATACTTAGGATGCACATTGATAACTAGACAACGAATTTTATGCATTTATGGAAAAATTGGATCGCTGCAATTTTAAATAGCGTAAAAATCAAAAGCATTTTGAAACGTCGATGTATTATTTTCAATTTATTAAAACTATTATCCAGGAAGAACGAAGTTGCTACTTATTTTCTATTCCCTCCAATTCACACGGACGATTTTTATTTTGCACAAAAATAAGTCTATTGACGATTGTTACAAAAATTGTTAACTGCTCAAATATTCCCCAGAAAAAATTCGAATTAATCCTCCAAAAATTTTATACTACTTTTTTACTGCATTTTCTGACTTGCAAACTGTAAAACATAGAAAAATAAGTTCGAAATGATGATCGAAGATTCAACAGCGATTCCACGAAGTTGCACTTTTCACAGAGAAATCTTTTCACGAGGAGACAATTTCCCAGCACAGCGACTTTCGCGACACCGTGAAAAGATCGAATGGTGCTCTTCCGTTCTGTGAATGTGATCGAGTGGTGTTCGTGATCGGTGATCCGCCTGGTTGACGTTAAGGGGTTAAAAAACGGCACGAGGGTTGGGGGGTGGAATCGGGGAGGACGATCACAAGGTCTCGTTGGAGGTGTTCGGGTCTCGCCTTACCGGGCTGGCCGGTGAGCTTATTGCGGTGATTTGGCGGTGCAAAACAGTCGTTCGCAGTGGTAATCCGCGGGTGCTTGTCAGCCGCATAAAGTGCAATTAGAGGTGAAAGTGCGGATGCGTGCGCGACAGTTCGGCGATCGATCGCGTCGCTCGATAACGTCGCGATGTCGAAGAATTATCCTGCGAGATCCATCGACCGAGTTCCTCGTGATTTCGATCATTCTCTCGTTCATGCTACCGGATAGATCGAGGAGTCTCCCTAGATCGACGATTCAACAGCTCAAAAAAGTGTTCGTGCATCTTTCGAAATGCAATAACTATTTTAAAACTGAACTAAATGACATGAATCGTTTTTTAGAGGACAGAGGGACTAGTTTTGTAGACGATGACTGAAATGCTTTCTTTTTTAATTTTGTTATTACTCGGAGTGACAAAGAAATGAAAAATTTAAAATAAAATAATAACATTTTCAACATGCATGCGAATACAATCGAGATCTACAAAAGGCATTTTTATGAATTTTCGTTATAGATAAAAAAGTTCAGATAAAAAAATTAACGAATGTGAGTTTTTAGTTTTTTTTGTTTCATTTCAAGTAACAGCAAAATTAAGAAAAGCTTTCTGGCCATTGTCTAGTAGACTAATCCCTCTATCATCTAAAAAAAAATTCAAATGATTTAGTTCAGTTTTGAACAATTTATTGCGCTTTAAACAAACGCTTTTGTAGACCACTGTGTGTCGATTTCTCAGAATTTTGTTCGCCGAAAGTTCACCGCGAAATATAAAAAAGGGACTTTCAACGAGAACTACCGATAGGTTTTTTATAAATAAAACACGTTTGAATTTTCAAAAATTAGACAAATCTTTAGTGTAACTTTTGGTACAATCGTTTACAACTATATACGAAATAAAATATCAGCCTAATTATTATTCGAACTCTTTTTGCACTCAATATGAATTACACTCGTTATTCGATGCAATAAACAGAGCATATTGCATAAATCATTCGATGGGTTACTAAAGAGATGAGCAGTCATTGTGCGATGATCTCAGACAGTATAATGAAAAAAGAAACAATATAATATGAATTTACATAAATATATATTTCGATACTTATTTCGACATTTTTTCTTTTTTACTATTTTTTTTTCCTTCCTCCTCTTTGTTTATACTTATGCAATCGCTATATAAAATCAACAAATAGTAACAAATTTTAACAAAACTTCTTTCTACCCACATACACGAATAAATTACTATTATTAAAACAAATTTATAAAAAGTGTGAGATCGAGTGCAAAAAGAGTTTGCTTGCTCATTCTGCTGACATTGTATCCAACACAGAATTCTAAACGACCGTACCAAAGAATACAACAAAAACTTGTGCCAATTTTTTAAAAAGCGCGTTTCACTCCCCCTCCCCCTAAAAAATACCGTCATTAATTCCCGTCGAAAGACCGATTCACAAACGTTGTACAAACAGTAGCAAACGTCTCGCCGAAAGACAAAACGGGCGATCTCGAAAACGTGCGAGAATTGAGATGTTGAACATCAAGAACGAGCCACGAAATCTGACCCCTCCCCCCTCCAATTATCGCGCGTCTGCGGGCAAAAGAACGACGGGAATGTCGTCCATCGGGCCGCATAAATTTGCTCTCGCTTGACGAGGAAGAGCAAAGGACAAGAGGAGCCCCGAGCAAGAAGATGAAACGGCCGATGAAATGATTGGAAGCTCGAGGGGGGAGAGGGGGATCCTCGGTGATCCGAATCCGAGAAAATCGGTCGAGGAATCCGTGACGGGTCTGCGGGCTAACGAGCTCGAGGAAACCGAGGCGCGCGTTCGCGGCCAGAAATAACGAATCCGAGCGGAACACGGCCGCCCGAGAGGGTGTGCGCCCATTGGATCGCGGGCGCTTTTGATTAATCGACGCCAGGGTATTAAGTGTGCGGTACCATAAGTCAGAGTCGGCCTTCGCGTCCGGCAAATTGATAGTCGGATCCGAGCGTTGGCAGCGGATAACAAGTGTTCGGCACCGCGTGAAACGCATTCTTACCACGGCGCGGGGTGACGCGTCGCCTCGCGCCGCGGTCTCCCCCGTGATGCAGCGGGCGCGGTTGCAGCTTGCAACGGCAGCCCGAGCCGAGCGGAGGACGCGCGGCGATCTCACGTGCCGTGGATGTTTGTCGCTTGTCTAGGCATTTGTTAACGCCGATGCCTGTCCCTTCGGTCGACAATGCTTGCCAAAATGTAATCTACGAGCCCGCGATCCACGCCAGAGGGAATTCGAAACCTTGTATGCTTAATGATTTAGGATCGAAGGATCGTCTCGAGCCCGTCTCGCGAGCCAGACACGCCTCGGATCTTCTTCGCTGCTCCGTAACCCGCATTTTACGCGTTCGTCCTTATCCTACTATTTTCTCGCGATTCTTGTTGTTGTCGCTGTCGTTTGCTGTTATTATTATTATTATGATTATTATGATTATTATGATTATTATGATTATTCGGTGATATTATTGTGGCCACCGTGGTTCTCGATATTAATGTGGAATACCGTGGTGTCAATAATTGAGTAGACAGTGCGCATAGACTCGTGGTTGCAGCAGATCCGTGCCAGGTGCAGTGGTGCGTTGGTGCAATGGTGCAGTGGTGCATTCTCTTGCGTCAAGAATTATTATATTATAGAAGTGGCGCGCGAGCCGAGGTTCCACGCCCGAGAACCAATTTATCCACCGTCGCCGATTCGTTTGACCCTTTTGGCCGCCGATACCCTATCGTCGGCTTAGATTCAACAGTCGAATTCTACCGTCCAGCGAAACTATTATTCCTGCTTTCTAGATCACGCGTTGTCTCTCTGGATCGCGGATATTTCTGCTCGATCGACGGCGTGTGCGAATTCGAATGAATGCGAACGGACGTTCGTATCATTTCGTTAGCGATATTGTCGGATACACGAAAATGCTTTTACTATAATTTACACGCTGAAATTGCAAGCGTTTTTCAACGAAATTGTGGTTATAATTTCTAAAATCGAAAAGAATGCATTTTTAGTTGATTGTTTGAACAATAAAATTCAATTCAGTTATCGTAAGATTTTATATCGGTTTAATAAAAAATAATAATTTCTACTTGATTATTCGAACTATAAAATTGAATGCAGTTACTGTGCGATATTATATATTGATTTAATTGCAGCTTTAATTGTAGCACCCCGGAATCAAAAAGTGTTGATTTTTATTTGATTTGAACAATAAAATTGAATGCGGTTACTGTACGATATTATATATTGATTTAATTGTAGTTTTATCCCAGGGTCAAAAAGTATTCATTGTTACTTGATTATTTGAACAATAAAATTGAATGCGGTTACTGTACGATATTATATATTGATTTAATTGTAGTTTTATCCCAGGGTCAAAAAGTATTCATTGTTACTTGATTATTTGAACAATAAAATTGAATGCGGTTACTGTACGATATTATATATTGATTTAATTGTAGTTTTATCCCAGGGTCAAAAATTATTCATTTTCACTTGATTATTTTAACAATAAAATTGAATGTGCAGTTACTGTGCAATATTATATATTGATTTAATTGTAGCTTTAATTGTAGCACCCCGGAATCGAAAAGTATTGATTTTTATTTGATTTTAACAATAAAATTGAATGCACTTATTGTACGATATTATTTACTGATTTAATTGTAGTTTTATCCCAGGGTCAAAAATATTGATTTTTACTTGATTATTTGAACAATAAAATTGAATGCACTGTTACAATACAGTACTACATATTAATTTAACTGCAGCTTTTTACTCCTTGATAAAAAAGAATTTATTTCTACTCGATCACCTGAACAGTAAAATTCAGTTTTATTTCATATCTTATTTTTATCGTAGCTTTACCCCGCAAGATCAAAAATAATTAATTCCTACTCAATAGTGCGTGCAATAAAATTAAACGTGAATTTTTGAAAAAAAAGAATAAACTTTTCCTTCGTTCCTCCATCAACGAAATCGTCCGCGCAAACAGGAATTCGCACAAAATTTTAAGCACGTTCTACGATCCATCGTTTCGATCGTTTTTTTACCGACGTCTACAGTCGTCTTTCCCGTTATTCAAGGACTTCAGCGAAAGGATATCGATTCGCGGGAACCTCGGCTCGCTTGAACGACGATCCTTCATCCGATCGACGGTCGGACTCGAGCTCGACGTTCGTGTTCGTGGTATTCGGTAGATGAGTAGTGGCGAGCAGGCAGGATTGAACGAAGAGACGAGCACAGAGATCAACTCCGGGGTATGTAGTTGGTTGGTTGGTTTTGCAGGCCGGAAACCAGGTTTAGCCAGGTTTCGTGTTCTCGGGTTCTCTTCGTTCAAACGTGTTTCGAAATCGGTGAGTGTGTGCGAGAGAGAGAGAGAGAAATATCGTGTAAGTCAAAGAGAGTGGACAAATAAAAAAAGATAGATCAAAAATAAAAACAAAAGTGAGAATCAGAGAGAAAAATAGAAAAATGATAAATAGAAAAAAAGAGATAAATAGACAGACAGATAGACAGATAGATAGACAGAGACAAAGAATGTGCAGATTGGTAGTAATCGAGTAAGGTTGCAGACGAGGCATTCGCTTTCTCCGAATTTCAGTGATTTCTCTCACCTTGCGCTCGTCCACCACCTCGCCTGGTCGCAGCTTCCTATTCTCCTATGAACCAAACCGTCCTTTACTAATCCGTACCTCCTCCAGGGTACGCTAGTGTCTGTGTGTATGTCTGTGTAAATCTGCGTGTATGCAATCGTGTAATAATCGTTCGTTCAGCGCGCGCGAGACATCGTAAAAAAGTCGCTGGTCGCGAAGATCGTTCGTGCGACCGATCGTTCCTCTTTCGCTCCGAAAGGGAACGTTTTTCGCTTTCGACTTCTTCAATGTTGTTCACAGCAAGAGCTCCGGTGGCTTGCCACGGAAGCGGGTTAGCTCCCCGATCGATCCACTCGATCGACGATCTTCTGGATGATCGAGGCTCCGTCGACAGCTGGAACGTCTCGCGAGAAAAGATAGGATTCGGCGGAGGGGTGGTGACGGTGACAGTGATAAGAACGTGTACGCGGGGGTGAGGGCGGTTTGTTTTGTTCCAGAAGCTGGGCTGCTTGGACGTTTCACGAACGGGATTATGCTTGGGCTAGCTGTCACGCTTTGCGACACTAACACCGGACGCGGGCGGTGCGGCCGGGAGACCGACGCCCGCGTCGTCGGACATCTACCTCTAATAGACTATCACCAGTGGGGATCACTATGTATAATTGACATCACTACGGAACTCAGACAAAAGAAAGAAAAAAACTGCAACAGTTCTAGGGCCAACAGTGGCCGCTGATCTACCTACGCGTTCGCCTCGGTTATTGCAACCGGCTACTGGTCGCTAGGTCTCGAATCTCGACCGGGGCTAACGGATCCGGTTATCCAAGAGGATTGTTTAGTTAATCGTCCAAATTGTCTCTCTCGATAATTCGAACGGGTTCGTTCGATTTGATTTATATCGTTTCGTTTAAGAACTACCGATGTAATTTCTCCCTAATTCGCGCTCAGATTGCGCGCGAAAATGGACAATTCGCGAAGAGGAGATACGATTATTATTTTCATAGTTGTTGAGAATCGATAAACAAGGCGCAAGACTCAAATTAATCGTATCTTCTCTTCCCAAATTGTCCATTTTTCTCCACGATCTGAGCGTCAGTTAGGGCTGTCTCTTATACACATCTAGATGTGTATAAGAGACAGCTTCCCAAATTGTCCATTTTTCTCCACGATCTGAGCGTCAGTTAGGGAGACGCTCAGATTGTCCACTAAATTGGATAATTTGGGAAGAGGAGATGTGATTATTCGAGCCGTGAATTGTCAACAATTATAAAAACGAGACGCGTGGCTCGAATAATCTCGTATCTCCTCTTCACAAATTGTCCATTTTTGTGGACAATCTGAGCGTCAGTTAGGGAGACATTACTGTACCGTAATTTTTCCCTAATTCGCGCTCAGATCGCGCGCGAAAATGGACAATTTGCGAAGAGGAGATACGATGTTTATAGTTACCGATCGTCGACGACTATTAAAACGAGCCGCGAGGCTCGAATTATTGTACTTCCTTTTTCCAAATTGTCCATTTTTGTAGGCAATCTGAGCGCGAATTAGGAAGAAATTAGGGTACCGAGTGAATCATCGCAGACTTTTTCTTTAAAATATCTCTGTTGCTCTTAACATTCGTCCCTTTCTCGTAGTCGTTTGACGCAATTTTCGTAGATCCCGAAGATCAAAGCTGTTTTATACATCGTTTTATCGAATGAATCTATAGATCGTTTTATCGACGTGAATGATCAACGATAAAACTTACCTCGCGTCTTCTTAGCTTTTCGTTCTTAAAGAAAGGTCTTACGAAATTAATTATTTATTTTCATTCCATCTTACTCATTTTTTACCATTGCGTCAATTTGACGTCAAAGGACGCATGACACAAAAAATGATACGAGAAAATGTGCAAGGAAATAACAAGTTTGACTCGCAGCGAGAATTAATGTGATAGAAGTTCACTTTTCTTCTCTGCGTCGAACTATTTACGTATTTTTTCGAGTCATCAATGCAACAAAGATACTTCGAAGAAAGATCTTAGGTTCCCAGTATGACGATCGACCCTCTACATCATTCACTCTGAATTGTTTAAAAAGACTGGGACATTCTGTACGTGTGCAATGCTTGCAGCGCGCGTGCAGTCTTTTTCCGTCCAAGCTTAAATAACTTCGTCACTGCAAAAATCGACGTTTGCTCGTCGATCGAATAATTATCTATTCTCGAACCAAGATTCTGAACAATGTAGAGTAAATCGCGACAGTTTCGAGCTTGACAGTTCCTCCTGGATCGAATGGATAGCCGTGGTCTCGATTCTTTAGCCCTGAGTTGCTCTCGGTCTCGATTCAACGATAAATTCGATCGCAATCGCGGGTCTTTCGAAAATAATTTGAAAATAATTTCGCGACGAATTACCACATACAGTAAATTCTTCTCCAATCGTCCCTCAGCTTGTAAACCAAAACGGACGATTCGAGAAGAGGAGATACGATTATTCGAGCGGTTTGTTTTTACAGCGGTTGACAATCGGCGACTACAAAAAAGCATAATAATCGTAAAATAAAGAATCGTGAAACAGAGCAATCGTATCTCCACTTTCCAAATTGTCCGTTTTCGTTCCCAAGCCGAGGGACAATTGGAGAGAATTCGCCGTAGATCGATGCGATCTGCGGATCGAAGTCAAACTCGTCGAATAAAGCATTCGGATCTCGTTGCTTCTCTCGGTTGGACCGATTGCTTCGCGATAATTCCCAGCTGCCAGAACGCGAATCTCGATCACCTGGATCGAGATCACTCGAGACCGTGGAGCAACTCTGCCGAGCCTACCTAGCGCGAACGGTCGTCGATTCGCTCCATTGGTCGCTGCTTCCCAGCCAATTTGAACGGAGACCGGGCCAAACCGGGATGATACATGGACCCTCGGGTCTCTTGGAGAAGAACGTTGTCGGTCGTCGTTTATGATACATCGTCGATTTCAGGTTTTGGACACGGTCGGTCGCCTCCCGCGAACCCGAGCATTTTCTTCGTGAGTAATTACACGAAAATAGGCTCGAACGCGATTATTTTTGGGTCAGGCATTGGACATCGCGGGGCTATTAAGAACGTTTGCTTGGCAATCTGACAAAGGGACCTCGATTAACGAATTTCTGCGATAACGTTCGTCTCGGGGCTCGGTGCCGATCTCACGGAGCGAATCGAGCCGCGTTCTTCGAGGGCGGAGCCCGCTGCGACGACGTCTCTCTTCCTGCCTCCTCTCGATGATCGATCGTCGATCGAGATTCTCCGCAGACGTTGCCTCCGCAAGATCTCATCTGGGACATCGTCGCAGCGTTCCGCGCGGCTCGCAGAAGTGTAGTCGATATACCTTCGGCTCGGGGATAGATAGCTCGTAACATACCTCGTCACTGATGATCAGGCTGGGCCTGCGACCCAATTCCTCCGGCGGTATCAACGAACCGCGCCGACTGCTGGTCCCGCTGCCTGGTATCAGAGAACCCTTTCTGCTTCCGGCCGGGGTCACGTCCTTGATCACTTCGATCTTCGGCGCCTCCGGAGCTTTGATCTCGGGCACTTTCGGCTACGGTCACGACAGAAACCAGATCAGAAACTTTCGAGAGATCGGAGGACGGTTTGTCCGGCGGCTCTCGATATCTTTCAACGCGATTCGGGGCGTGCGTCGTGGATCGATCGTTGTATCGCGGAATCGTTGTTCAAACCCTCGGACATATTTTTACGGACTTCTATGCGGTCGGCTGTGACTATCGCCAGCCTCGTTCGTCAATTTTTTCGTACGAATTTCTCGAGATACTTCATAGGTAGATTCTAGAGTTAATTTTAGAATCTAATAATAAATTATTAGAGTTAATAGTTTTATAGATTCTAGAGTTTCTTTTTCCAAAACGATGCTATTCATTTATTTGAACAACAGCCAATTATTTAATTTGACAACAGCCATTTATTTCATCGAACAACAGCCATTTATTTCATCGAACAACAGCCATTTGTTTAATCGAACTGAAAATTGACTAATTAGCCGACGATCTAAATGCATTGGGACCAAACGACCCGGTGACCGCAGTACGAGAATTAAGCGCTCTATGTTCCCGCGACAATAAAAATCGAATTGCTATGACCATAGCAGCGAATAGTCTTTTATTTTATCGTACGTATACTGTCGTTCGATTATTTTCGATTTATACTCGCCGCTAACCCTTCGTTAACCCTGATTCGCTTCTGCGCGATCTTCAATTTTTCTATAATTGTACCACAGCCGAGGGTAGTCAGAAGCTAATCACAATTAATTAACGCAATTACTAACGCCGCAAGTATTTTTCTATTTTTCTTCGAGAAGACGTATAGCCGAACGTGACTAACAAACTATTAATAACAAAGCGGATATTTTTTCTTCGCACATTGTGATTCAACCTAGGCGCTAGGCCAAACTAGGCTACTCACCCTCTATTCGCTCAAAATATGCGTAAAATGAAGATATAAGTCGAGGTTATACTTTACGAAGGGATATTTTAGCCGAGACTTCGCGGGCTTAATAGATGGATATTATAATAATCGAGAAGTTCAGTGCGAACAGATTACTTTTTCTCGATAGATTTTGCTTTCACGGCTACGTTTTCCGTCGCGATACTCGGCCCGTTCGCGTTACACGATTACCTCCCCTTATAACACCGAAACTATAAAAACCAGTCGGACTAAATCGTTCCCGATATTTTCTTTTACAGTTCCCGACATCTTCTTTTACAGTTCCCGATACCGTAAGAACGTTTCTACGCGCAATTCTTCAATAAACTTCTCCATCCGAGCACACATTATCCTACAAATCGCACGAAGCTGAAATAAATCCGATCTCGCCTTCCTTATAAAACGATAAGCGTCAGCCTCGTTAAGAGCTCGGTACTTTTAGCGTTAAGATCCGGACAGCGGAACAATCCTAATCGATGATTTCGCGACGATACGTCGACCGATGCAGCCGCAACGACGTTATCGCGTTACCGTCCCAGTGTTGCATCGAATTTCCAGGACTCGTTGCAAAATCGCAAAAAATTCGCAAAATCTACGGATAATTTTCGTGTCGGAATGAAAGATCGCCGAAGGGTAGGAGAACCGCCGGAGAGCCTCGGGAACGATCCGGTTTACCAGAGAGCCGTATCCGGAGACAGTCGCAGCTCGGACTCGAACTCGAAGCCGCCGAACGTGAACGCGAAAGCGCGAGACGCGAGCCCGATGATCACGATCGTCCGTTGATTAAGACTGAATCGAGACTGATCTACCGAATCGCTCGGGGTATCGAAGGGAGCTGCGAGATAGAGAGATAGGTATATAGGGTAGAGCGGGCGAAGGGGCCGGACGCAATAACACCGAAAATAGCGAACGACATTTTCTCCATCCTCGATCCCGCGACGAAAAATCGGGGGGATCGCGAGGGGGGTAGGTAATATACGAGCAGCTATTTGCCAAAATAGTTCCCCCTCTCCGGTGGTATCCGGATGCGCGCGATAGAGTGGAGGCGACCGCCGCGGCACAAGGGGACATTCATCGGTTGCCAAACGAGACGCGGTTTTACCAGTCCGATTATTAGCTCTCCCTCGTGTCGCGTTAATTGCGAGCTCGGTCCCTCTCGGCCGATCCTCCTCTAGTTCGAACGCCGACGTGCGACGCCTACACCCGACGGCAACCGTCTGCTCCGGATCCGCGAGAACGACGACTAAATTCGGGCCAAACAGCTCCGACAAGAGCTAAGCCCGCTCTACGGAATTACTTAACGCGTTGGGCGCCCCGTCGCTCCCATATGGGTGACGCTAATTTTTCACCGATTTTGAACGTTCAGTTCCGTTGCAATTGTATCCGAACGAACTGAATTTGCGTGGGATGCTTCGGATGCGAAAGAGTTCCAATGCGATCCGCTATGGTAAATTTAATATTGTCTGGGTTTGGTTTAATTGATTAAATTGCGTCGACTCTGTGGACATTTTAGCGGCCGATTGTCGGCGCTGGACGTGCCAATCGCACTCTGCGACTGCAACGCGAGTTCCAGAGACTTTTTCTCGCGCTTCGCAGGCCAGCGCAATTGGATAAAAATCGCGCAGCTTTTTTTTGACAGAGTTCGGCATTAATCGGGTTCCTTTAAATAGATATCTATTTAAGATAATTGTCCGGATGAATTGTTTTAAGTCGAACTTTTTATTCGAATAATTCGGAAAATTCATTATTCGAAAATGTAATATGGAAGAAATAAATCGATGTACTGTGTAAAATTTTAAACTTTATGTTCTATCGTTTTTAGTCGAATCAATTATCTAGTATTTCTGTATGAATAAATCCTTGTTCGAATAAAAAATCTTATTCGAATACATTTTTATTCGATCGAATATTTATTCGAATACATTTTCATTCGAGCGAATATTTATTCGAATACATTTTTATTCGATCGAATATTTATTCGAATACATTTTCATTCGAGCGAATATTTATTCGAATACATTTTTATTCGATCGAATATTTATTCGAATACATTTTCATTCGATCGAATATTTATTCGAATACATTTTCATTCGATCGAATGTTTATTCTAAAAATAATTATATATAATAAATTTTGGTTCCTTATGAATTTTTGTTTAAAAAAAATTTGATTCCTTGGTCTTCGTGTGAACTGTAATCGATGCGACAGTCAAAGTGCTAATAAACGTTTTAGCGTCGATACAACCTGTCGTTGGCAGCGTGTTCCAACAAGAAATGCGATACGTTTCAGTAATGTAATGTTTCCGTTTGCTAAAAATATATCGTTATCCGGCACCTTCATTTTCTACCTTATTTTTCTTCACACGAACACGTCGAAACGAAGACAAATTCTTCGGACAATTTTTAAAAAATCATGCGTTTAAAGGTTAAATCGACGAATCGTGTTTGTACATTGAAAGAAATTCATCGGATAAAATAAATAAAAGTAGACCAACCCCATTTTTACCACAGCGGTCACAGGAGACTATTTTCGATCATTTAAAATTATATTCTAAGCTTAATCAGTTTTCCTTAATCGACAATTTCAACTTTTTCTGTAACGATTATGAAATTCATTTGCTCGAGTTTGCAGGATGCCAACGCAGGATTAATCAATAGACTGCGGATTGCACGCGTTCATGACAAAAAAATGAGTATTAAAAAATATCAAAATATTTCATCGAATATTAAAAACCGGGTAGGTCAAATGTTATCGTCGAACATTAAAAAAGAATCGAACCAATTAAAAAATACGAATCCGCTGCTTCGAACTTCCCAAAATGATTAAGAAGGAAATATCCAGATTCCTCCTATCTCTTTTACAACTGACAGCAAAAATTGTAATTTCGCACGAAGATCCGCAGTCCATTAATCATTATCGTCGCGGTAATTATTCTGACCGCGAGGGTTGTTTCACCCTAAATCCGCGATCGCGCGTCATCGCCGCGGCGACGACCCCGACGGCTCTAGATCCCAGTTTTTGACTCATGCTCGCATCTCGGCTGAGGACCTTGCGATCTCATCGCCGAGGCCTCGATCCTTCCACGCGATCGCCCACTATTTTTATCCTTATCCGCTCGCTACCCAAGAGCCTCCGCTAAAAACCCAGCGAAAATGCAGCGCGCCGCGCGTCGCTGCATTAATTCTGTCCGCGGTGGAAGCGATCTGTCCGCGAGTCATTCGATCCAAACGGCTGTCGCCGATGATTTGTGCCGTCGCACGGCCGACGGAGAAAAGTTCGCTCCTCGCGAGCGATCGTTGCCGGAAAGCGATCTTATAATAATTCGGCGAATGATCCGCGCGATCCGAGAATACGCGCGACCGATCCGCGCGTTAATGGGCGACGGTGTACAGCAGGGGTGTCAAACTCGCGGCCCGAGATGAACATTTTTGATGTCAAGTATCAGGACGTAAACAATAATTTAACTTTATATATGTTTATTACAATGTACTAGTCAAAATAAAAATATTTGTTTCTATGAACATTGATTTTTTTTGCGACCCACCTAAAGTTAAGCATTGTTTATTTGGCGCAAGTTAGCTTTTGAGTTTGACACCCCTGGTGTACGGTAATGTCTCTCTAATTGACGCTAAGATTGTCCACAGAAATGGACAGTTTGGGAAGAGGAGATACGATTATTATTCGAGCCTCGCGTCTCGTTTTTATAGTTGTTGAGAATCGGTAATTATAAAAACAAGGCGCGAGACTCAAATTAATCGTATCTCCTCTTCCCAAATTGTCCATTTTTCTCCACGACCTGAGCGTCAGTTAGGGAGACGCTCCGTTTGTCCACTAAATTGGATAATTTGGGAAGAGGAGATGTGATTATTCGAGCCGTGAGTTGTGAACGATTATAAAAACGAGAATAATCGTATCTCCTCTTTCCAAATTGTCCATTTTTCTCCACAAATCTGGGCGTCAGTTAGGGAGACGCTCCGATTGTCCACTAAATTGGATAATTTGGGAAGAGGAGATGTGATTATTCGAGCCGTGAGTTGTGAACGATTATAAAAACGAGAATAATCGTATCTCCTCTTTCCAAATCGCCCATTTTTGTGGACAATTTCAGCGTCAGTTAGGGAGACATTACTGTATAATGTAAGTAGCGGTGGTTAACGAGCAAAGCGATCGCCGAGCCGCGCCGATCGCCGCGATCCCGTCTCGATCATCATCATCGCCTCCGAGGCTTGCGAAATTTTGACGAGCCACGATCGAACCCGCTTTTGGCCGGCGGATTGCAAAATTCTTCCAATTTCTTGGGTGCGGCGGCGGCGGCAGCGGGCAGCGGCTTGGCAAAATCGCTTTCTCATTTTCGTATTAATAACGGTGGATTGCTCACCTTAGAGTCGAATTTCTGCCAGCCCCCCGCGTGAAAAGAAAAACTCGTTAGTAACGATCAACACTGAGAGAACGCTCCAACTTATAATCAGACCGCCGCCGGTTTCATAACGCACGATCGAGGACTCTCGTCTCGTTCGTTTCTTCCGTTTCGCGGTCTGCTTATAACGTTGGACACCTTCGCGGAAGGTTTTTAATCGATATCGCAGGAAAACAAAGCGGGCATTTTATTGTACATTTGATTAGGTAACCGAGAAAGTTCCGGGATCTCGGGACAAAATTAATAACTTCTGGATTTCTTTCAGCTTCGATCCAAGACTACTTTTTACAGAATATGATGACAAAACAAGTATGATTTTTTTACGAAATGAAAAGTTTCTCGTGCTGAAACGAGAGCTTGTTTAACGAAAGAATCGACGACAACAACGAATAACTAATTTCGCTGTTGCCTCGATTAGCTCGACTGTTCAAAAATCGAGGCGAAATATTTCTTTTCTGTCGGAAACAAGAATATTTGTGGGAATGGAATAGCTTTTATCTTTCTCGGTTATCTAATATTTGGAATTCCGCTAATTGCTGTAACCACGGTACCTCGCAAAAGTGTTCGTACACCTTTTAAACCGCAATAACTATTTTAAAACTGAAGTAAATGACTTGAATTTTCTTTTAGATGATAGAAGCACTAGTCTACTAGACGATGACAGAGATGCTTTCCCTTTTTATTTTTGCTATTACTTGGAGTGATAAAATTTTCGTTGTAGGCTCAGATAAAGGAATTAAAAATCGAGGGTTTTTAATTTTTTCTTTTCACTCCAATTAATAGCAAAACTACGAAAAAGCTTTTCAGCCATCGTCTAGTAGACTGAACCTTCTGTCACCTAAAAGAAAATTCAAGCCATTTAGTACAGTTTTCAAAAAGTTATCGCGTTCTAAAAGGTGTACGAACACTTTCGTGCCTCACTATGTCTCCAAAGGCTCAGAATGAAAGAAAAAACGAGTACCTGAGTAGTGGGTCTGTCGAGCTTAGTCTTGTCGCGAGCCACGCGATCGCCGAACTCGAACTCCTGAGGCTTCTCCAGCACCGGTCTCTCGTAATCCGGAATTTCCGGGAGCTCGTAGCTGCTCTCCTTCGCCGTCTTGGCCGTTTTCTTTTTAATTTCGGTCTTCTCGGCCTTCTCCATTTTCTGCGTGTCATCGGGAAACAGGAAAGAGAATCGGTAAACCGGCGAGCCGAAACAATGGCGTTTCCAAGAGCGTTAAAAAAGTCGAAGGTTATTTTAGTATTGTACAAGTAGAAGAACATCGACGCAGAGTGGAAGAGAATCAATTCGATAAGCGAAGTAGTCTGTCGTTATTTGGACGATTCTCCGTCGTTCGGAGACATTTTGCTGGCCGTTGCGATTAACGGAGGCCGACGGGCGGCCCCGTTCATCGGTTCTGTTATTAAGACCACGATCCCCATTTTACCGGAGATCAAGCGCTCGTAGAAAGACAGAAAGAACGGTGTCGTAGAAACGATAGAATCGTGTCGCTTGCTATCGACGACACCGAGATGAGACGATCAAGCTTAGAGAGCTCTCCATGTATAAGAGTGGAGCAGATGGTAGTGGCTTTTGGAATATGATACGCAAAGTGAGGAATATGGAAAATGGTGCTGCGATGGCGAAGCGTGTAGGAAACGGTAATACAAAAAGTAACAACACAGTAGTAGTAACAGTAAATTTTACCCAATTTTGTTCTCAGCTTGGAGACAACAATGGACAACTTGGGAAAATTCGAGCCTCGTTTTCAAGGTTGTTGACAATCGTCGACTGCAAAAACGAGTCGCAAGGCTCGAATAATCGCGTCCTCTCTTTTTCCCAAGTTGTCGATTTTCGCCTCCGAGCTGAGGGAAAATTGAGGAGAATTTGCTGTACAGATTATTGTTGTTTTGTTGTTACGCAGAAAGTAAAGAGTATAGTATACAATGATGTAGAAAATAACGAACATAGATTGCAGAGGCGTGGAATGTAGATATTACGGAAAATGATGATGTAGAAGGTAGTGACATGGAAAGTAAAGAATATAGAATACGGTGATCTAGAAAATAACGAGTGCATAGAAGACAGAGACGTGGAAAGTAAATGTTATAAACAATAATGACGCAGAAAATGGAGAGCATAGGAAACAGCGATACAGAAAACAATAACATAAAAAGTGAAGAGTATAGAATACAGTGATCTAGAAAGTAACGAATATAGAACACAGAGACGTAGAAAGTATTGTAGATATTATGGAAAATATTGATGCAGAAAGTAAAGAGTACGGAAAACAGTAACATAGAAAGTGAAGAGAGCGAGAGAGAGAGAGAGAGAGAGAGAAGAATACAGTGATCTAGAGAATAACGAGCATAGAACACAGAGATATAGAAAGTAGATATTACAGAAAATAATGGTGCAGAAAATAGAGAGCGCAGAAAACAGTAACATAGAAAGTGTTGAGTATAGAATACAGCGACCTAGAAAATACAGATCACAGAAAAATAGTAGTATAGAAGAATGAAGAGTATAAATCACAGTGATCTAGAAAATACAGATCACAGAAAATAGTCATAGTGTGGAAACGGTGACACAAAAAAGTAGTAGTATAGAAGAGTGAAGAGTATAAATCACACAGTGATCTAGAAAATACAGATCACAGAAAATAGTCATAGTGTGGAAACAGTGACACAAAAAAATAGTAGTATAGAAGAGTGAAGAGTATAAATCACAGTGATCTAGAAAGTGCAGATCACAGAAAATAGTGATAGTGTGGAAACAGTGACACAAAAAAATAGTAGTATAGAAGAGTGAAGAGTATAAATCACAGTGATCTAGAAAGTGCAGATCACAGAAAATAGTCATAGTGTGGAAACAGTGACACAAAAAAGTAGTAGTATAGAAGAATGAAGAGTATAAATCACAGTGATCTAGAAAGTGCAGATCACAGAAAATAGTGATAGTGTGGAAACAGTGACACAGAAAAGCGAAATAGTGTAGAGAACGATTTGCAGAGTAAGAATAGAGTTTGACAGAGTAGGCGAAGAGAAAGAAGAAATTTTTGGTAGACAGCGAGAGTATAGATCGTAGATCGGAGACAGACGTAGAAGAGCCAATCGGCAAGAATCGTGAACGATTGGCGTAGATAAATAGAAAGGAGAGACAGACAGATAATAATAATAATGTTGATTCCCTTTCTTCAGGGATACCTTCAGCTCAACCGCATTCCCATTTTCAGCCTGCTGAGGCTTTTTGGGATCTCTCGCAACCGGTTTTAGTTGGACAGACTGAAAGCTCTCGGCTTTAATATCGTGTTTCGGTGGTTTACGTAGTCCTGATCTCTCCCCCTGCGTTCAATATCATCGTTTACTTTCGTATTATCTTAATTCGACGAGTCGAGCACCGATTTACACGCATCGACGTAATCTTGCGCGCATCACGCGGAGATCTCGAGTGTGCTTTGTATCGGTTTATTAAGCCCGAGGAAGAATCTCTACTCACTTTGAGCTCCACCTTCTGCAGAGTCTTCTTCTCCTCCTCCAATTGCTGTGCAAACAATTTAAATTAGATTTATTTATCCGTCAAATTATTTGCCATTTCAATCGACGCTTCAGCCACCGGGAACGCTTTAGCTACGTATGAGTGACAATAATTTTTAACTAGGTTTTTGGAGATCATTTTTATTGCAATATATTGAACGAATTGAATATTACTAGGATTTGTAGAATATAAAATAGCTGAACTAATAATTCATTTAATAGTTCACTTTCCAGTTTCGATTTCATTAATTAAATGACTTTGATATTCTGTGAATTTTTCGAGCCGATGTTCGACACTCAACGCGTTAATTCCCGAATAAAATTGCATCGAATAAATGATTAAAAGAAATCTTTAAACACGAACGATTAATTATTAAGTAACAACCGGCAGGTAAAGCGTCGAGATGTACAGTTCGCCTCGGACAATTACCTTGGACACGGGTTTCAGACTGAACTTCCTCGGCAGTTCCTCAGTCTGCAAAACGAGAAACAGAATCCGTTAAACGAGCATCTCGAATTCGTTATAGTGACGAGCATGTGAGAACAGCGCTGATATCGTAGCATTTCAATGATTTGTTATAACTGCTTGTTACTGTGTAAAGAAAACGTTGCTGTGAAAATAATAAAAAAAACGTTAACATATTTGGTGCCAGAATCACTCAGAGTCGTGGGTGCTGAAAAAAAATACATGTAGATCACGGTGTTCGCCGCGACGTGCGCAGCATTTCGGTTTGGCATGATTGCAAGATGACGTAAAGTATTAAATGGTGCGGATGATTAAAAAGAATGGAGGTCACGTGAGTTAGGACATTCTTAATGACGTCAAAGATGAGTATGAGAGAGAGAGAGAGAGAGAGAGAGACCAATTTTGTATACCTTTGCTGCCTCGGGTTTACCGAGGGTGATCTTGGGTTTCGGGGCGGGTTCTTCTTTCTAAAAAAGGGACCAATTTAACTAGTCGGGCTTTGCGCTCCCAAAAAAGATCGTGTCATCGTGTTATCGTGTGGAGAAAAAAAAAACTAAAGTGTAAACGTGACTTGTGTCACGTACCTTTGCCGGTTCGGGTTTACCGAGGGTGGTCTTGGGTTTCGGAGCGGGTTCCTCCTTCTAAAAAAATGTATTCGGTAATTTTAACTGTGTTTCTCTTTTTTAGATTTCGCGAATTTCGTGTAATAGTGTAACGCGCGGCTGTGTACCTTCGCCTCCTCCGGTTTACCGAGAGTGATCTTGGGTTTCGTGTCTGGTTCTTGTTTCTAAAATGTGTGTACGTATCGTTTATTGCATGCTGATTTCTTGGAATACTTTGTATATAAAAATTGCGAGTGTAGTGTAGTGTACCTTCGGCACCTCTGGTCTACCAAGAGAAGTCTTGGGTTTCGTGTCTGGTTCTTCCTTCTAAAAAATGCATTTGTGTGTTGTACCTTACAGTGATTTGTTCAGATATTTGTACATAAAAGTTAAACGTGTAGTGTATAGTGTACCTTCGGCTCCTCTGGTCTACCAAGAGAAGTCTTGGGTTTCGTGTCAGGTACCTGTTTCTAAAAAATGCATTTGCATCGTGTATCTTACCACTAATCTGTGCAAACAATTGTACATAAAAATTGAAAGTGTAGTGTTGTGTACCTTTGCCTCCTCGGGTTTGCCGAGAGCGGTCTTCGGCTTTGTGTCTGGTTCTTGTTTCTAGAAAATTGTATACGTGTGACGTGTGCCGTGCGTTAATTCGTGTAGCAAATCGTACAAGCGATTGTACATAAAAGTTGAAAGTGTGATAAAGTGTACCTTCGACTCTTCCGGTTTACCGAGAGTGCTCTTAAGTTTCGCGTCCGGTTCTTGTTTCTAAAACGTGTACATGTTTCGTGTATCGTGCACTGATTCGTCTAGATCTCGTATAAGCGATTATACTGAAAAATTGAAAGTCTAATATACGTATAGTGTACCTTCGGCTCTTCGGGTTTACCGAGAGTGGTCTTGGGTTTCGGGACGGGTTCCTCTTTCTAAAATACGACAGTTCATTGTATTGTATCGTGACTGTTAATGATCATGCTGATCTAGATAAAAAATGATATCGCGAGAGAAAAAAAAGGATTTGTATCATGGTATGTACCTTGGGCTCCGCGGGTTTACCGGGAGTGGTCTGTGGTTTCGCGGGTTCCGTTTTCTAAAAATGAACAATGGAACGTGTGAGACAATTCTCTGGATCAAATTCGTGTACAATCAATGTGTAACAGAGATATGCACACGTCTGTGTACACGTGTGTTTGTCTGTACCTTAGCCTCCTCTACCTTGGGTTTAGGTGTGGGTGCCTCCTAAAAGTAACGAGTCATGTAACTATCGGTCTTTTTATGTACGCTGTGCACACTGTGACATGTGTATATGTTAAGAAACACGTATAAAATAGAGAGGGGGGGGGGTTTCGTTGCCCGTGTACCTTTGTCTCCACCTTTCCGACGGTCTTCGCTTTACTGGTGACCTCCTCCTTCTAGAAAAGAATATGGAAAGGATAAAAGCACACTTCCAAAGAAACAACCATACGTCTATCTTAACGCGACAAACACGGATAAAAAACAACAGTTCAAATCGAAGCGACAGCGATCTCGGTGCAGTTCTTTCTTTCGGATAAAAAATCCCAAGACGGAACGTGTTCCAAATGAACTATTATTTCGGTGATGTATTTTGTGTGTACGTGTGTATTTGTAGCGTATGTACCTTCGTTCCATTGGTGATCGCACCGTTATCTTTCGTGTCTACCGTAGGCTCTTCCTCCTGGATAACATTCGCACGAGCGAGCAACAAGCGCAACATGGAAAATAAAAAAAGTAAAGAAACGGCGGTAGCGTAAATCGCTCCTGACACGCTACTAAGTATCGTGCTACACTGTATTCCCTGTACCTGAGAACCATCGGTCGACTTTGTCGATGTTCTACGTCTGGCGACCGTGTCTTTCTTCTAAAAGTGCAAATAAAGAAAAAAAAGAAAGAAATTAAATGAACGTGCTTCACACGGTTCCGAAGATACGAGATTACGTGGAGAGAGAGAGAGAGAGAGAGAGAGAGAGAGAAAAAAATAATAAATAAATTGTACCTTGCCCGCGTCGTCGACTTTGCGAGCTTTCGGTTTCCCTTCGGTTTTCTAAAACGATCGAGAGATTAATTAGTGTGTCAAAATTTGTAGTCTGTCGAAAATCGCCCGTATTTCGTTACTGTGCACACGTGCGTTAACTAATCCGTGAGTGTGTACCTTTTTCGAATCAGCTTTTTTACGTGTCGTTTTTAACTTTGGCTTCTCCTCCTAAAAAATGTACATTGTTCAGTCGAACGCGTCGATAAATCGGCGACGTACGAGTCACCGTCGTTTATCGCAACGAAATCGTAGAAATACTTGAACGTTTTTACGAATTATGCTCGCAGTGTCGTCTACCTCTATCGTGCCAGTCGGTTCAGCCAGCGGCGATTCGGAATTCGCTTTCGAGGAATCGATTCGGTCGATTGAATTGTTCGACGTTGGTTTCGGGACATCCTAGAACGATGGATTCGCAATATAAAAAAAATGAAAAGAAAAAAGGTTAAATAAAAGATTACGCGCTGTGTAAAATTTCAACGGCGTGTGTACCTCCTTCCAGATCGGTTTGATTTCGCGATCCTGCGGTCTATCTGCCCAGATATCCTAAAACCGATTCGGTAGATCGTGTTCATTTCTTTCGGTGCATTATTTTTACCGAGCTCGTGCATTCGCCTACTTTTACCAAATTTGAATTTCGTGCTCATTGTTGGAGAAAGTCGAAAAGTCGATCGAGCGAATTTAGCTCGAGCTTATGGATCAGCTTATCACCTGGATCGAGCTTAACACGTTCCGTGCCACGTGTACCATCGATGGTACACGCTTGCATGTTTACTTAGTGAACTGAACAAATTGTTTACAAGAAATTTAGAACCGAAGAATCAATTTCCACCGCAAGAATGGGCGTTGATAAGTTTTTGTTACGTTGTTATGTGTACGAGAATTAATAATTGCACGTAATACATCAAGTTTTAGTAAAATATCAAAGTGTGAAGATTCGAGTAAAAAAAGCTCGCCACGGAACGTGTTAATCCAGGGATTAAGCTTGGAAAATAATCTCGAAATTCTAATTTTAAACGCTGTTTTTTGACTGAACTTTGGTAAAAATAGCGCACAGTGCAATCTTGTCGAATTAAATACGATCTGTACCTCTATCTCATTATCTACGTTCTGATTGCGGGGTTTGACCTCGGACATCCGAATCTCCTGAAAATATGGTTCGTTAAAGAAACAAGGATACGTCGATATTTTAACGCGCGTGCTTCGCTAGTGTACCTCGTATTTTTTAATAGGTCTAATCTCGCGATCTTTCGGCTTATCCGCCAAGATATCCTAGAAATATTTTCCTGCGTAAGTTTTCGACTTCAAAAATAAACAAAAAAAAAAGATATAATCGTGTACTACCTCTATCTTGTCATCTGTTCTCTGTGTAGATGGTGTGTGTTTTAATTTCGGTGTGTGTGATGTTTCCTGTAATAATTTAACGCTTGTAAAAAAGAGTTATTTAGTTAGCGACGGTTCGAATTGTTCGCGAAACAATACCTCGTATTTTTTAACAGGTCTAACTTCGCGATCTTTTCGTATATCCGGCCAGATATCCTGCAAGTATTTTTTCAGTGAATTTTGCAGCTCCAAAAAAATAAAAAGAAAAGTATTATTATTGTTTACTACCTCTATCTCGTCATTTACTTTTTGTTTAGACGGTGTGTGCACTGATTTTGTCGTGTATGGAGTTTTCTGTAATAACGTCACGATTGTAAAAAAAAGTCACTGATCTAATAACAATTTGAATTATTTGCGAACAATACCTCAATCTTTTTAATAGGTTTTATTTCACGATCTTTTGGTTTATCCGCCCAGATATCCTGCAAGTATTTATTACACTGTATTTTGCAATCTCAAAAATTGAAAAAAAAATCATTTATCATTTTTTACTACCTCTATCTCATCGTCTATTTTCTGTGTGGATGGTACGTGTGTTGGTTTTGGTGTGCGCGATTCTTCCTGTAATAATTCGACATTTGTAAAAATGTTTATTAATCTACTAACGATTTCAATTATTCACGGGCAATACCTGAATCTTTTTAATAGGCTTAATTTCACGATCTTTTGGTTTGTCCGCCCAAATATCCTACAAGTATATTTTTTTTTAGTGAATTTTACAGTTACAAAAATGAAAAAGAATACAATTTTTGATCGTCTACTACCTCTATCACGTCATCTACTTTTTCCGTAGATTTTGTGTGTGTTCGTTTCGGTGTGCGTGATTTTTCCTGCAATAATTGCACGTTTGTAAAAACATTCATTGATTTATTGATAATCCGAATTGTTTATAAGCAATACCTCAACGTATTTAATGGGTTTGATTTCGCGATCTATCGGTTTGTCTGCCCAGATATCCTGAAAATATTTTTTTCAGTGATATTTGCTGACTGTGATTTTTTATTCGAAAAGTAAAAAGAAAATTATATTCTCCACGTTACACTACCTCTATCGCGTCATTTACTGTCTGTGTAGACGGTTTGTGTGCTGTTTGTGGTGTTCGCAATTTTTCCTGCAATAATTGTATCTTTGTGAAAATATTTATTACTTTAATGAGAATTCGGACTTTTCGGGAACAATACCTCAATCATTTTAATGGGTTTAATTTCGCGGTCTTTCGGTTTATCTGCCCAGATATCCTAAAAATTGTTTTTCTTTCAGTGGTTTTTGCAGCTCCAAAAATAAAAAGAATATTTATGATTGTGTACTACCTCTATCTCGTCGTTTATTTTCCGTGAACATGGTGTGTGTGTTGGTTTTGGTGTGCGTGATTTTTCCTGCAATAATTGCACGTTTTTAGAAATATTTATTGATTTAATGACGATTCCAATTTTTTTGGAACAATACCTCAATCTTTTTAATGGGTTTAATTTCGCGGTCTTTCGGTTTATCTGCCCAAATATCCTGGAAATATTTTGCCGATTAAGATTTTGGTTTCAATAATCAGAAAAAGATAAAAATTTTCATCGTATACTACCTCTATCTCGTCATCTACTTTTTGTGTAGATCGTGTGTGTATTGGTTTCGATGTTTGTGTCGGTTCTGACGTGTGCATTGTTTTCTGCAATTATTCCAGATTGATAAAAATACAACTGTTAACTTAATCTTTTGACAATTTGAATTACTAAAAAGAAATACCTCGATGTTTCTAATCGGTTTAATTTCGCGATCGTTTGGTTTATCTGCCCAGATATCCTAGAAATATGTTCCCGATTAACATTCCGGCTCCAAAAATAAGAAAAAACTAACAATTTTCATCGTATACTACCTCTATCTCGTCATCTACTTTTTTTGTAGATCGTGTGTGAATTGGTTTCGATGTTTGTGTCGGTTCTGACGTGTGCATTGTTTTCTGCAATAATTCCAGATTGATAAAAATACAACTGTTAACTTAATCTTTTGACAATTTGAATTACTAAAAAACAATACCTCGATGTTTCTAATCGGTTTAATTTCGCGATCGTTTGGTTTTTCTGCCCAGATATCCTAGAAATATGTTCCCGATTAACATTTCGGCTCCAAAAATAAGAAAAAACTAACAATTTTCATCGTATATTACCTCTATCTCGTCATCTACTTTTTGTGTAGATCGTGTGTGTATTGGTTTCGATGTTTGTGTCGGTTCTGACGTGTGCATTGTTTTCTGCAATTATTCCAGATTGATAAAAATACAACTGTTAACTTAATCTTTTGACAATTTGAATTACTAAAAAGAAATACCTCGATGTTTCTAATCGGTTTAATTTCGCGATCGTTTGGTTTATCTGCCCAGATATCCTAGAAATATTTTCCCGATTAAGATTTCGGCTCCAAAAATAAGAAGAAACTAACCATTTTCATCGCATACTACCTCTATCTCGTCATCAACTCTTTGTGCAGATCGTGTGTGTATTGGTTTCGATGTTTGTTTCGGTTTTGACGTGTGTATTGTTTCCTGCAATAATTTCACATTGGTAAAAATACAATTTTCAACTTAATCTCTTGACAATTTGTATCACTGTAGAAGAAATACCTCGATATTTCTAATCGGTTTAATTTCACGATCGTTTGGTTTATCTGCCCAAATATCCTAGAAATATGTTCCCGATTAAGATTTCGGCTCCAAAAATAAGAAAAAAATAGAAATTCTGATCGCATACTACCTCTATCTCGTCATCTACTTTTTGTGTAGATCGTGTGTGTATTGGTTTCGATGTTTCTATTGGTTCTGTCGTTTGAATCGATTTTGATGTTTGAATCGATTTTGACGTGTGTATTGGTTTTGATGTATGTATTGGTTTTGTTGTGTATATTGTTTCCTGCAATAATTTCACATTGGTAAAAAGTACAATCGTTAACTCAATCTTTTGACAATTTGAATTACTATGAAAGCAGAATACCTCGCTGTTTCTAATCGGTTTAATTTCGCGATCTTTTGGTTTATCCTTCCAGATATCCTAAAATGTTTCACGATTAACTATGTGTTGCTAACAGAAAAAGAGAAACATAATCTTGTAAACATTTAATGTCGCAAAATACCTCTATCTCATCGTCTACTTTGTGTGTTAACGGCGTGTTTATCCGTTTCTGTGTGTGTGATGTTTCCTGCAAAAATTTCACGATCACAGAAAATTGTTCGTCGATTTAACATTCCGTTTAATTGGAATCATTTCGAAACGGTACCTGAATTAGTCGAATAGACTTTGTTTCGCGATCGTTCGGCGTATCCGCCCAGATATCCTAAAAAATATTTTCACGCGTGAATTTCTCGTTCCGAAAATAAATGAACATAACATTTTCGTACGTGTACTACCTCTATCTCGTCGTCTATTTTCTGTGCAAACGGTGCGTTTAATGGTTTTCGCGTGTACGTCGTTTCCTGCAATAATTCCCGAGATGTAAAAATCTGATCATCGATCGTTTTAGCATCTTTCTATCGTCGATACTTTAGAAATTAATTCTACCTCCGGTTTTACACGCGTCGCCACTTCGTTTGTCTTCGACTTGTCCGGTCGTACGTCCTAAAAATATTTTTGCATTATGGCACGTGCAACGTTGTCGCGTCGCTAATTAAGATAAAAGTAATTGAACGCCCCGCGATACCTCGATTTCTCCCTGCGATTTACGAGACACGGCGGAAGGCTTGGACAGGTCCTAAAATGCATCGCGTGATTTAAAACTGATAGAAACTGATCGTTCAATACGGATTTCTATCGAAATACCTGGCTCCGTTCAATGAGTTTCGTTTCGCGATCCTTCGGCCTGTCCACCCAGACGTCCTAGAATATTTTCAACTTAGACTTCTGTACGAACGATTGCGATCACAAAAAAAAATAAAGAAAGCGATTAGCTACCTCATCGCGTCGTTCACTATCGCGCGACTTAACAGAGCGTTCGGGAGAAACCTAAAACGATTCGTTCGATTAAACGGACCATTTATCACCGACTACGCGTTTTACAGTAAATTCTCCCTAATTGACGCTTAGATTGTTCATAAAAATGTAGCATTTGGGAAGAAGAGGTACGATTATTATACGATTATTATACGATTATATATTCGGCTCGTTTTTATAATTGTTGACAATCGGTAATTGCAATATATTCCAAAAATGTCTTACAATCTGGAAATACGGGGTTCCTGAGATCATTTGAAGTAACTTTTTCCTTTGCGAAAATGCAATCCGCGGCTTCATTCGCGAGTTATCAATGAAAAACGGTGACCAATCAGAGACGAGTTCAGCTGGCGCGAGGCGGTGCGAGGCGGCGCGATCCTACAAGCGCGCGGAGCTCAGTTGCGCTCATTGGCTCGGCCGTCTCGCGCCAGTAGAGCTCTCCCCTCATTGGTCACAGTTTTTCGTTAATAACTCGTAAACGAAGCCACTGATTGCATTTTCGCTAAGGAAAAAGTTACTTCATATGACCTTAGGAACTCCCCGTTTCCAAATTGAGAGACATTTCTGGGACAACCTGTACAAAAAGGAGCCGCGAAATAATCGTGTTTCCTCCAAAATTGTCCATTTTTATGTACAATCTGAGCGTCAATTAGGGAGAATTTACTGTTTATCGTACCTCGTGCCGTCTAATAGATTTAAACTCGCGATCCTTCGGTCTGTCCGCCCAAATGTCCTAAAATATTCATCGTTACTACAATTCTTGTAAAAAAAAAAAAAATAGATAATAAACTACCTCAATTTCATCGTCTGACGATTGCGGCTTAGGTGTACGCGCTGCTTTGTCCTACAGTGAAAGAAACCAAAAGTATTATTGCGTGTCGACGAAATCGCCGCGTCCGTCTGAATTTAGGCTGCCGCGCACGAAATCTTTCGTAAAAACTGTGTGGTCAATCTCGCGAACGTTTCATCATCGAATCCAGAACAATAATATATGTTATCATGATATATGATATCTCAATAAAATTCCGATACGCAGTATCGCCGATCATTCGTGCGCGGCGACCTAATAATTAATAGCGTGAAGCCCGTGTACCTCGCCGTTTCTGATCAGCGAACTCTTTCTAAGGTTAACCCGTGGCAGAAGAGCGACCTAAAATCGTGATTATGAATTGCTTGTACAGGTATTCGTGCGACAGTGTTGGTATGAGTGTAAGTGTATAGTGTGCAGTGTATACCTCCACCTCTGGAAGAGATCTGCGTGTGTATGGCTTAAGATTGAGCAACGCCTCGTTAATCGTGTCCTAAAATGATACTTTTTTGTAAAAAGAAATTCTCTTGTTATACTGGGAAAAGTTTAACAGCAGTCTGTGTCGAAATATAGTCTACCTTCATGCTTGCTCTTTCGCGCGTGAGCGATACACGCCGCACGTTCGATGTGCCCTAAAATCCCAATGAAATAGAGTCGACGTGTTCCTTTATTTCTAACGCTAAAATTGCTATTATATTTTCATTTTCATTTCAAACGATAAGTCACGGAAAGGGGTGATTCCTGAGGTCATTCGAAGCAACTTTTTCCTCAGCGAAAATGCAATCCGCCGCTTCGTTTACGAGTTATTAACGAAAAACACTGACCAATGAGAGGCTGGCGCAAGGCGGCCGAGCCAACGCGCGGTCGGGCCCAGTTCCACTGATTGGTTCGGCCGCCCAGCCCTAGACGCGCTCGCCTCTCATTGGTCAGTGTTTTTCGTTATTAACTCGTAAACGAAGCCACGGATTGCATTTTCGCTAAGGAAAAAGTTGCTTCAAATGACCCGAGGAATCACGCCTATCCGGATTTTAACATAATTATGGAATACCCTGTGTCATTAGATTACAATTTATTAAGAAATTCTCTATCGTTGAATGTGGAGAAATGTGGAGTGTTTTGTGTACCTTCGTGTCTCGAACGACCGTGATCGCGGACCATAATCTCGGGCCCTCTCTAGCTGTCTAAAAGTTCAAAAGAATGAAAACAATGATCGCTTGATCGTCCCATCCCCTAACTCGATATACTTCTTCACGGCCTACGCTGCGCGAATATTCGATCCTTTGTCTCTTAATTCTCGTCGTTGTCTGCACTTGTGCATGCACAAAAGACACACAACTAGGTATTAACGCTACTTGGCCTCCCGAAGTCGTTCGCGAGGAGGTTTCACATAAACTACTTACTGCTTTCGTATTCGACAATGAACGTTTTCTTTTTTAATATTCAACAATCGAAACAAAGACAATGTTAAGGCGCGCGAGAAAGCGGCGAATTGAAAACGTTAGGCGTCGAGAAATTCTGTTGAGATTTTAAGAAATCAATCCGTTCGCTCGTTCTTCGCGTAGCAATTCGCCACTTTCGGACGGCACCGTTATCGAGACACACCGTATGTACAAACGACACTTTGGACAATGTTAATTACGATACTCTAAGGATCTATCAATCGTGTGTTGGGACGATACAAGAACAAATGGAAAAACGACAATAAAAAAGATACAATTCGCTGTCTCACCTTTTCTGCCGTCACCTTCTCCTTCTTCACGATCGAAGACCGCCTGCTCTCCGATTTGTACTCCTCTTCGGCCTGTTTCCATTAGAAGAACAAACAACCGATAAATAAACGCTCACGACAATACGATTCGTAATTCGCAAGCTTGCGTTCGCGTAGATCGAATCGAATACCGTTCCCGAATTCGTGCGAGTGTACCTTTTGAATCGAAAAGCGTCGCGGTGATGTGTAGCCGTCTTCGTTTATCTACGTGTGTAAAAAAAAAAATAAATAAACATCTGGCTGTTTACTGGGACCGATCGTTCGTGTGTCAACAGATTCTGTTCGTTGACCCTTGGCACTGCGAGCAGTTTCCTGCGAGTCAGCAAATTTCCAAGAAAATAATTTGATCCAAAACTGTGTGAAAAATTCATTCATATGCGGACAAATTGACTATACAAAATTTGCGTGATCCCTTCATTGCGAATGATAGCCGACAGAAGAGCGGTCAAAGTGTCTTTTACGAGAAGAGAACAATTATTTGCGCTTGGTTCGAGTGCAAAGGGTCAAAAGGTGAAATTACGGAGCATCGTTTAACCTTTTCCTCCGTCGACACCAAAGAGCTCCTTCGGCTTTCCGTTCGCAGTTCTTCCACCTGTCGATAAAAAATTAAAAATCAGTGCCTTTTACTAAAAACTATTCAATAAACGATCTAAGAACCGCGTTGCTTACTCGGCTAATGGACTGCTTGCGAGACACGGTTTTCTCCGCCTTCAGCATGGCCTCCTAGCGCAGAGAGCGATCGAATTAGCAAATGAATGATCAAACAGCAGCGGTTGCATTAAATGCGCATCGAATAAAACTGCAGGCTTACCTCTTTCTTTTCTTCCTCTTTTTTCACAATCTTTTTCTGTAAACAAAAACACGGCCGTCTTTAATCAAGAGCCCCTTAGAACTATGTTTGTTCGCGCGAACTCGAACAATTTACCTTCTCCACTTCCTTCTTCTCCGCAATTTTCTCTTCTGGTTTCTTCTACGCGAGGGCAAAAAAAGACGATCGATAAGTAATTCGAGCATTTAACAAGAAGCAAGCGTATTTTATGCGTTTTACCTGCTGTTAACCTATCGAGCATCGTGAAAGAAGAAACAGAGATGAAACTTTTCACACAATTGTCTTTCATTCGTTCGCACAATATCGTTCGCAACGCAGAGAAGCATGCAAAAATAAAAGAAAACGGAGTATAGATACAGAACATGCGAGAGGAACGGGGTTGTTCGGATCAATTGTATAGCCCAGCTTCTAAAGGAGTGCTAAAAAGCTCGAGTGTAAAGCATTTCGTGTAGAGAGGACGGTGTTTTGTGCGCATCGGTTGCACTTAGCCGAAACGAAATACAGTAATTTTCTCCACAATTCGCGCTCGGATTGCGCGCAAATATGGACAATTTGGGAAAGGGGGACACGATTGTTCGAGCCTCGTGGCCCGTTTTTATAGTTACCGATCGTCAACAGCTATAAAAACGAGCCACTTTTGTGCGCAATCTGAGCGCGAATTGGGAAGAAATTGCTGTAAAATCGTGTAGTCGCTAAGACCACGATGCGAAAGAAAAATCGCTGAAACAGAAGATCGGTTAGTCGGCGAAAGCTGAAAATAATATAGAAGCATGTAGAAGCCACGCGAGAGAAATCGCCATCGAGGGGCGTCGCAAAAGAAAAGAATAGTTCGCAATGCAAAAGCCTGTGAAACGATTCGAGCGCATACTTCGCATACTCCGCATACACCGAGAAGTTCAAGCAGCCGATCCTCGCGACTCACCTGAATCACTTCCAGTTTCTGAAACAGAAACACAAACACGGCTCGATTAACGTTCGTTCTCGCGACCGTGCTCCGTACTTATTTATTCGGCGACGATAACCGAACACAATTCGTCGCGCAATTCGTCGACTGATTAAGACAAGAGGGTCGATTAAGACAGGGGGTCGCGAAACGATCACAAAAGGCGACACAAAAGGTGCACACAAATGGGAGAATGAACTTTGATAATATTGTAAACGGTGTGAAACGGAGTGTGCAACGAGTGTTCCCGTGGTAAACAAAAAATCGACGAGAGTACCAAAAATTAGTTCGTACCTTCTTGAGACCAGGTTTGTCGATACCGTTCGGTTTGTTGTCGGGTAAGTCCTTGAAAATAGTGGAGAAAAAAAACACGTGAATCGTACTGCTTTAAGGAGAACGGCTGTCCTCGAGAGAAAGCGTAGAGAAAAGACGACTCGAGGGCTCGCGCGAATTCGAAAAAGTGATTCGCGCGTGCGAAAAAAGAGAGTAGAGTAAAAGTAAAAAAGAGAGCAGAGTGAAAGGAAAAAAAGAGTAGAGTGACGGTGAAAAAAGAGTAGAGTGACGGTGAAAAAAGAGTAGAGTAACGATAAAAAAACAGTAGAGTAACGGTGAAAGAAGCGTAGAGTAACGATTAAAAAAGAGTAGAGCGTTTCTAGAAAGGAAAGAGTAATGCGTGTTCGTGTAGATCAGGTGGAGTGTGTTCGTGTACCTCGATCTGTGATACTGTTTCTGAGTCAGGTTCCTCGATAATCGGCTCCGCGACGCTGGATTCGATTACACTCACCACTTCTTCGTCATCCTCCTCCTCCTCCTCAATGATGCTCTCATCGTAATCGGACTCCCCTTCGTCGCTCCAGATCGTACTCTTTACCTTACGCACCGAAATGGGGTTCAAGAGAGCCGGATTATCGTGTGAACCAAACGAAAAGTTAATTCGAATTTCTGGCGAACATTAAACAACCGAATGCAACAACGTACTGTTTCATAAATATACAATGATAACATCTTCTGGAGATTTGGACGACTGGATTGTTTGCAATCACTGACGTCATCTCACTATTATGCTGCACAGCGATGTACAATATTTATTACCATTTATTTACTATTTATGATTTTCTGCCGAAGACGATACCGTCACAAAGTTCTCCGCCAATCGAATTAAGTTTTCGTCTGCGTGGTCATGTTTGGAGTGTATAATATGTACGGGTAAGGGGGGTGGGGGGCAACTGTTAGTGACGCGGCACTTTGTCAACCGGGGTGCAAAAACGAGGGGAACGCAGAAGATAAAAGGAACAAAAGCCCTTCCGATGGGAGAATTTGAGCGATGGCTTCAGCAGTTTCTACCTTCTCCTCCTTCTTCTCTTCCTTCTTCTCCTCTTTCTTCTCGACCTTTTTCTCGGCCTTCTTCTCCTCCTTCTTCTCCTCCTTCTTCTCTTCCTTCTTCTCCACTTTCTTCTCCTCCTTCTTCTCCTCCTTCTTCTCCTCTTTCTTCTCCTCCTTCTTCTCCTCCTCCTTCTTCTCCTCGACCTTCTTCTTCTTCTTCTCTTCTTCCTCTTCCTCCTTCTTCTCTTCCTCTTTCTTCTACAATACGTACAAGGACATTGCATGCAACATTCGAAGGGACAACAACGTTCGTTCCAATTTGTCTCGCGTCAACGATGGAGTTAACATCAATAACGATTCAGACTGGGGGGGGGGGGATTCAACGAAACAGTCTTCTCGGTTCCAACGGGTCAGAGATCGTAACACAAGGGCCGGCACAGAGGTGACATCGTTGTTGTTCGAGGTCGGTTCCAACAATTGACTCACCTTGACGACCACGCGAGCCGACGACTGGTCCTCGCCGAACTCGTTGCTGACGACGACCTTGTAGGTTCCGGAGTACGAAGTGGAGGCGGACGTGATGGTCATCTTCATGTCCGTGGCGTTGAAGGATATCATGATGTCCTTGGAGGATTTCACCACCGTGGAGTCTCTGAACAAGCGAGGAACGCGATCGATCGACGAATCAATGAATAAATCGGGGAACTTTTTATTCGCCACAATTACTATGGTTGTCGCTTATTACCTGTACCACGAGATGGTCACCTTGCGGTCCGCTTTCGCCAGACTGGCTATAAGCTCGATCGTTTTGCCTTCCTCTATCGTCTGAAAATTCAACGAGAACGTTAACTCAAAGAAGAGTATTATTATGAAACGGAAACATAAATTCGTAGATCAACGTACCACCGACTTCAAACCGGAGGCTATCTTCGGCTTCTCGCCCTCGTCCATGATGTCCGTGACCTCGACGACCTGTGACGTCGCCTCACCTTTCTCATTACGGGCAACCAATTTGTACACACCCTTGTCGGAGGACGATACTTGTTCGATCTCCAATTTCACAGCGAACTCTCCCTGCGAACGATAATCGCGATCAGTTCCGCGGCGCTTCGTCGAGGACGATGAGAGCTTACCTCTTTCACTTGTTCCACGTGCACTTTGTGCCTCGTGTCCTGCTTCACTGCTTGCGTCTCTTTGAACCAGGTGCAGTCCGGCGTGAATTTGGACAGAACGTGGCACTCGACCACCACTGTCCTCTTCTTCACGATCTTGATCACCTTCGGCTTCTCCTTGATCACCGGTACAACTGTAATTGAGAATAAACGGTTATTATATCCGAGAATCGAACAGGCAGTTAGGCCAAATTACACCGCTGATTATGAGTGTGGTTCAATTAGAATGTAGTTGAAGAACGATGCAAAATCTCAGCTGATTTCTGCACAGGCGTTATTAATAGACCGCGGACGTTTACGCGAAATGAAAATTTCGCGAAATGTGATCCCATGAAACAGAAGCTAAGTACAGATATTTCGTTTCTTTTAATAATTCTGATAATTTGTAAACAGTATAACAATATTATTAAATTCTTCTTACGTCGCTACAATATCATGCTCCGGCTACTCAATTTTGCCATAAGCGCATAAACTCCGCGGTCTAATTATGAATCTAGAACTAATCACATTCGTCGCGGTTAATCGATTCTTCGCTTCTTGTTGTCCCGCAATTTAATTATCAATTAATTCGTAATTCTATCGCGATTACGCGATATCACGATTACGTTGACACTCGCGGAGGAATTCGATCATAATTCCGCATAATCGTGGATGTGGAATAACGATCGACTAATAATGGAATAATGATCGAATAATGATCGACCATAATGATGGAATGATCGACTCACTTTCTACGTTGAGCGTGAGATTGGCGTTCAGCTCGCCGAGTTCGTTCTTGATGTTGCACTTGTACAAGCCGGAGTCCTCCGGGCTTGGGTCGTTCAAGGTCAGCTTGATGTAATAGATGTCCTCCTTCTCTTGAACGATGCTGATCGAGATCTTCGAGGACTCTTTGACCACCTTGCCCGCGTGGGTCCACACGATCTCCGGTTTCGGTTTCGCTTTCACTTTGCAGTCCATTATCACGAGCTTGCCCTGGTCCTGGGACTGGATGCGAGGCTTCTCGACGAACGTTGGTCCGTCACCCTCTGGTTCAGGCTCTGCTTCGATGTTCAGGTTCAAGTTGGCGTTGCTCTCGCCGTATTCGTTCTTCACGTGACACCTGTAAGTGCCACCGTCCGGCGCCGAAGGATCCTGCAAGCATTTTATCGATCGTTATCGCGGAGCTCTTGCCTTTTGATTGTTGGTGCCAGACTTGAATGACAGCTTGCTGCTTTAATTTCAACCCAGAAATAAATCAGATACACGAGAATACATTTTTTAATTAACTTGAAGTAACCCATTGAAATTCGATCATTTTCCTCCTAAGTAATGGTCGGAATTTCTCGATTTTTCTGTACAAGTAAGAACGATTTTTTTAACGAAAGTATAACTATGCTAAAGTATAATCTTTCAGCTTTAATTTGAGCCCAGTAAAGTTCAAAAACTCCCATAGGAATACAACTTAAGATCGACTTGAAATTTCCCTTAAAAATCGTAATTTTTCTCCTGGGTTAATGGTCGGGATTTTTTTATTTTTTTATACAATTTCGAATGATCTATTCAACGAAGGTATAACTATCGTAAAGTATAATCTTTGAGCTTTAATTTGAGCCCAATAAAGTTCAAAAATTCCTATGGGAATACAATTTGAGACCGTCTTCAAGTTTCCCTTTAAAATCGTAATTTTTCTCCTGGGTAAATGGTCGGGATCCTTCGATTTTCCTATACAAATACAAATAATTTTTCAACGAAAGTATAACTATCCTAAAGTATAATCTCTCAGCTTTAATTTAACCCTAATAAAGTTAAAAAATTCCCATGGGAATACATCTTAGGATCCTTTGGAAGTTCCCCTTTAAAATCCTAACTCTTTTCCCAGGCAAATCGTCCAAATTCTTCGACTTTTCTATACAAATTCGAATAATTTTCTCAACAAAAGCATAACTATCACAAAGCATAATCTTTCAGCTTCGATAAAACCCCCTAAAAGTTCAGAAACCTACGACGACGTTCCCCAAGAAATTGCCAAATCCTCGACGATTTGTCCGGCTAAACAAACGACCCTTGACACCGCTGCCATCACTGACCTTGATCTCCATAATCAGTTCGTAGACGTCCTCCTCGACGGTCTTGGTCTTGATCGAGATCTTGGAGGACTCCTTGACCACGTTGGTCCCGCGGTACCACGTCACCTCCGGCTTCGGGTTCGCCTTGCACTTGCACTTCATCGTGATCAGGGTGCCGGTTTCGTTCGGAATGATACGCGGTTTCTCGACGAACGACGGCGCGAAACCGGGCCCCTCCTCTGCATCTTGGAAAGATCCACGGTTAGACAGGACGGTTCTCGTGCGGGCCATCGCTTCCGGCAATACGGAATTCCCGGAAACGATCGCCACCGGGCCGCAATCGTTCCGTGTCGACGACAAATTGCGACCCGGTCTCACGGAGTTCCAGAAAAGGTATTTCTCAGTTCCCCTTCGTGATTAGTGATTGAGATGCGTCGATCGCGATCCCCGCCCGGATCCACGGCACCGTCGATCTCTCAGGATCCGGACGGGAACGCGCGCCGGTTAGAAAGCGATGAGAGAACGACTCAATGATTAGTCAGTGCTACGTAACTACTTACCTGATCTCGGGAATGACGCGCGACACCTACACGCGGAACGTTCGCGTTTGCGGCCGCGAACGATGCGGAAACGGGCGCGATAAGAGAAGAAAAGACGCGGTATCAGAGAAACCGTGTTCCTCTGGCAAACTTCGAACGACTCTGACGGGAAGAACGTGCTATGGAGAGAAGGTGCTATAGAGAAGGGGCTCTCGGGGGAGGCTTGGGTCTCGTTGGTCTCTCTGCGGGTTCCCAAATGTGTCGCGGGTGTTTCCAAAAAATGTTCGGACTAGCTGTGACATTCGAACGATTTAAGCGGACGTGATCTTTCGATTATGTTCCAGGCGTACGGTGGCGGTTGAACAGATACAGGACGCTTTTCATTCAGTTTTCGATGGGCTACGTGTTCAGAGGAATGGAAATCGTAGCTCTGAAAATGCATTAAAAATGTCTTCCATTCGAAACTATAAAATGATGTATTATATGGTTTATATTTATAAGATTTATAAGATTTATATAGTCTATATATAGTCTTTATAATAAAATAATAATAATATTACACACATGACATTTACGATATAAAATTCAATGTAGAATCTTGCACGTGTTATCAAGTATGTGTTCAGCCAAATTTGATTTATATTTCATATATTATATTATATTATTATATTATAATGATTTATATTTCAGTGAACAAATTTGGCTGAACACATACTTGAAGACACGTGCAAGATTCTACAATGAATTTTATATTGTAAATATCATGTGTGCAATGAGGATTGCAGAAATACCTCTCCTTGGAGGTTACAGTTAAATAAAAAAAAATAGAGATCTACGTTGTACATTCTGCATTGTACAAAGATCGCTAGCATTCGACCAAAAAGTAGACAAACGAAACTTGTAGAACTTCGAAGACAGAATCAAAGGAGTCCTTGGTACATGGCCATCGTTACAAAATAATGTAATATCTGCTGCATCGAAAAGTATAAATAATCTACTGATAGAGCAGTCTACGATAAACCGTCAGCAAAATTTACCAATGCAGTGTACTTTATGCGCTTATGGAATGCTTGTTATCTGCTCACAGTGATTCCTTTCTGAAAATTCTGTACACCCTGTATATTGCTATCTTTGATTATTCAAGGCAACAGTTTTACTAAACAGTGTAAATCGTGAAAAATATAACATTTGATATATTCATAATATTTGATTATGTAACATTCGATTATATTTCATTATATTGAAAATATTTAATATATTGATAATATTTCATTATATTGATAATATTTAATATATTGATAATATTTCATTATATTGAAAATATTTAATATATTGATAATACTTCATTATATTGACAATATTTAATATATTGATAATATTTCATTATATTGAAAATATTTAATATATTGATAATATTTCATTATATTGATAATATTTAATATATTGATAATATTTCATTATATTGA